CGACTATTTGGTAGTACGGTTTTTGTAATTCGACTTCATAAAACGAAGCTTTGATTTAACGCCCCTCCACATCTTCCAAAATATACGTAAGAGGGAAGGAACCACTTACTTTAACAATCTTGAAATTTTCGGGGTGTCCAATTAATTTCATAGCTTTTGTCAAAAACCGATTTTGTGCGACTTATGCTCACTGCATCGCCAGCTTTGAACTTTGACTTTTGCACTGCAATTTTTTTTTGGTAAATTATATGCGAGAATCTCCGTTGTTGGGGTAATTTCTGATGGTTTCATTCCGGTGGTACCATGTTTTGTTTGAATATATTTTGTTGTTATTTTTTTTTTCTTTAATAAAGTTATTTTACGCAATTACTTGTTTTTTTTTACTTTTTTTTATGGGGGTAAGGATAAAACATACACACACACTGAATTTTAAAAATACATTTATTATTATTAGTTTACAGGTAAATTTCTATTAAAACACAGGTATGTCCCATGCTATCCTTTTGTTGATATCTTGTTTTATCTGCATTTTTCCAAAACGCATGTAGTCCTCCATGCAGTAGCTCTGCTCACTCTCTTCTGTAGAACATAAATATTCTATATGCGGAAAGATTTTGGCGTCTTCCAGTAAATTTTCATGTATAGTCAAATACAATATTCTATCGTAGTACTCGTAAAAGTTCAAACGAGACAGTACTCGTATTCTTTTAAATACCAATTTGCTTATGGTAATTAATTTCTGTACCCAGTCTTTCGAAATATAGAGTATACCCTCGCTATTTTCAATCTTGACCAAGACTTCACCATCACATTGTAGACAGCTGAGTTTGAAGCAGGTTAAATACATAACTTTACCAGTCGGGCCTGCTAACAATAACAATGGAAGCTGTTGTATTAATTCTGTGAAGTCTATCTCGTCGAACGAAATGCTTCTTTTCTCCGCCAAAACGTAGGGGATAAAGCTCACTTTCACTGCCGGAGCGAAGATTCTTGCTGGGCTAAGACCTGAGGTAATTTCTAGTCCGAATTCCGGCAGCGTAATTGCTGCCTCGTAAATGTATTTTTGTTCGCGGATTATTTCCGCATTGACCACAAATCTTCCCCACGAATCCAATGCTTGCGTTGGATAATTTTCGACTTCGGACATTTTTCTCACTCTGCACTTATCACGAAATTGTATGAGTGGAAACTGAATAAAAAATTAAAATTTCTTATAGCTTATATATGTATAACCCCACCCATTCCCCCAGATCCAAAGCGAACGCCGCACATACTTGTTTCGACAGGAAAAAAACCTGACGGAGAACCTCCATCCATCCCGATTTTTTTTTTTTAGACAAGCTCTGACAAGAAAAAAGTACGTATCAAATAATGCGCCATTTTAAAAGGGGACATATTATCAATAGTGAAACTATTTATATTAAGATATACCTTTATCCTCTTTGCAAATAATTTTCTACTCGCTCACAGGTAGGATCATGAAGATCCTTCAATATTTTGTTGCACCAGGTATTTAGCTTAGCCTAGAATTCTTTTGAAAAATTATTATTTTTAAAAAAGGCGCGCGCTAGATCAATTGCCGTTTCAGCGATATTTCCTTGTTTCCCGTGTCGGAGTTTATCTCTTTTCTTTTGTGCATATTCTTGTTTTAATTAAATCTTGATTATCTTTTTATGCCAATTTTGACGATCATCTAATTTTTTGTAACTAAAATTAATTCAATAGAAACAATTAAGGCGAGATGATGCCCGGCAGCTGTTATATTAGGTATGAAAAAGTCAATTTGGATGAAGGAGATGCTTCTTTTGTCCCGACAATGTACAAGAATAAACCTGTCTAACCATAGCAAAATGGGGCCCAAAACTGTGACACTAGGCGAGAGTATGCGTTATTTGGAAGTTAAATTTTAAAAATCCTTTGTAAAATATTCACGGGGAGGGTGTCAAGGGGTCAATTTTTATAAACATCGGAGGTCAGTGTCGGAGAAATAAGGGTTCTACCCTTTTCTCCTCGTCTCTTTTTAACTCCGTTTTGAGTAATTTGTAATAATTTGAGAAAAAAAAATTCAGTACCCGAAAAATGGACACACATTTGCAAGCAAAACAAAAAAAAATAGGATACAAAAAAAAAACTATAAAATATAGGCGCCAATGCAGGCAATAGTTTAAATACGGGAAGTTACATTTTTAAACATAAATTCAGATTTTCGGTGGCAATATAACTCTATTTTTCGTGTTTGTTAAGATTTATATACATAATATCAAACCAGGCTTTGGAAACGTCTGGTTAAGGCCACAGGCCATTAGCTTCTAAATAAACGCGAGATATCATGAAAACCGAAAAAGTTTGAATGGAATCTAACGTTTCCTTTTGTTTCTCAAAAATAGTAATTAAGCGGAAAAGTACTCGTAGTATATTGATTAATTGTAGAAATGTCTCATTTTCTACAAAACAACTTAAGTTAAATAAAATGCAAATTAAATTATTATAAATTACCGCTTTGTTGTATTCGCTATTTACTATGCCCCAACCTACGACGACACTGGAGGGTAGCTTAAAATTTGACCTGCTTGGTTTACCTGCCTTTCGTAGGAATGCGGGTTGTTTCACGTGTCAGTCGAAGTTTAAAGAAGCGTTTGTGTTAAGGGTTCGTTTCTGTTATACGCGTTTGTTGCTTAATGCAATATCGCCAACGAGTTTAAGTTTTGTGTTCAATGTGTGTTTCATATACGGATAAATAAAACAAAAAAGACTGGAAAAAGATAGGTAAGAAGCTTTCGGAATTGCGACTTTAATGAGTAACCGCGTAACATTTTGACCTAGTATTATGTATATGTTCGACGAGGTTTCTATACTTAATTAAAAAAAATTGGGGAGTGATCAAAGGAAGCTGAGGTCGGAGATACGGATCTTGGTTAGTATCAATTTTTGTTTAATAAAACAACCAAAAATGCTCGCTTACGTTTTTGAAGTAGGTAAAAAGGAAACAGAATTTTAATAGAAATAACGCACGATATATCTCCCAAAAAATTCAGCCATATGAACAACGCGAAGAAGTTAAGCAGATAAAATTTTACAAGATTTTTGGGGGGCCAAGTGTAAATTCGGATTGTGGAAAGTAACAGATAGAGAGAATGAGTGACCTATATAGAAAAAGAGAGACAGAAAGGTAGATTTATTTAAACGTTTCTCAATCATCCACCCATCGGAGATAATAAATAACATTCGCTAGTTTTTTTTTGCATGTATTGAGTTAAGTTCGGAATAGAAATATATCAATAGTAACAATTTAAATATGGTAATTTTTGGGGATTGTTATACGTCCGCCAGCGTATTAAAATATGGTTTTAGGGGTTAGAACTTTTAAATTTCAAGAAAAAAAACTCATGTTGAAATTTTTGTATTCGGAAGCTTCTGTTGTTTATTAATTTATAGACACTGGAAAATATAATAATAAAACATCCTACAGTTGACATACGTGTCCTCTTAAACTCGAAAAGAGCTAATTTATCTTAGAAGAGTACGTATTTTTGGTAAAATAGATATTTTTTATATTAAATATTTGACCGATCGATGTAATTCGTCAAGCGGAAACCGAAAAGAAAAGTGACGCTTGTGGTGTTTGCTGACAATCCGACCCTGCTTCGTGTACAAATGCAATGACATTTCGGCAGGGCTATAGGCTACGAAACCTTTCAAACTCGAAAAGGACGAACTGTTTTAAAGAAAAAAGGTACTTCATTTTTGGTAAAAGTAATAGATAATTTTTTTTTTCGCTAAATATTCCACAGATCGATGTAACTCGTCAAGCAGAATCCGAGAAGAAAAGTGACCGGTGGTGCTGTTTGCTTACAATCCGACCCTGCTTCGTGTACAAATGCAATGCCATTTCGGCAGGGCTATAGGCTACGAAACCTTTCGAACTCGAAAAGGCGCTACTAATTTTGAATAGGTACTTCATTTTTGGTAAAAGTAATAGATAATTTTTTTTTACGCTAAATATTCCACAGATCGATGTAACTCGTCAAGCAGAATCCGAGAAGAAAAGTGACCGGGGTGCTGTTTGCTTACAATCCGACCCTGCTTCGTGTACAAATGCAATGCCATTTCGGCAGGGCTATAGGCTACGAAACCTTTCGAACTCGAAAAGGCGCTACTAATTTTGAATAGGTACTTAATATTGGGTAAAAGTAATAGATAAGATTGTTTTACATTAAATATTTGACAGATCGATGTAACTCGTCAAGCGGAATCCGAGAAGAAAAATGACGGATGTGCTGTTTGCTGATAGTCCAGAACGGCTTCGTGTACAAATGCATGGCGGGGAGACCAGAAAGTTTTCGAAACTGCGTGAGTGGAAGTCTGCGTTGGACAAATTTTGAAAATATCTGAAGGTTTAACGAATTTTGGAGAATTCGACAGAGCTACAGACTACGAAACCTTTCGAAACGAACACACGTGTCCTGTTGAACTTGAAAAAAGACGAAATTATTTTTAAAAAGGTATATTGTTGCTAAATAATAGATTTTTTTTTTTAATTAAAATATTTGACAGATCATGGTAACTCGTGAAGCAACATCTCAGAATTGAATCGGGGAACGAGGAATCAAAAAAAGGTTAACAATTTGGATCATTTTGGAAGATACATACGCCGCGCTTTTCAAAGCGGACAGACGTGCCCTTGTCCAACTGAAACGAACACACGTGTCCTGTTGAACTTGAAAAAAGACGAAATTATTTTAAAAAGGTATATTGTTGCTAAATAATAGATTTTTTTTAATTAAAATATTTGACAGATCATGGTAACTCGTGAAGCAACATCTCAGAATTGAATCGGGGAGTTGTGTATTTGCTGGCAATCCGGGCCTGCTTGGATCATTTTGGAAGATACATACGCCTGCGCTTTTCAAAGCGGACAGACGTGCCCGTGTCCCACTTGACAAAGGCGGAATTATTTTAGGAAAGGTATATTATTTGTAAAAAAAAAATATACAATTTTTAAGTAACATATTTGACAGACCATGGCAACTAGTAAAGCAGAATCCGAGAATTCAATCGGCGGCTGTATGTTGACTGACAAGAATATAATTGCTGTTAATCCGGCCCTGCTTCTTGTACAAATGCATAGTGGGGAGACATGAACATTTTTCGAAATTGCGGCCCTATCCTCTTGGGATTCTACGTTGGACAAATTCTGAAAACGACCCAGAAATATAATTGGTGAGAAAATAGTTTTTTTTGTTGTGTTAACAGTTAACAATTTTTTTATTTTGGAAATAAGGGGTTTCAGTGTGTACTGGTAATAGTGAATCAATTTAATGACCTCAGCATCTCTAAACCCCCATCTTGAGACGCGTTAACGATCCGGATCGAGTTACGTCGCGTAATTGTGTCACTTTTTTAATTAAAAAATGAAAGAGATGTACCTACCATACTTTAGAAACCCCTACTCCCCTTTGGAGGTGATGAAATAAGTTTTGGCATAAAATATAAGTTCATCGTATTACTTTGATATAAGTATAAGTCTTGCCTGTTTTTTTTTTTTTAAAGGAGGTTCAAACCCGTGCGAGGTGAGGTTTGATATATGAAACAGACCAGTCATGGGGACACGAGATATGGAAAGTTTCAGCGTAGTCGTCGCCACATTGCTGCCAACACTGCATATATAAGGAATCACGAACCATTCAGGTAAAATTTTGAAAACACATAGTTATGGCAATATAGAACCTCTCTTTTTTTAACAGGAATATTGAGACTTAGACCAGTATCTTTTAAGTAGGCATGTGGGGTAAAGAAGACGCAGAAGCTTCAGTCGGGTACCATCAGTAACGTAGGCGATTGATATATTTCCACCACTACCTATGTTGGATTGGAATTTCCCATTTGATGCTTTGACTGACTAAATGAGGAAACTTGGAGGTAAGCTCTTACGGAATTCTATCGAAATATGTTTAGTAACATATTGGTGCATTACTCTGTCTTCCAGTCAGTTTCACATAAACTTTGCACGTATTATAGAAATGCCACCTACTTTTTTTGTGTTAATATTATTGAAAGTAGTAGCTGGTAGCTGTAGTCGTAAGCCCAGAGAGTCTCTGTTTTGAACATAATACACAAAATGGGGCGTTCAAAAACAATAGACTGCATGCCTTTTAGAGTCGGCGTAAACTATGGTCATATACCCCTGATCAAATTCAGAACTAGAAAATCGTTGTGTCTCTGCATTAAAAAATAATAGTAAAATTTATTGTAGGCACCTAGTAGAGTATCGAAAATTTCCATTTTTAGTGCCAAATTGGTTACTCCAGTAAATTCCAACTGTTCTAATTTTTTTTTTAATAATTTATGATGTTAGTGAGTTTCATTGCAATTATTTGTTACTTAAATTTTCTGCGTATTAAACCATAATTAACAATACGCTATTCGTTAACGCAGGTAGAATTAATGACGCTGACTGACCTGATTTTGTCCAGGGGGCGTAGTACGGTAGTTTGTACTGTGATGTTTGGTAGTTTGGCAGTGAGCTCTCATTTATGAAACTGGGGAATGTTTCGTTATCTTCAAATCGTAAACACGTATCATTAGAATTATATTTTTAAAATATTGATTAGGACATGTACTAAGTAACTAAATGCTCTAGCGAAAATATTCACACATATTGCGGAAAACGTACAAATTTAAATTAGAGAAAATTAACTATTTTTAGAGGTTGGTTTTTCAAAAAGGTGGGGATTTAGTTAAAGAACAGATAGAGACTAAAGGGAAGCTCTATGAGAAAAGTTAGAATTAAAAAGTCGATGTTTTCGTGTCATAGCGAAAGATGGATTATTATTAAAAATAATACTTGCATTAATTGTTGTCACCATTTGTGAAAAATATGGAAAATATCCTCTAGGTTCGCATACCTTTTTTTTAATTTTTTTAAGGTGGCTAACAAAATACACAGACAGAAAAGTTTAGATCCTGTTCGTTAATGTAGCGCATAGAAAAAAATTAGAAAAGAGAACGTTTCGTGTATGGCATACGTAGTTAGTACGGAATATTAATCTGAAGGCTGCAAGACAGTGAAAGAGTGATGCGCTTAAGTGTGGTTCAGAGGGGTTATTTGGGCTGTAGAAGTTTTTCTTTGAACAGGGTTCAAATAGCGTCTCCTAGAGCGTTAGCAGAGAAGAGTATTACAGTATTTAATATAAGCGTCCAGATTTCATTATTGTTGAGATTTCACAGAAACACACTTTCATGTAGTAGTCGCAGCAGCTTTAAAGTATATGACTTTTTAGTTAAGATGCCTTTCGAGTTTGCTTTATGGCTTGATAGGAAATTAAAGGCTAGATACAGATAAGTTACGAAAAAAAGTATGTACACTATCCTCAAAGATCAGCAATAAATAAAAGAAATTGATGAAATAGTAAAGTTGACTGCGATATCTTAAAATCATCAATAAGATAGATAAATTAAATTAATTTTGAAAATATTAAATAATAAAAACAAATAATAAAAATAGCAAAGAAAATCAAAATCATCAATAAGATAGATAAATTAATTTTGTAAATATTAAATAATAAAAATAAAATTATAATAGTAAAGAAAGCCTACCACGGCCACATACACATAATATTTTCGACATATGAACTTTTCCCAGATAAATAGTCAAATATTTCACGATACCTTAAAACAGAAGCATGCGGAAATATGTATGAAGTTAACGCACGGTAGATTGCTTAGTAAATTAAAAAGGTATATGGTTTCTAATATCCTACTTTATTAATGAAAATTTTAACCAGCTTTTTGTTTTGCAGATATTATTGGTGGTGCCTGCCAGCTTCCAGTTCCGAGAAAAGAAATCCAACACTTTTCGTCTTTATTTCCCCTGTCCTTTGTGCGCAATAAAAGTACAGTTTGTACCCGCGTGGGTACACATTCGCAGAATTATATGTTTTTAAAATAAATGTTTTGGTCAATATTCACTAGGTGGGGTTACCTTATTAAAGAAAATCTTATTCCAAGAGGGGACACTAGTTTACATTCGAACCGCTAGAGGGTGCAGATGGTCACGCGAACAATATGATCAAGTCTCATTGACGCCATTGCTTTTCTTAGGGGTGGGAAAATATCTGGGCTCTGATTGGCTTCGCCGCCATCGCAAACTAGAGGTGGGGAGATTGATTAAACCGCATTTCTGGTTGCTTATCCAATGGGGACCAGTTTCAAGGGATTATGGGTAAAGGCGGAGGAGCTAGAGAGTCGTGGGGAAGGAGGATACGCCCACAAAAGGGAGAGGAGTGGGGGAAGCCTATATTATACTTATTCACTACTCGGATATATTGTGTGCTAGGTAGCGGTAGCAAAACGATCTGTCATGGCAGAATTTGATCAAGGTGTATTGGACAGTGACCGCGAGTGAGAACGAATTTCCAGTATATATAGTAAGAACGTATCAAGGTATGGTTTTTCAAACAAACGCCAATCTTTTTTAAGCGCAAGTTGCACTCACATGAAATAGATTCGCAATTTTAAGTTATTTACAGGTTTTATTTTCACTAAACCGAAGAAATATTGGATAGAAAATCGAGAAAACTGAGAATACACCTACACAGGTATCAAAGACAACATACGGAAAACTTTAAGGGGTAGAATTTACTGGGAATATTGTCACCAGTTTGATGAAATATATAGGGAGGACAAAACAGTTAACCTCCTTCAACTAATAACGTCGACAGCAGTTCCTGTTATAAGGAAAATAAGAAAGATCCACCCCTCTATCCCAGTGATCACTCCAATCAGAGAAACACCTGTATCCACCCCGTATTTTAAGTTTCAATTTCAATTTTTCTTATTGGTTTAATTAAAAAAATTAAAGCCTCTCATTTTAGAAGTCCCAAGACTGGGAACTTAAAGAGTGGAATGTTTTATTTACGAACAAGGCTGGCAAATACCGAGGAAGCTCGAGTGCAAGACATTACGAAACGCCATTGGAAGAAGCAGGAGGAAAGTAATAAAATTTTGAACTAATTATGTGAATTATAACAAAAGGGCAATCATTCAAAAACATTTTATTCGTTATAAAAGCATATATCATTTCCACCCTCATCTGCAATTTCTGCTCTTCTAGCACCTGGGAGTTGTTGATTTAGATTTTTTCAAAGATATATCTTATTGGGTGTTTGTGTGTAGTGCTTCCGATCTAACGAGTGTTGATAAAGTGGCAACGTCTTTGTATTCTAGTACCAACTACATCAAAAATTGTAGAAACGGACGATATGGATATTTTAATTCAACACAAAATATATAAATATAAATATGGTTGGTCAAATGGTTTTGGAATTAGCAGAACCAATTCGAATATTTGAGGACGATGAAAGTGGTAGGTGTCCAATACTAAAAAATCAGAAGTGTTACGAAAAGACTAAAGGACTTATGAAGGGAACTTATTCCTACAATATTTTCGAGGCCTACATTTGTAAACTTATTAAAAGAAGTCTATTTTACAATTTATCAAAACATCTGGCACGTTTTGGAGCAGCGAGACATTCGATAATATGTTTAGAAGAGGTGCTAGAAGGGGAGCTACCACACCTGGAAGTGGATATTGCAGATGAGGGTGGAAGTGATAAGAGAAAGCAAACATCAAATTTGCTTTTATAAGAAATAAAACATATTTTTGAATATTGCTCTTTTTTATAATTCACATAATTGGTGCAAAATTTTATTCTTTATTCCTGGGTTTCGTTGCTTCTTTCAATGGCGTTTCGAAGGAGTTTAATTTCTTGTACTCGAGCTTCCTCGATATTTGCCAGCCTACTCATAGATAAAACATTCCACTCTTTGACTTTTAAAATGAAAACATGTTATAAGCCTTTAATTTTTTAAATTATACCAATAAAAAAAATTGTTAAAAATTAACTGTTTTGTCATTTCATCAAACTGGTGATAATATTTCAATTTTCAATATATTCTCTGCGTAGGTTTTTTTCAGGTTTGTCCATTTCCTATCCAATATTTCTTCGGTTTAGTGAAATACAGTGTGCAAAATTGCATATCTATTTCATGTGAGTGTAATTTTCTTTTAAAAAAGATTATATATACGATCTGAGTATATATTTATTATACTGGAAATTCATACTTACCATCACTGTCCAGTACACCTTGATCAAATTCACCACTTTCAAATTCTGCCATGACAGATCGTTTTGCTACCGCTGCCTAGCACAAAATAAACCTGCTACCACAAATGGCGTCTACGCCACAATGTGTTGCTACGGTGGCTACGGTTTTGTAAGCTCAAGCATCCAACACTTTACCCATCGCTCTCGCTACCGCAACCTAGCAGGAACGCTTCGCTACGTCCACTGAATGCCACCATTGAACGTATTTCCGCAACGTTGTCAGATTGTGCACATTATCGTCGGGTCGAAGTTAATTTTAAGAAAATGCTGGACTAATTCTGATGCTGACGGAGAGTGACTCTTCTTGTTCTGCTTGTCCTATCCGCCCTATTTGTTTGTAAACTCACCTCTTTGGGTGAGAGCCGCAATCACAATCGTCGCGACGTCAGAGAATGTTATGTGATTGCCGAATAATGCGTCATCGGCTCTCGACAGCAGAGTCAATACCGCAAGGAACAATACAAGAAGCGAGCACAGGCAGTACCAAGCAAGTTTTTGGAACGGAAGTATCCAAATGTTGTCGGTGTATGATAAGGGCGGAGCGCGAAACATCCAGTATAAAAAGTCGTCGGTGGTCGCTCCTGCCGGCAAGAAAGTGAAGTGGTCTATCCTCGGGTGAGTCACGAAAGCGTTGTTTCCTGCAACAAGTGCAGGACGATTCGGGAACTGTCAGAAAATGATAGGAACTCAAATTGGTAATGGTTAAAACAAAAACAGACTGGGATTTTTCTGCTTGATACTTTAACTTTTGAAAAATAAATATGCGTATGAAATTTTAAGGATGAAACGGAAAGTGACATCCAACTGAAATATTTCTAAATCTGAGATAACATAAAACTATTATCAACTTTAAAAATTAAAATTTGTCTATTAGTAATTATTTTTAAAATACATATTATTTAGTTATTACGGTATAACGTACTAAATATTGGTCCATAACCTAAAATATGTCATTTGTACAATTTGAAAGTATTTATCGTGCTATTCCAAAAATAAAAATTATTTATTATTTGAAAAAATTTGTTGAGTGGACTTATATTTTTTGGGTCAAGATTTTGTTTCGTTTTCCACAAAGTAAATATTTAACAATTTAGCAACAAATTTTTTGGTAAATTCCATTACAAAGTTTAGAATAATTTTAATAATTTAAACGGGTATTTAAAAATCGCAAAAGCGTGCCCAATTTTCTGTAACATTTCACGCGAAAATCGGTTTGATGTTTTTCAGGTCGAACCATTTAATAGCAATTAATTATGGAAATCAATTGATTAAATTAATTAAATCGGTTAAAATTAGTGAACGAAAACGATAACCACGCCTGGTCGATTTAGGTGAAGGAGAGAAAAGCGATTTCAAAATGAAAAAGTACTTCTCTTTTCGAAAATATTGATGGACTATACAAAGCGTTTCAAAACACCGTGTCAATGTTGAAGTAGGTGATTCCATGGCTTAGTCTACTACTAATAGTTCATTAAATCGCGTCATAACTAGCTTCTAATGAATGTTTCATTTATATCATACTTATCATATTTATACTACGAGTATACAGAAAATGGATTGGAGAAAATATCAAATCTTTTGAAGAAAACGACAACTCCGCCTGGGAATGCTGGTGGGTAAATTGAGTAGCTCATCAGTAGTCATCAGCCCAAGCCCGGATAAAGGAGGAGGGTTGGGGCGATAGGTCAGCTCCCTATCCCCCAGAAAAAAGAACGACGAAAATTGCAAAGAAAAAGGACATTACGGGTCGGTACATGGAATATACAAGGTCTAAGGACTAAATACATAGAAATCTTCCAAGAACTACATGGGAAAGGAATGGATGCCTGCAATTTAACAGAAACAAAGAAAAAGGGTAAAGGAAACGAAATAGCAGGAGATTATATTCACTTCTACAGTAGAGCGGAAGAATATGCTAGAGCTAACAAAGAAGTATCTATCGTAGTACACAAGAAACTAGTGAAAAATATTAAGACATGGGAAGAAATAGATGAACAAATACTAAAGTTAGAATTACAAATAAATGGACATTACATTATCATCCTCGCAGTATATGCCCCTAGTGAAGATGCTGGCACCCAAAATAAAGATGAATTTTATGGAAAACTTAACGATACATTAATGAACATCAATTAAGATAATGAAATAGTTATTATGGGAGATCTAAATCCACGCACAGGCAGCAAGGAGGGCGACACAACATTTGGCAGATATGGTAAACAAGTAACTAATTCCAATGCTTAATTGACCTTTGCTAGGGAATGTCGTTGAAGATTATTACCGGTTTAAAAACATCCACAGGTTCACATGGGTACAACCTACTAGAGGGCTTTCCTCAATAATTGATTACATAATTATGAAACAAAAATCTAGAATAAATAACCTGGACGTAATCGGGGTTTGGAATACGGCTCAGATAATCACTTAAGTAATAACAAGACTAGTAGTAAATAACAGAAGAAAAGAAGAGAATGAAGGAAAAAATAATAACACACAAGTCGAACGAAGATATAACTTAGACAGTTTTCGAGATGAATCTACACAATTTTTATACAAACTAAGCTTAGCTAACAAACTACAACGAGTAATAAGCGAACAGACAGCGAGAGAAGTATACAACGACATAAAAAGATATATACATGAGACAGCAGAAGAAGCCTTGGACCGCAAAAGAAAAAAGCAGAACAACCCATAATGGTGGACAAAACAAGTGGAGGTTGCAATTAAAGAGAAGAAGAAGGCATATCACCACTGGCTAAAAACTAAAAGGGATTAAGATAGAGAAGTATATGCAGAACTAAATAAAGAAGCAAAAATACTAGTCGAAAGAAGTAAAAATGAACGCTGGGAAGACATGCCAAGAAGTAGGTAGATTCATGGGCGGTACAAGAGTATCGGAAGCATGGAAATTAAAAGAGCCTAAAGGACTGGAATTTAGGATTTATTAGTTCTATATATAAAAAAGGAGATAAAAAGTTATTAGCTCAATGGTGAGGTTATACGGTCGAATACTTAAAAGAAGAATAGAAGACAACTTCCAAGAAATAGAAGAACAAAGCGGTTTTCGAACGGGAAGATCCTGTATAGATAATATATTTGTCTTGCGACAAGTAACGGGAAAACGTAGAGCCCACAACTTAATTACCCATTTAGTATTTATACATCTTGAAAAAGCATACGACACGGTACCCTTGAAGAAAAAGTTTGAAGTAATAATGACATATATATATATATATATATATATATATATATATATATATATATATATATATATATATATATATATATATATATATATATATATATATATATATATATATATATATATATATATATATATATATGATGACACTATATTCCGGGATATCATCCGTTCGCTCGTTGAACTCCGACTGGAATCCTGCATCCGACTGGAATCCTGCAGACGTTTCGCCAAAATCTCACTTGGCATCTTCAATGCTCGCGCTCCGAAAACACTTCGAACACTATATATACATATATATATATATATATATATATATATATATATATATATATATATATATATATATATATATATATATATATATATATATATATATATATATATATATATATATATATATATATATATATATATGAAGAAAACGGCAAACTTTACTAAATGTTTTGGTCTTCCATAAACGTCTAGTACACTTCAAAAGAGTAATCGACAGGTATCTAATTCAGAGTTACGTTAAACTATCTTTTAAAGAAGTCGTATTTCCAAAGATACATTTAATTATGTTTCCCAGAAAGAAGGATGCTTACCGGCTATATCGGCCCTACCCTGCTGTAAATCTCCAAACATTCCCGTGCTATAAACTCCAGTTTTCTCCTTCAAGAAGCCCCAGCCGCTTCGAAAAATCGGCTGGTGCTTCGCGTTGACGTAAAAAGTTATGTGGTTCATTAATCGGTAATTCATCCTGGGAATGAAATCTTCGACTTGTCTAAAACAATAACCACCAAACGGCTTCTTCGCGGTGTCGAAGAAAGTGGAGAACTCCTGACCTGTAGTCCATCAGATGATGGAGGGTAGAGTTGTACGCCAGAGAATACGACACTCTGAGCGGTTCACCCATCAAGTTCATTCTCGGCCTCTTGGTATCCAAATACATGAACTTTTTATAAGGAACGGACCATCTGGCAACGTGTTGCTGGGTGTGACGTTGCGAAAATAAGGTGTTTTTGACGAGTCTGTAAACGTTAACTTCGAAACGGTCGACTTCCGCCACGTAAACATTGCTGTCAAACGGGAAGGCTATTCCGAGTGCTTCGATTGCGGTGCGGTTCCCAAAAACCATCCAAGTGTACATTCGGTGGTACAGTTTCTTACGTTTGCCCTAAAACCAGAAGGCTGTTGATTCGGAAAACGCCTGGCTGATGAGTGCCACCGTTTTCAAAACATCTGCCCATTGTTTGCAACGCGAGTCTGTTATTATTGCGATGCGATCTTTTTTAAATGAAGCCACATCGAACATTTGGGTCTTGGTTAAAAATCTAGTCTGGAACTGATCTGCAGATAGAGCCTTTTGTACAGTCACACCGTTTTCTAAAACAATAGGTCCGTGATTAGTTGGTTTCATGGTAAAATCATAATATCATAATAGGTATAATAGATATTTGCAATATCATTCTGAAAATTTAGCAGATTCAACACATATGCCGTTCCCTAAAGTACGTAAAAATTAACAACAAATTGCGACTACAATAGATGTTTTATTAGTAAGTAAATAGGAAAACTAATTGCAATGGGTTTAACAATATTTTAATGTTTTTGTCCATTGAACTATAAAACTGTACCTCCATTTATCACTCTCCCGTAGATGATTTACGCAATTAATAATTCAAAACGTAATTCCACGAAACACAAAATGAATTCATAACTTTTAATTAATTATTTTCCAAATCCTGGAATTATAAAGCATTATACTAATTAATTTCTGGCACTGACAATCGAAATTTATCAGAGATGCAATTTTTCGGTAGGTTTTGCTAAGGCTCTTTGCATTTTTTGGTATCCTTCAAATTTTGGTGACATATTGGACATTCAACTAAATTTTTTAATGTTCATCGCAGTTTCGCAGTTAATTAAACTGGGCGTAATACTCTTTATGAATAAATTGCGGTAAATAACAAACCTTTGACTGTTTTTTTTATACTAATTTCAGTTTTCATTTCATAGGATATCACACTTGACTTAATTTTTGGCGTTGTTTTTTTAACGGTAATCATATGTTACTTCGTTAGATAAACAAAGTGATACGAGATTTCTTTCCTGATCTGGGATTTCCATCCCATAACGAAAACATTCATATAGAAAGTTGTTCGCTCGTTATTTAAACAAACTTGACTACAAACCACACAATTTTTCTTAAATTTAAATAATTACATCACAGATCATTCGAAGATAAAACAAAACAATTCAACAATTCAAATATCTCTTCCAAACTCCGAGGTAGCTAATAAGTAGCTAGAAAAAATTCTTAAATTGAACTGAGGTGGCTTTTACTTGATGAAAATCCATTTAATAAAATAAGTAAGAACTAAAAGTTCAGATTCACAAGATTATATATTTAATTAATAATGTAATATTTAGAAACTTCCTGCTACTATATATACCAAAAAATGACCATAAAACCTGAGTGGTTGTGAAAATTTAAGTTCAATAAAGGAGAGGTATTTAAATCTAATTGATCGTTGAGCAATACATTTGAATGCCTCATGCCTAAAATATCAAAATTGTCTTCAAAAATGTGTTTTTCTGTGTTTAAGTATGTAGCATAATTAAAATCTAGACTATTGTTTTTAAAGGCTCTTTTATGTTCGTTAATGCGTTTCTTGAAGGATCTACCTGTTTGTCCAATATAAATTTTGGGACAAGATCCGCATTTCAACCTGTACACACCTGATTTTTGAGATTTTGGACGTTTCGATTTATTGTTTTTTAAAAATTTTCCTATTGTGTTGTTAGTTCTAAAAGCTATTTTCAAACCATATTTTGACAAATGTTTTAAAACTTTTTCACTAGGTTCTCCTATGTATGTAATTGTTTTAAATTGTTCATGTTCTGTATTAGGTTTCGTTTAGACCCAGTTAAGAAAAGTTAAAAATTTTCGCAACTGATTAAATAAACAAGTAAACAAGGCTTGTTTCCATAGCAACTAAGAAACGACTAGATTTAGAAATGAATTGAAAGGCGGACAATTTAAAAGATTTAGAAAAGTTGGTAATAAAATTGTCTGAAACACATTGAGAAACGGTTGTCCAGAAGAAAATGATTCTTTCCCCTTTTATCAATATTTTTCATCTAACCTCACTTTGAGGACGAATTTGATGTCAATTTATAATTCTGATGCCTTACAAATAATAAATAATATGTAGCACAAATTATAAATAATTTAGGATAAACCAGGAGCAGCAATGTCTCATATCTTTTCCGCAGGTTGATACTTCCCGCGATTCAGCTGAGAGTAATTCTTGTCGGGTTACTCGCTTAATAATTTTCAAAAGCGATCCGACAAAAATGCGATTGCATATCAAATGGTAACGTGATCGAAATCATCAGCAGAATCGTTATTTACCTCTGTCGTCGCAAAAGTAGTTGACGGTTTTAGCCGACAAATGTTCGAGAAATTTGCGCAAAAAAATCAACTTATCCTCGACATCTTTTCTAGCATCGACGGCCTCAGATGCAAAGCACGTACTTGCGACAATAAAGCAAACCGATAGCATCGTACGCATTTTTGCAGTTGTTATACCGGAGGTCGCGAAGAATTTGACTTATTTTCCGTATCGAGTTTTCTGGTCGGCGAATATTTGTCGAAATACCGATAAAATCGCGATCGTCCATCAATTACGCATCCTAACGATAATGGGATACGCATTAGTGGGAGTAATTTTTATTTAACAATAATCGGTCACACGTTATCTCAAATGGTCAAATTGCGAGGTATTTTATTTTCTTATTTTTATATCGCTTTGATAGGGCCTACACTCAAATTTAAAATGCGGACATTATAAATTTCTAAATGTAAAGTCTGTTAATAGATATAAGAAAGTGACTACCTGATAAGCTGTAAGAATGAAATATGGCCGAACAGGTCCGTACTTTGCTTACAATTTAATTATTTGGGGTTTTGTTAGGAAAGATACTAAACAACATTTATTTATTTATGTATGTTTAAATATAAAATAAAATTACAAATTATTTTTATTACCTACTTAAATTACTTACTTATAAATATCAGTATCACTATCGCTATCATCGCCTGTTCTAATTATTATTTGTTCTATATTATTTGCAATATAGATATACGATTGTTCTGCTTTTTCTATATGTTTAACAGAATTTTGAGGACATTGGAGTTAACACGGGAAAAAACATTGTTACGACGAATGGCAGATTTCAGTTGGTGCCAAACATGTTCAATGGGATTAAATATACAGTGGTAAGGTGGAAGCGTTAAAACTGTATGCCCTAGATTTGACCACTTTCATCCACACTCGAGAAAATGTCAGCATTGCTTATTTTTTTCCTCGCTGAAATGGGATAATTCACAATTCGTCAATGTGGCCATTGTTTATAACTTCCTTAGTCTCAATAGAATAGTGTTTTCTACATTTGGGCGGGAGCATCTCCTGAGATACACCAGACTCGCACATATTTTGCATAATTCGCACACGATTCAACACACGCTGTATTACACACGAAATAAGAATGATTACTAATAAACTTAAACTAAGTAGTATACCACACCAAAGAATATTAAACACAGGTAGGTATAAAATTATTTTCTATTACGGACCACAATTTTACCCATTCAAAAGCAATTGGTCACTTTCTTATATCTATGAACAGACCATACAGTTTAATTAGATGATATTGTTAAGGAGGCTGATCATACTTTGATACACATGCTATGGTATTTAGTATTTTTGGTGTCGATACTTCAGTTGCAGCATCTGATACATAACACAGGCCAACATAGATTTTGTAATATGGCATTTTTTATTTTTGGAGGTATAGCAACTGAACTAAACAGACATTTTTGAATTAATTTTTGAGATGTCATATTTATTGTTTTAAATATAGGAATATGGCATAACATTCTAAAAATTTAAATTGCCACTCCACTGGTATAACTTTTGCATAAATTAACAAAATATTAGCGGGGAAAATAGCCCGTTATCGTATGGTACAGTTAAATTTCTTTTTCAAACGACAAGGATTCTGTAAAAATATTCCAGATACCTTTTGCCGTGTCTGTGGTTCTTTTGTGGTCAAGAAATTTAGACGTAAAATTACCCCCCGTTTAAAAAACAATACCAAAATTGGTAATTAACCACACCACATACCTTTCAGACGTATGTGAAGAAGATTTGAGACATTGGAATAATGGAACCGGGCGATCCCTACCTTTTGGACTACCTATGATATGGAGAGAGCCAGCAAATCATTGTTTATCTGAACCTGAAGTCTTCATTTATTCCAACGCCACATGGCCCAGATGTTCGAACAGCTGAGAATACCACAAGTTTTTCTGAACCTGAAATAGCTGAATATACCCTTAGTGATGTTGGAGATATATGGAGTGTTTCTTATCAAGCACAGTTCTTGTGACAATCAGAACTTAACGACTTAGTAACAGACTTAGCTTAGATCTAGACTTCGAAATAAAAATTTACTGGCACAAGACGTTAAAATCTCATGTTTCTGGGAGCGCGAGACAGAATATATATGGTCTATTTGGAATCTAATCCTAATCTAATTTAATGAAGAAACTTAGTACTGACTACAATTGTGAGGAGTGGAAGCTTTTCATTGATTCGTCTAAGAGAAGCCTTAAAGCTGTTCTTTTGCACAGCGGAAATATTCTTGCTTCAGTATTTATGGCTTGCGGCACTTTTCAATATACCTTTTGTGTTTTGCGACATCACCAATTGAAACTGAAGCATTTGTGCTAGAAAGAACACCTGGGTTTGAACAAAAAGTAATTGCGGAAAAATCATTTTCGCCACGGCTTCCCGTCATCGTGTAAAATAATGCAAACACTTTGCTAATTTACGCGATGAATGCTTGTGAAAGTTTTAATTTGTTTATTTATTTATTTATTACAAAGGTGCCCTAACATGAAGAACTAACTTCACAATTTACAAGGACACACTAACAATTATACCATTATTTAATTAACAAAGTAAAACTTATAAGCAAGTACCTACCTATATCTACGATAAGCAGAAGATAAAAAAATAGTAATAATAATAACAATCAAACTTACCAAACTAAACCAAAACTAACACTGTATATTAAGTGCGTGAATTACAAAAAACAAATGTGAAAAAATAAGGAAAACAAATTAAAAATTAAAATAAATTTATAGAAAAACCCTAATTGCTTGATTTCGAAACGAATTAAGTGATAACGCAAAGATGTCAATGTGCGAAAAATAATTATTGTAATGTCTATGTAAAAGAGATATTGGGGAATTGTTACCTAAGTTTGTATTAAATCTAGGCAGGTAAAAAAATGAAGGAGTTCTTGTTATAACGACTCTGGCATTGAAGGAGAGTTTTTCCAACAGTAAAGGACAGTCAATCCTACTATTAATAATATTATGCAAAAATATAGCACTGGAGATAATTCTTCTAACAGATAACTTCAGTATATGGTAGAAATTAAGACTAGCTTCATACGAATGAGTTAGTAAGTTACGGTTAAATCTAAAATTTAAATGGAAAACAAACTTTTTTTGTATTCTCTCGATTCTGTCTATATATTTATGATACTAAGGACTCCATATCACACCGCCATAGTCAAGGTGAGATCGAACGTAGGAATTGTATAGAATAATAAGCGATTTGTGATCCTGAAATTCCTTGCTAACTCTTAATATAAAACCTAAATTTTTATAAGCTTTTTTTACTATATTCTCAATGTGGATATCAAAACTTAATTTTACATCTATAGTTATTCCAAGATCCCTAATCTGCTCTACTTTTTTTATTTTTACACCATTGAATGTGTAGTCAAAGTTTATATCATTTATCCGCCTGCTGAACTTAAGACAGTAACATTTATCAATATTTAAAAATAGACGATTTTTTACACAGTATTCATAAAAACGATCAAGATCTTCTTGAAACTTATGACAGTCGTTAAGGCTTTTCACGGGCGCGTATGATTTCTGATCATCTGCGTATGATGCTGATTTATCAAAGAGAAAACATTTACTGACATCTGTGATAAACAGTGAAAATAACAATGGTCCCAAATGGGACCCTTGAGGAATTCCAGATGTGATGCGGGTCGTTTGGGATTTTGCAGAATTCAATTCTACAAACTGAATCCGAGGACTGATGTAGGATTGAAGAATTTTATAAAGACAACCGTGTACACCGAATTTTTTTAATTTGATCAACATTGTTGGGTGGTGAACCTTATCAAAAGCTTTTGAGAAGTCGGTGTACACGGCATCTATCTGCACCCTATTATCTAACGCCTCAGAAACATCCTGGACATATAGTGAGAGATTGGTAGCAACCGACCTACCCCTAAAAAAACCATGTTGTGTATCTCCAAGAGCATGTTTTAATTTGAAAAATAACTCATTGGTAATTATAGCTTCCAGCATTGAAAAATACATTTAACTCAATAATCATACCCATAAATGCGGTACATTTATTTATGCGTGCAAATTTTATCCCGTGTATTTCGTCTGGACAGTTCATTTAAACATTTTTCACAATTTCTGTTGGGAACGTAATCCTTTTTTGTAATAATTGTTATCGCCATCTTTGTACGATGCGGTAACGTAAATGTAGATGCCATTATTTAGTTGCCACATTACCTTTCTGGACTCACGTTATTTTTTATTTTTATTTAAACCCACTGACGGAGACAATAAAATTCTGGAAGAAAATATAGTCGTTATTTTATAACAATCAGGGCTGGAATTGGCTATATATCTTTCAGAATATATTCATCAAAAGTGACATTGATTTGTTGGGACTTTTTATAAACTTTTGCAAGATGCCGCGAAGATGTAATCAGCAATCACAGCTAATATTTTTGAATAAAAATAGAATCCTTCAGCAAATTGATAATGTAATTGAACTAGCTTCGAATGCAACACAACTAGGGCATAGTATCACTGTATATGTTTAGGTTAGGGATCATTGCTGAATTACAAATAATATAAAAAATTCGTTATTTGAAATCAAAGTGACGTCATATAATAAAAAGCAACCCTCTCTACACGAATTATTAAAGGCGTAAATTGGCAAAGTTTGCAAAAATTGGCTACTACATGTTTTGCACTTATCGGTTGCTTTTTTCTTTGTATATCTTAAAGAGCTCTAAATATTTTGGAATATTTATTAAGGATTTTGATTGGTAGAACGTATCGTTATCCTGTATTAGCTAATATCCAACAACAGTTTGCATGGAAATACTCTCAGACTGTCTCGAGGACTCCGCTGTTTTTATCTGTGAACGCTACTGATGATTTTTAATAAATTAGATGCCAGCGGTTAACGTTAACAAAGCAATATAAAATCTGCGGCCTTCCGCCGTCTAAGCATTTTCCATGACATACTCAGTTTCTTTATGCGTCTATTGTAAGCGTTAAGGCATTTCAGTATCTTTTTAGGAGAGATTGATGATAAAAAATGTGGCACAATTGCTAACATTTATTAATAACCATATTTATACTTGATGGTTATTATTATAGGATAACGATGCTGAGTCATTACTTACGTGGAGGTCTGCGTAGGCGAAACTTACAATCAAATACAGATTCTAGGGGGTGATAATCGCAATTTATCTTCACACGAGATTTGGGTAATGTGCTATCTATTTATTCATGAAAATCCACATATAGCTTTGATTCTACAGGGTATTGCAAAACAAATATGAAAACCTTGACTTCTCCGAAAAGAGATATCTTAGTAACATGGTTTAAACATTAATACATAAGTTACTATCAGAAAATCAGAAATTGAAGGGACTGCTTTTTTTTCGTTGTTAGAGTTATAGGCACTTGAAAAATAACAATAAGCATATGTGTTTTGTAATAATACATATTTTAACATCTACTTAGGAACATTTTATATAAATGTTTAAGAACTACATTTAATTTTTCAAATAATCGGTCATTTTCTTTTGAATTTTTTTATTATGCCAATACGCATCTCGTTCTTTGGCTTGGATTTACACCATTCCTTCCCCATGATACACAAAAAATTTCTCTAGCAGCTTAATTGAATATAGGGCTTGTTGAATGGTTGGTGGTGGTCCCAGATCAACTTCTTCATCTTCTTCTTCCTTCGTTATTCGTTATACAGAGATTAATAGAGCTTTATATAGAGACCTAATAGTACAACAAATTATGTTCGTAATACAGGGTTTCGCTATAGGGAGTTTTCACTGTACTTTTAAAATGTAATCGCTTACAACATTGAAGAAATAAACTTTTTCCTTTTCAAAAAGGTAAGTTTTATAAAAAAAAATACAAGAGACACAAAAGTTTCTAAATAAACCTGGATATCAATTTTTTTCCTTATCACTTTTTCTAAATTTGGACATATGAAGTGTAAAATATGGAGGAGGTGTGTTTTTATAACAATGTTTTTTTTATTATTATTTTTCTGTTTCCTATTGTTGACTTTGGGCTCAACGTTTATGTAGCAAATAGTTACAAAATTACGAATCTTGTGTTTGAGGAAGCCATAATTTATGAGGTTCCCGTAGGTCAAATCGCTTTCCGATTATGAATTTTTAACGGAGAATTTTCCGATTTCAGATAGGTATCTCTCCCCGTTCTACGGCTACCTCGAATTTTAATTGAAGCAAATGGAAGTTACGTAATTACAGTCAAACGAACACGATTAATATTGTACGACATACGATTCCTAGAGAATAAGATTCTTCAACTTTATTTCTCAGTCGTAAGCTGAAGCTTTCTTCACTCTTTATCCTGTCGTAAAATTCGGTATAAAAATCATGAAGACATTAAATATAATAGTAATGGCACTCTTAACATGCACTTCTGGTATATTAGAGAATAACAAGACCCAGTTATTGGTCGACTTCTTAAACTTGCGTCTATGGCCGCCTAATATCGCTACACATCTTTGCTGGTCCAAAGGTATTCCCCTAGCTTTCTACTGCCTGTTTTTAAAAAAATATATGATACCCTTTTGTCATTAAACTCTAGATGTAAAACTCATTGTTTACCAAAATTTTCTCATATAATCACAATTGGCATCAAAGTTAAATTTTGGATGTAATGCAATTCCGAAATGTTTTATATGCTTCGGATACTGCAATTTAAAACATTTTTATTAATATGTTTAAACCCAATCCATTTAATCTATGTCTTGTCTATGTAAGATTATTATTACATACAGGTTTAAATCTATATCTTGCTGCATTTGTTTTATGTAATATCGTCGTAGAGTTGGCAAATAATGTCATTCTACTGTTTTTGTAACCTTTACTTTGTGATTTATACAAAGAAAAAACAATAATGGCCATAAAAGCGTCCCTTGGTTCACCAAGCTAGCTTCAGATACGGTTTATTCATAATTTGCTTTTTGTGTTCTTCCAGGAATCCAATGCTAAGTGCTTTATACCTATATTTTCTAACTTATTTATTAAAATATCCCTATTAAAAGCCTCAAAAGGTCTTCTGAATTCCATAAATACAGCCAGTCTGATGCTATCATCACCTTTTCAAAGAAACTTTCATATGCCACTGCAAACTACTATTACATAACTTCTGGATTCCTCCTGCGTCAATGAATGGAACTTGCTGCTGCAATTCCCAAATGTTTTATATGCCTTGCTGCAATTTAAAACATTTTTATTCATATTTTTAAAGCTAATCCGTTTAATCTATTTCTTGTCTATGCAAGATTATTATTACATACTCGATTTAAATCTATATCTTGCTGCATTTGTTTTATGTAATATGGTTGTAGAGTCAGCAAAAAATGTAATTTAACTATTTTTGTAACTTTAACTTTGTTATTTTTAGAAAGAAAAAACAATAATGGCCATAAAAGCGTCCTTTGATTCACCACGATAGATTCAGATACGGCTAACTCATAATTTGCTTTTTGTGTTCTTCCAGGAATCCAATGAATGCTAATCTAACTTATTTATTAAACATCACCATTAACAATTTCAAAAGCTCTTCTAAATTCTACAAATACAGCCAATCTGAAGCTATCATCACATTTTCAAAGAAACTTCCACTGTAAACTACTATTACAAAACTTCTGGATTCCTCTTGGGTAGATTGTTGATGGATGCAACTTGCTGCTGCAATTCCCAAATGTTTTATATGCCTTGCTGCAATTTAAAAGATTTTTATTCATATTTGTAAACCTAATCCGTTTAATCTATTTCTTGTCTATGTAAGATTATTATTACATACTCGATTTACATCTATATCTTGCTGCATTTGTTTTATGTAATATGGTTGTAGAGTCAGCAAATAATGTAATTTAACTGTTTTTGTAACTTTTACTTTGTTATTTATAGCAAGAAAAAACAATAATGGCCATAAAAGCGTCCTTTGATTCACCACGATAGATTCAGATACGGCTAACTCACAATTTGCTTTTTGTATTCTTCCAAGAATCCAATGAATGCTAAGTGCCTTATATCTATATTTTCTAACTTATTTATTAAACATCGCCATTAACAATCTCAAAAGCTCTTCTAAATTCTAGAAATATAGCCAATCTGAAGCTATCATCAAGTCAGAAAGTTCCGTCAGAAGTTTTGTAAATTGATGATATCATGTTGGTTTTATTGCTACCAAAAAAATCAATGAATTATTCTGACACGAACTCTAACAAAGCTGTAAACCAGTATCGCCATTTCAGAGAGCTATATCCAACTAGCCAACAAGCTTCAACAGCTCAACGTGAGATACCAACATTTAAAGATTGGTGGGTTTACGCAAGGTGATCGATTTTTTACTTTTGCCGTGGACATGAGTTGCGAATCATTCACTGACCTCATAACACAGGTACAGTCGCCCCAGAATTACAATAGAATATTGACACTTCTACTCTATTGAAGTTGGTAACTAATTTAACAGACATTATTTAAATTTTTAAGTACCAGCCGATATTATTGACTCTCTTATAATTCTGGGACGAGTATATTAGAGAGAATTCTTTTCAGGCTTTGCAAGCGGAACTTTTCACGTATCCTAACGTGTGGATCGTATTCGGAAACACTAGCGAATTGAAAGCCAGTAACTTTTACTTTCCGATAAATAGCCACGTGCTGGTCGCGACGTATACGGAAAACGCGACGTTTGACATAAAAAATTTGTACAAAGTAAATGTACATTCTACGGCTTACATCGAGCACACGGCGGCGCGGTGGTATGGAGAAGGAATTTTCGATTTTAACGAGACGATTTTGCCGAGAAACCGAAGCGACATGATGGGCACGCCCATCAGGGTGTCTTACGTGTTCGAAAACAGCGATAGTGTTAATCATTTATTAGACCACAGGTATACTAGATGAAAATACACTCATTGGCAAAAGCTTTACACCCCATCTAAGGAGGCATTATAAATAAAAATGTTGAATCAATTATATCAAATATGTTCGCAATAGTTTGAGCGGAATATATATCAAACTTTTCCCAATCTTTCGCCAATCTTTCTTTTGGCTTCTTCAGTACTAAACTGAAACTGGTGCGTATTCTACTCTGTACCTGCTTACATATTGTTTAAGGGGAGCGGAGCTAAATGAGGGCCATAAATATTGTCTCGGTTGATTGATTCCCAAATTGGTGACAGGTAAAGACCTGACGAAGTTGCATACTATACTTTTTCTACGACCGTTAGTTTTTGGGTCCATTTTCGCAAAACAACACAAATACATTCACTGACGTGACCATCAGAATTGACAAACGTCAAAATTGAAAGCGTGGGAAATATCTCCGAAAACATCCGATTGCTCCCAAATCCGTGCGGTAAAATCCCGGAAATGTCCGAAGTGGTTCGGATTAATGGGAAATGAAATTGACACGGTAAAGTGACGCTTCCCGCACGCTAGGATGTCTGGACAATATGTTTTAGTATACAGGAATTATAGGAACTATAAGAAAATAATTAAGCTACAAGTTGAATTTTTACTAGAACCAGCATAACAAATATTTCTTATCAATTACTCTCTATAGGAGGTGCTTCTTGGACATTTTTTCACTTTGTTTCATGTGCGATATATAGAATCTCAAAGTTATTTCAATAGAGGTTAAACCTATGAGTTTGTGAAAACTAACGCTGCACGCCGATTTACAAAAAAAAAAGCTCACATAAAAATTACCTGTAGAAATTGCATCGTATCTACAGGGTTTGAAGAACAAAAGCGCCAAATTAATTACAGAATCATACTGACGCTGACGTGGGTACTGCAATTCTGCACTGCTTTTCCAGGCCTTAACTCATTTTTTGCCTGAAAATCTAATAGGATTTCGACATATTTTGGGAAAATACTGCCGTAAAAATGCCGCATGCAAACTTCTACGATCTGTCAGCGGCCATGTTGTTTGTTGAAAGTCACAAGGTCTTATGGGTCCTACGTCAGAATTTGTCATTGGAGCTGCCATTGGTTTAAAAAGGAAAATTTAAATCTCGAGCATGCGCATGTTGAATGGGCCTTCTCAAAAAAAAATTTAGTTGTTGCTTCATGAGTTCCTGTACTTTCAGCATAGGCAGGACCTATGGTTTATACTAATGAGACATGGATATATGCAAATGGTACAATTTGGAACCTTGTGCAAGAACTGATTTTTCATTGTCCGAAAGTTGGTACAGAGTTTGGTAGGTGAGAAAAGGTTGATGGTTCCACTAGTGTTGAAGTTTTTTTTTTCAAAGTTTCGAATATGATTCTGGGTAGAAGGTAAACGAAGATTTTCTGCTTTGTCATGAAAGGGTATCGAAGTTGTGGGGACAGATGCAAGCAATTTCAAGATGAAGAGATAGAAGCGTCTAATTGATTTGGTTGATTTCTTTACGGGTATCATGAACTCTTTCTCGAAGTGAAGCAAAACTAGATTTTCGAAGAATTTTATAAGTGGGTGGGGTTTTGACATGATGGAAAATTTTAAGAAAATTACGGAAACATTATGGTCCCTACCACGTAACAAAAAGGTCAGTGTACAGAGCAATCTTACCAGTTTCCTTCGAAATCAGCGGCAAGAAACAGCAAATAAGCTGATAACAGGTGTAGTACACAAGAAATTTATTATTTTTGATGAAATTGAAGGTTTTACCCAGAATAACTTGCCATAACTTGTTGCCATTTACCATTAAGCATCTCTCATAGAAGTCCGCATCCACGTTGAAAATACTGGAAAGGCTGTTTTTGTAATGAAACGTTCATCAGCAAAATTGTCCGCCATAGAAAAAAACCTCGAGGAAGACACTGCGAGCTAGTTCCGTACTATATGGTGGATGCACAAAAATCTTCCATCCAAACTCCCGAAACTTCTGGAAAATCACTATTGTTGTGTATGAATTGCTGTTGTCCGGATGTCAATTATCTAAAGCTAGGTCAATTGTGCTACGCAATATTGCGAGCGATTTTATTTTTAGAGTATATAAGGACCTTTTGGACTATATGGTCTGTAATTTGCAGCCTCTCGGCTTGCGTTTTCAGTTTTATCAAAGAAAAATATCTTTTTTACTTTTTGCTACACCCATTACTAGGAATGCATGCATGCATGCAGTAGCATTAGTAGAGGAGGCAGTACTTATTAATTAGTTAGTATCAAACTTTTTATATTTATTGTTTTTTTTATTTTTCCGTTTGTTCTTACTAGTTCAGTATAGTCGACACAATTTAATTCATATACAAGTTGATGCGTGCAATATTTGAATTTTTTAGGAAAAACCAAACGACTTTTACTTATCTATCAAAAAACGGGAATTAATTTTTACCACTTTATTTAAGTGAGAGCTGAATCGGTTGTGACTTTTTTTTTAATAATGACGTTATAGAATTGTTTATTTTAATTTAAAATATGAACAAATGAATTACTAAAAGGGATACCAGTTTAATGGTTTTTATTTTTGCAGTTTCCCTTAACAATCCTTCCCAATTGCCTAAAAAATCATTTGGGGAATGCAAAACGTTTGCCGATGCGTATTGAATAAATATAATGTGTGATTTCAGTATTGCTGAAGGCATTTTTCAGGCACAAAGAGACCGACAAACTGTCGAAAATCAATTACGTTCTGCTGGATCACTTGTGCGATCTCTGGAACACGCCACAAGTGAAACTAATCAGAAACGAATGGGGTTTAGAAAAAGATGCCGATAACAATTATTACAAAGGCATGCTCGGAGACTTGTATACGGGGCGAGCTGACATAGCGGGTATCGCGTATCAGACTCCTTATACGTTCGAGTATTAAATTCTATTCTCTGGTTACAGGGACAGTAACCTTTACTCCTGCCGACAGATTGAAACACTTCAGATACCTAGTGTCGACGACGAAGGAATTGCCGATTAAGTTTGTGTTTAGGGCTCCGCCACTGGCATATTCCACGAACCTCTTCGCTTTGCCGTTCGATAAGAACATCTGGTATTCGTGTGGTTTCGTTTGTGCCTTAGGTGCAGTCTTCATAGGCGTTATAATGATCTGGGAGAATAAACGAAAGCTATTTGATGACTGCGAGGAGAACAAGCCGAATATTTGGGACGTCGTTATGATGCAGGTTAATATTTTTTCTCGGCCCTAGTGGCATCGCTTCCAAGGTTTGTCCCAAAACTCATACCCCAAGTGATGCTATAAAACGGAATAAGAAGATTTGTTTAATAAACGTAAACGGGAAATATTATTTGTTAAAAAGATACAAACAAACCTTAATGTTCGAAAAATTTTAATGATTTTCAATCCACTAAGCATCTTAAAATCAGCGACAAATGTGATGAACAAAAAAATAATTACTGTTGAAATGTTCATGGCGCAATTTGTGAAATTTGCAGCCTTCGCACATTTGCATTGGTTAGATATAATATTCAAAAACTAATATCTCGCAAAAGATTAAAAATATCGTTATCGAAAAAGTATGAAACAGCAGTCATTCATGAAAGTGTGAACGCGTCTATTAGGAATTAGGTTCAAACTAATTTTTTTTATATACTCGAAAGGGTATGAAAATATATTATTTCCTTCCGGATGACATGAATATGACGTTCTATTTAACTAAATGATTTTATTACAACATCTTGTATAAGTTTGTAATTTAAATTACAAAGTTTAAATTCCATAATTTAAATATTTCTTGAGGATTTGAAAGTTTAAAATTAGAATAGAAATTAAAAAAATTATTTCAAGGCGTCAAAATAATAATTCAACACTGAGGACATAAGCGCATAGTGATTTTACACTATCAGATAATTTAAAAGACAAATATGTCGAAAAGAAAGCACGTAACACTAGATTTAAAACAAAAAGTTCAAGTTATAAAAGATATTGATGCCATGGTATGAGTTATTCAAGCATTACTTCAAAGCATGGCATCGGTAAAACTACAGTAACTGATATAAATAAAAACAAAGACAAAATAATTTATCCAAGAAAATGATGTCGGTGCTTCAAACAGAAAAACACTGAAACTCAGTGCAAATTCTAAAATCGATAAGTCTTTATTTAGATGATTCCGTCAGGAAAGAACAAAAGGTAAGTTTTCTTTTGGTTAATCGTTATAAAATATCAGATTTTTCTCTTTTTATACAATTTTATTTAACTTGATATAGCCCGGCAGTATATCAAATCTTGCGATTCATATTTGGCACAATTCCCGTTGTTTTTTACAGGGACGCCAATTTCTGGGGAACTTCTACCTGAGAAGGCTAAGTTCTTCTCCAGAGAAATAACAAAAAGGACGATTTTAACATTTAACAGTTTGTGGAGAATCACTTTCAAGCGACTATGATGCAGTCTTGCCATTTGTGGAAAAGTTTGCTGGTATAATGAAGTATATATAACGCTGATGAAAGTGGGCTTTTATGAAGAGTTCTTCCAATCAAAACCTTAGCACAATCAGGAAAAAAATTTGCTCCAGGACAAAAAGTTAGCACAGAACGAATCACTTTTATGCTCTATTGGTAAAATTATGAAGCTCCGTCCTTTAGAAATGTTAACGAGCGAAATTTTCACTGAATGGTTTCACAGTGAGTTTGCTTCACCAGTAAAAAATTTCTGTGTTTTTCCTTCCCCCAAATTGTACGCCATTGACACAGTAAATGGATCGACATGTTACACAGCCTATAAAACTAGTTTATCGTAAGAAGTTGTGAGATACACAATCCAAGGAGATTCAATATGACGCGGAAGAGATTACGGAATTAAGTAAATCACTTGACCAGTGCTTAAAGAATGAAGGGATCGAAACATGGGTATCGAATGATAAAGCAATCAGCGACGCATTGACTGAAGCTAGTAGTCGCTTGCTTGGGCAACACAAAATAGAGTTCCGGAACATCGAATCGTGTCCTTGCAGGAATTAAGAAATCAAGCTGTTTTATTTTTTAGGTTTGTGTTTGTTGCTTAAAATAACATTGGGTACAGTTTCTGTTAGGTAATAAAATACATTACATATGTATTGTGCAAAATTTAATATACATGCATATTAAAAATGTAAAAACTTAAACAGATGTTTTTATTACTATTTACAAAACTTCTAGATTCTAGGGTGAGTTGTTGAGTTGAACTTTCTAACGTTTCGCTGAAAATGTTCAGTTAAGCTCTGAAGAAGCCAACAGGACGATTAGCGAAACGTTAGCAAGTTCAACTCCACAACAACCAACGCAGGAGAAATCCAGAAGTTTTGTAAATTTTGACAATTAGGTGTTCGCACTAAAGAGGTTGCACTGTGTTAAAATAGTATATTATGCAACAAGTGCGGTAAACGGCATTTGACTCACGAATTTCATAAACGAGTGAGTTAAAAAGTTTACCGAACGTGTTGCATACTATACTTTTTCTACGACCGTTAGTTTTTGGGTACATTTTCGCAAAACACGAATACATTGCTCCCAAACCCGTGCGGTAAAATCCCGGAAATGTGCGAAGTGGCTCGAATTCGTGGGAAACGAAACTGACGGGAATAGAAAAATGATTTTTCGATTTATTCGCAGAAAAAATATTTTGTATATAGTTAGGCTTGTAAAGGCAAATGTAGGATCTAGTCAAACTAAAAACAGAAAAATTAAACTGTTTAAATGTTAAATGTTTAAATTTATTTACTCTTTCATTGAAGTAGGCAAAGGCCATGACAACTGGACGCAATTGATAATTTATTACTACTAATTTTCTTATCAAAAATAGATCTTTATTGTTTACATATGATCATAAATTTGTAAAAAGGCTTGAAAGAGTGAATATTCTCAAGTCGCGAAACAGTTGAAGACAACAAAAATAACGACATTTAAAAAACATAGTTCTAAGCATGATGAGTTACCCAAATATGCCATGCTATAGTTCAGGAATGCATATGCAAAATAATATAAACCTGAAAGACCAATGGAAACCAATTTGCTTAATCTTCACATCGCGGAAGAACAGGTAGAAAGTTTCTCAATTTGATCGTTCCGGGTTTTAGGTTAGAGTCAAAATAACTACACTCATGGCTTCAAAAGTGTTTCTCTTGATTTCGCTTTAAATCGTTTAAAGACAATATCGAAAAGCGCTTCACCTAGAATTTGTCGTAGATTGCTATCGCGTGCCAAACGCATTCTTTCTACCAACCGAAAAGCATTTCTGGCAGAATTGCCACATTGACGATCCTATCGACGTTCACATACGTCTACGTGGCGTTCTCTGCCAGAATCGTGGACCTATTGCCTACCACGTCCGATAACATAAAAAACATCAGAGGATTGTACGAATCCAACATGGACATGGGTGTAAACGACAACGACTACAACAGGTTTTACTTTACGGTAGGTAAAGCACGCTTTTCCAGCGAAACCAATCGACGCCGACTAATTTGCAGCACCGCCAAGACCGTACTGACGAGTACTGGCGCAAGCTTATATACGAGAAGAAGATATCTTCGAAAAATTCCGACAGGCAGAACTTTATCAATGCCACGCGAGGTATGAAATTGGTCCAGACTTCATACTTCGCGTTCCACGTCGAACTGAGCACCGCGAACAATTTTATCGAGAAAACTTTCACCGCGCAGGAAACATGTTCCGTCAGAATGACAGACACCATCTTCAGAGGCGACATACCTCACTTGTCGACTCCGAAAAACTCGACTTACGTCGAGATTTTTCTCGTGGGGTGAGTAGTTTCCGAAACGATTCGTTTTCGATTTTGGCGAATCGAACTTCCAGCTTCAGGAGATTATTCGAGACCGGGATCCATAGCAGGGAGCACAGGCACTATTTTACAGCTCCGCCCAAATGCCAGGGGACGAGCAAGGTGTTTATTAGCGTCGGTCTGGTCGAGTGCTACTTTCCGTTTATGGTTTTCGTCGCGGGTGCGTGCTCGAGCGTGTTTGTTTTATTTTTGGAATACGTGGTTAGCCGGTATTTGTTTAACACGTCGAAAGTCCTACCCAAAAAGCTACTAGCTATTTTGGCGCAACGAATCTTTAGCGTATTCGAGCGCTAGCTTTCGTAAATTGAGTCCACTGTAGAGAACTAAATTGCTGCGTTAGACATATATCGATACATCATAAAATGGAGGGTGTTTCAGTTCACTACAAAGATTTAAGGGCATATTTATCAGTCAAGAATAAGAATTAGTTTTCCTATAGCTGTAAATTTTTTGAAAAATAATAAGCGTGAAGTCTAACTAGGTTCGTTTCCGAGATATATTTTATTGTTTCAAAAATTAAACTTTTATGTTCCTTCCGCTTTTTTTTTTCAATATCAAGGTTCACCTTAAAGATACAAATGCAAAAACCGTTGTCCTTAGAGGACGTGTTTAAATGATAAAACAGAAAAATTTGTGACTGATACACCATCAAAATTACGCTTTTTAAACACCCTGTATATTGCCCGCGATATTGCTTTTTTAAGTATCGATAGAATGTGAGTACTAACACCAGTTTTCTCAAGGAAACTTGGGTACATAGACAAGCTTAACTTAATTTTAGACGTAAGAAATTTTAATACAATTTAATTATTTTTGGTCACGAGTTCTTCAAAATTATGAGGATCGATATTTGAAGCATCGATATATTTGTTCCAATACTACTACTATCATACTGCGTATCAATAATTTCGTTCAGAACGAAGTGTAACTATAGAATTTTATTACTGACTGTTTTGATTGACTAAGGTGTAAGGTTTATTTTATACCTATAAGGCAAGAAAATATATTAAATTGTAGATAATAATTTATATAAAGTTCTCCTATAAAAGCGAGCGACTTAAAATCATTGTAGACAGAACAAGAATCTCCCGTTGCTGCTACTTCATTATCAACCCTATAAAGCCCACCTTCGGGACAGCTTAGATGTTTCAGGCATATTTTGAAAGTGTTGCTAATTTCCAATTTTGCAGAACCAGGAAACTAATTGATTGAGAACCAATGATCTGTATGGTGTTGTTAATTGTAAAATAATAATATAAATACCTGTGCATTTTGGTTGGCTTTGAAGAAATAATTGCTAGCATGTTTAAATGTAAAATAAAAGATTTGCAAACATAATGGCATTTTGATGTAATAATTAACAAAATCATTATGGTAAAGGACAAATTGACAATCAATGTTACGAACTTGTGACTATGACACACGCCTAATAAATAAAATAAAAATTATTTTAAAAAAATATATGGAATAATAAAATATTTTAATAATTCTACTGAACTGCGTTGAATACAAACAATTCAAATCCATGCTAAAAGCATCGAGATTTTGGTCTGTATATATCGTAGTCATAAAGCAATTCTGTGTAGGGAAAGCGGATTTGGTACTTTTTCACCAAACTGAGATGTTCGTGAACAATGACGGAGATCCTCCTGTCTGACTGTGCGATATAAATTGCATTGCAATCCTCACAGTTCCTGATCTAGAAAAATAATATATTGTATCCTTAACTTTTATTATAAATTGTTTTAATGTGTTGTTTGGTTTAAACGTCATCGAGAAATTCTTGAACAATTGAGCTAGGTGCGACGAAATATTACCGAAAAAAGCAAGCATTGGAACTTGGGTTCTGGAGGTTTTGATTTGATTATATAACACAATAACTGGTATTTGTTGGCAAATTCATAAAATAATTTGCTGTAATAATTGGTGGATAACCGTAATTGAATGCAATTTGTCGTCGTCAATTCCTTATTGAATGCTTGAATGTTAAAAAGCCTGCAAAATTCTGACGATATTTCAGAAAGCGATATAACATTTCCGGTCTCGATCAAGAATAAAAAATTTCACCGAGAATATAAAAATTAAGTAAAGTAAATATGTTGAGATAAAATATGGATCCAGGGTAGTTAAAGCAAGAGAGTGAAATAATAACTAAACAATAAAAGAAAATTTGTGTTCTAGGTCAATCTGAGTGGAAACTCAGAACCTCCTAAATTTTAAATAAAACAAATATACAACGAGCTGCTGAAAATCGATAAAATTATATCTGTCGTTCCGATCGTTTAAAATTTATGGCGTAATGAACAGTAATTTCGTTTCGGATCTTGCGGCAGCTAACGACCACAAATTAAATCAAAGAACGCGACCGATATTGTGTTGTTAAGCTAGATTTTCAAATTCGCCTCGAGAAAACTACACTTTCCTAAATGTCTGAATATACACGCAAATATAATAAATAATTTACAAAAATTAGAAAGGTTCACTTTAGGTAAGAGCAAAAAAGTATGCAATTATTTTTATAGAAATACTTTAATTAGTTGAAAACGGTTATTAGGACACATAGTATATCACCCGGCTGATCAATTTATCAGGAAAACAAAAGGATATCTTGGGAAATTGCAATTCGATGCGACGTTTGTTCACGGCAAACAAAATTACGAGCACTTTGACGACCATTACCCGCGATACTTCGTTTTCCAAAATTATCGTCATTCTTATAAATTACAATGGAAAAAAGCTGAACTCGCTTTAGTAATCGAAAATGCGTTGGGAGATCATTTTCCCAGTGTTTCTGGTATTCCCCGCCTATGGCGAACCGACTTTCCTCGATTTTCTTGTTGAGTTCATCGATGCCGACGGTGGAAATTTAGCGGTAAACCTATTCGAATGTGGCAAGAGCGGTGAATACTTTCCGTATTGAAAATAAACCCCAACTGCTGCAAATACTTGTTGTAGATTCCGTTAAAATGGCGAAGAAGTTCATGTATCACGGATTCTTGACTGATGCCGTTTTCATAGACTCCGTGCAGGAAACCTTTCCTTTAAGACCCGGCAGACAGTTTTTCGTCATAAATCTTTCCTGTAACAATTCTATTAATTTATTAAACCAAGTAAGTAGCTTAATGACAACATACAATTTGATTTAGGGTAAAATACAAAAACAGAGAAGTAGAGTGTGTAAGGCGTTTCGAAGTCACACCACAATACGCCCAAGCTCCGCCCTCAATGAACTTCTCTCTCGCTCTTTGATGCCATTCTGCTTAAGCAGTGCATAACGCATAGCATTGGTTGGATATAATATGTTCAGATAATGTTATGATAAAATGTAAAAATTTAAATATTCGAAACAAATTAAATTTGAATAAAGTTATATGAAACATTTTTTTAAATCCTAATAAAAAAAGCATATTATTATACAAAATTTATAGGAACTTTTCCTTATGTTTATGGTATAACGTAACTAACCAAAGCTTCCAATTGAATGTCAATATTAGGGGGGCAATTTCGGGTCAATTTTAAAAATAAAACTTGCACGCGGTAAAACTTACAGCGTGGTAACATGTTTAAAAATATTTTTTTTTTATTATATTTAATACAACTTTAGATATTTTAATGAAATATGGCGCACCTAGGTATACTATATATCAAAAGGCATTATTTAGTGTGCCACAATTTTCATCAGCATTGGTGGTACGCCACTGATTTCTCTTAAAATAAAAATTATTCTTCAAATCCAAAATCATTAAAAAAAAAATTACTTTCTTGATTTTTACAATCCGATGTACTGTTTTCGGTTAAAAAAAATAAAAATCTCTTCTCTACATGGTCATAAGAATATCGTTAATATGACCACATGCAGTGAAATTAGTTTTTATTTTTAGGCGAAAACCGTGCGAGAGACTAAGACAAATTAAAGATCAAATCTGCTCATAAATGAATGCAAATATCTTTTTTTTAAGGAAATCAGTGGCGTGCTTCTGACTATCTATGGATAAATAATATTTTGGTTAATTAGGTCGCCACTACATTGGTTAAATCGAGAACTTTGTTTTGTGAAAAATAAAATATCTATCCGAAACAAAATATCTGGATTTTAGTTACCAACTAGTGTCCTTCAGAAAAAAAAAATAGAAGACTGTTCTTTTCACTTTCTTAATTTTTTAAAAAACCCTACCTGATATTAATAAATTTTAACAAAATTGTCTGTTAATAAATTAATAATAACCCTTTTGAAAAAAAGTAGCGAAAACCGCACATCGGATTGAAAAAATTAAGAAAATACATTTGTTTAGAAATGATTGGAGAGTGTAAGAACAATGCTCGCCCAAATGAACATGTGAAATTCCGTATACCTGCCGATGCTGAATTTATGGACACTAAATAATGCTTCTTCATACATGGCACATTTGTGCCAAATTTCATTAAAATATCTAAAGTGGTATTACAGATATTAAAAAATATATTTTATTTTTGAAAAGTATCACCCTATATATCAAAAGTTAAGACGTTTTGGATGAAGTTTTCTTTTTAAAATTGACCCAAAAATCACCCCTTTACTGACATTCAACTGGTATACTTTACAATACTCTTCATATTTTTTGGAAAAAAATTAACAACCGTACTGATACTTTATTTTAAATTGTAAATTAAATGTTGGGGGCGTGTTTAATGTTATTATACATTTATATTTTTATTATATAATTATTTAATATATAATCAATACTTCGCTTATACTCGCGAAAATTAAATTACTCCAATCACATGACCTTTTTGCAATTGACATTTAAATAGATGGCGCGAAACATTTTTTTCAATTCTACGTACAGGATGTTCTTTAATGACATGGAAATTTGTCATATTGCTTGAAACTGGATTGGATTGGATATATTTACTTAAATATTTTGCTCTTCTGTGCGCGTCAAAGAATAAATTGCCATTAGTTTGCCCTTTTCAAGATGGTCCTCGAGCACGTGTTCGCTCTGCCTAATCGCTGGCTGGCGTATTATAAAAGTGAGGACTACGTTCTTAGCTACGTTCTAAAAGCTTTGAAGATACCGGTGATGGTCGATAGCGACTTCAGCTTGATAGAGATTCGCAGTGACGGCGCCGCGCGAGTGAAAAAAATATATAAAAAACACAAAACGAGCGATTCGTTCGAAGTTGAAGAGCACGGAGCCGGAACCAACGCTATCGCCGTCGACTCTACATTCAAGAGACGACATTTGGACGTAACTTTGAACGCTTGCATCGTTTTAACCCACAACAACTCGGTTAATCATTTAACCGACAAGAGGTGATTGAATTCGATAGTAATTGTGGTGAAATCAACTCAATGTCGGCAACGCGATTTAAGGGAGAAGCATATCGACAGCATAGCGAAAGTAAACTACGTGTTAGTTTTGGCGTTGGCGTCCATCTACAACATCACCCTCAATTTTTCTGTGCAACCGACTTGGGGATACAAAAACAACCAGTCAGAGTGGAACGGCATGATGGGAGAATTGGTAAGGAAAGAAGCTGATATTGGAGGTAAGTATAAGGGGGACTGCAGTCACATTTAAAAACAATAACCATGTAAGTAGCTAATGCAGCGATAAATTATCTGCAGCAGTTCTATTAACTGTTCTATAAAACTTCTAGATTCCTTCAGCGTCGGTTTTTGTTGACTCGAACTAGCTGTTTTTATTTTCAACAGGAAGATTGGCGAAATTATATATATATATATATATATATATATATATATATATATATATATATATATATATATATATATATATATATATATATATATATATATATATATATATATATATATATATATATATATATATATATATATATATATATATATATATATATATATATATATATATATATTCTCACGTATTGATTCACGGATGGAAAAATGTGATGACACTATATTCCGGGATATCATCCGTTCGCTCGTTGAACTCCGACTGGAATCCTGCATCCGACTGGAATCCTGCAAATCCTGCATCCGACTGGAATCCCGCAGACGTTTCGCCAAAATCTCACTTGGCATCTTCAATGCTCGCGCTCCGAAGTTCGAAGTGTTTTCGGAGCGCGAGCATTGAAGATGCCAAGTGAGATTTTGGCGAAACGTCTGCGGGATTCCAGTCGGATGCAGGATTCCAGTCGGAGTTCAACGAGCGAACGGATGATATCCCGGAATATAGTGTCATCATATATATATATATATATATATATATATATATATATATATATATATATATATATATATATATATATATATATATATATATATATATATATATATATATATATATATATATATATATATATATATATATATATATATATACCACAATCAGATATTTAGGGATTATACTTGATCCGCATTTAAAATGGGATGAACACGTAAATATACAAGTAACGGCTTAAGATCTTTAATTAGAAAATTTAAACAATTGAAAACATATTTTGAAATGTCGTACTTGAGAACCTTATATTTCGCACTTGTTCAACCACATTTAACTTATGGAATAATAGTTTTGGGAGGAGTGCTGGATTCTCATCTTAGAACGTTAGAAATCACTCAAAAGTGGATATTAAAAATAATTCTATATCCAAGTAATAAGTTATTCCAAGAGAGTAAAATTTTAGATATTCGTCAACTTTTTCTGCAAAGTATAGCAATACGACAATATAAGAAAATAGACACATTACAAACCATAAAGCATACTCATAACACCAGGCACAGGTTACCTTCCTCAAACCAACACCTCACTAGGACAAAGATTCTTTTAGTACTTAAACCCAAATATCCACAGTGAGCTACCGATTGAAATCAAAAATATAAATTCTTTAACTTTGTTTAGATCTCGACTAAACAAATGACTGCTAAATCAAGAGAGATCGAGAATTCATTCACTGCTAATGAAAAAATATGGCTAGCTTAAAAAAATTAATTCTCAAATGTGTCAAACTATCCTCGACAACGATAAAAAAACTTGACCATGAAAACGTATCCAGAACTAGACTAAACTGTACCTGATCATGACAAACCAATGGCTAATAAATTTAATACAATTTACAATTTGATCCAAGCTTGTTATTACAACATAATTTTATCACTCCTTCGCTAGCTTGTTAAACAACGTCTTCTGTTTCATTTTCATTTTAGTTTTCATTCAATTTGTTACCGTTCGATTTTTCATTACCCTTTTGACTTTTCCAATTTGTATTGATTTTTCCATATTTAATTACATGTATAATTTAGGTAGGTATTCGTTATCTTTCATTAACACATTTTACTTTCCATAATTATGTAAGACGTATAAGTTTAATTCTCACCGACAAGAAGAATTTCTTTGGTGTTATTTTAGTCTATTTATCAAATAATCGTAATTACTTTACTCCCACTTCTGCTAAATAATCTTTTGTTTCATTTTTTTTAACGTTTAGTTTTTTGGTTATGTATTTACGGGAATTAGTATGAATAGCGTTATATTGTAGTCGTGAAATTGTGGCTGATATTGATTGATAAATAAACTTATTATTATTATTATATTATAACTGTGCGCTATCGAGTTTCATTCATCGAGTATACTAACACGATATTTTTAAGGCACGTCGTTATTTTTCACGAAAGATCGGGTGGATCTGATAGACTACATCGCAATGGTCACACCGACAAAATCGAAATTTGTATTCAGGCAACCGAAATTGTCGTACGTGTCTAACGTATACACGATGCCTTTCGACAGAAGGGTATGGCTGTGCATCGCGTTCACTATAATTTTAATCATCGCGACGATGTACGTGTTGGCTAAGTGGGAATGGAAGAAGAAGAAATACGTGGAGTTTCACGTAATTGCCCCATATAGCTAAATAGGAGCTTCTCTCGGAACAAGTTCAAACAAGTTCGTTTTTAATATAAATTTACTTACGTATTAATTACTTTGTCGAACATTTGGGTTCTTCTTCTAATATTGGGACCTTACCTGTGCTGGTAATATGCGCGTGCGCGAGTGAATTAAAAACTTTCAAGCAATAAGACTTTTCAGCGTTTAACAATCAACATGAGCGCTGACAGTTTGAATGTGGCATTTTGTCAAAACGTGTACGAAAATTATATTAGTGTCTTCTTGTACCTCTTATGAAATTTCATTCTTATCTTATTTTGTTTTTTGTTAACAGGTTATAACCTATTTCTTCTGACGTTATTTCTGCGCGTTCTTTTTTGTCGACGGAGCATTACCAAAATGCAAAATATGTTTGATGAAATTTTAAAATTCAAAAGTTCGCTCTTGGCGTTAATATTTTGCGACAACACATCCAATTGCACCCAAATTCGTGAGATAATATCCCGGAAATGTCTGACGTTTCTCGGATCCGTAGGACAAATTCACTTGGTAAAGTGAAGCTTCCCGTAGGCTAGATCGGTCTATAATTATAGTATATTATGCAACAATCGCGGTAAACGGCATTTGACTCACGAGTTTATTTGACACGAGCGGAGCGAGTGATTAATGAACGAGTGACTTAAAACGTTTACCGAATATTTTGCATACTATACTTTTTCTACAACCGTTAGTTTTCGGGTAAAGTCTGTTCATAGATATAAGAAAGTGACTAACTGATACGAATTAAGGAAAGACCCGGGCAAGCTGTAAGAATAAAATATGGCCGAACAACTCCGTGCTTTGCTTAGAATTTAATTATTTGGAGTTTTGTTAGGAAAGATACTAAACAATATTTATTTATTTATGTATGTATTTATGTTTAAATCTAAACTAAAATTACAAATTATTTTTATTACCTACTTAAATTACTTAAAATTGTGCACATAATATATCAGTATCACTATCGCTATCATGGCCTGTTCTAATTATTATTTGTTCTATATTATTTACAATATGGATATGCGATTGTTCTGCTTTTTCTATTTCTTTAACAGAATTTGCCCAACTTTGTGGAGGGATGTTAAAAACTTCGGTTTCTATAATTATGCGGACATTGGAGTTAACACGGGGAAAAACATTGTTACGACGAATCGCAGATTTCAGTTGGTGCCAAACATGTTCAATGGGATTAAATATACAGTGGTAAGGTGGAAGCCTTAAAACTGAATGCCCTAGATTTTTTGCATAATTATCACAGACGTATTCCTTTTGTAGGTTCAAGCTTTGTAGAACCTCAATTAATTGCTTTTGCTCTTCGTGAAAATAAATGTCGTTATTATGCATGTAGTTTTCGATTGTTGCTTTTGTGTCACATGAGGAAGGGGTTTTAGTCAACGGTCTACTGTGATAACTTGCATTGTCCATTATAATGACGCTATTAGGAGGAATGTTCGGAACTAGTTTGTTTTTAAACCAACTTTCAAATAAATCAACGGTGGTGCCTTCATGGTAATCCAGAGAAGAATTTTTAATATTTTTCGCAGATAGAGAAAGTCCATTTGGAATCCAATCATCTTTAGAACCAGCATGCAAAATAGTTATTCTTTTACCTCTTTTTCATGGCGCGTTTGTTTTACACTTATCAGTTGAGTCAACCCAACCTTTTTCCGGGGTATCATAAGTTTCGAACCAGGTTTCATCCAAGTAAATTATTGGCCTTTGTTGTTCTCTGTAAATCCTATTTTTTTCTAGATATTCCAGTAGCCATTTCCGAATTCTAAAAGATTCCATTAAAACTAGCTTTTTGTCAATTTTTTTAAATCTAAAACCCATGTGTTGAATACACTTCCATAAGGTAGTTCTGCCACATGAAACACCGGTTTCATCTTTTTCAAGCCTCCTAATTAAGATATCTAATGTAGGCACGCTTTGTTCCTCGTATAACTGATCTTGATAACTTTTCATCTACACTCGAGAAAATGTCAGCATCGCTTCTTTTTTTCCTCGCTGAAATGGGATTATTCACGATTTTGCATACAGCTGATGTTGGAATTTTCGTCAATGTAGACGTTTCTTCTAAAGATGCTTGCCTGCTGGCACCACGTTCAATGAGAGTCAAATAAACATTGTTTATAATCTCGTTAGTCTAATAGAATAGTGTTTTCTACATTTGGGCGGGAGCATCTCCTAATATACACTAGACTCGCACATATTTTGCATAATTCGCACACGATTCAACACACGCTGTATTACACACGAAATAAGAATGATTACTGATAAACTTAAACCAAGTAGTATACCAAACCAAAGAATATTAAGCACAGGTAGGTATAAAATTATTTTCTATTACGAACCACAATTTTACCTGAATTTGAATTCCGAAACTTTAGGTAATGTTGTTGTTGTCCGCTCGGATTCGTGGGAAATAAAACTGACGAGAGTAGAAAAAGTATTTTAAGGATGGGAATAGAAAAGAAATATTTAAAAAATTTATAACCCAAAATATTGTTTATTTTCGAATATAATCGCATTACTATCGACAACGCCGCGTACGTTTTAAGTTTTAGTAACGTGAGCCCTAGGTAGCGTTGAACTTTATCGATTAAAGAGGAAAAACGTTATTTCTCACCAAACAAAGGATAAAATAAACAATAAGCGGGAAAAGTCCCTATTGCTGCCTGCGAATATCTTAATTTTACAGCATTTACTCTCCTTATATTGTCAAAATTTTTATGCTGTTAGCTATTACGTCATAGATCCATTTTTAAATATTTTGTCACCAATCGATTAGGCATGAAACTTTTCGATTTTGACAGAAAAAAAAATCTAAATGGAACTTGTTTGAACCGATTCGGAGAGAACTATAAATCTTAATCAAAAGAACCTAGCGTTTTCAGGATACGTCAAACAGCGCGGAACTGACAGACTCACTGACGGAAATCGTGCTAGTCGCATTTGGCGCCTTATGTCAACAAGGGGCGTCTGCTTTGCCCTATAGCGCCCCCGGCAGAATAGCCACGATATGTTCAATGATTACGCTCATGTTTATTTACGTTTCTTATTCAGCGAATATCGTCGCGCTGCTTCAAACCTCTTCCAACAGCATAAGGACGTTAGAAGATTTGCTGAAATCGAGGCTACAGGTTGGAGTCGATGATACTGTGTTTAATCATTACTACTTTTCGGTTAGTACCTAATCATTGATATTTAACTCTATATGGTTTCATGTTTCTCAAAGTTCTGTTTCCCAAATCAAATGAAGTTCCAAATTTAGCAATAAAAAAATTCTGGCTCTTTAGCCAATTTTAATATTTGACTTCGTTAAAAACACAAATGTAAAAACGTACTTCTTACTTTTTTACTTACTGAGAGTCACCGTTGTACAGTTGTAAACTCGCTTTACTTTCGAAGCTTCGTTTTCAGAACTATGTCGTGTCGCTAGCGACACTTCGCTAACCAGTAAGAGTTGAGAGTTTGTAGACAGTTTCTCCTCTGCTTCTTCCCACCATTCGGTCGCCAGCGACGCGATATTATGAATTTATTTTAACTTTGTATGCTGTCGTTGGAGATATCCACCATAATATATTGCTTACATTTTTTTCTTTTAGCGGCTTTGAGTTTTATTTGGGACTTTTGGATTTGTTTAAAAATCTATCAATCGCTTATATGAATAGTTTCTCATTTCTTCCTTTAACGTCCCACTAGCATCTAATCTATTTCGTTAAATCAGTTTAGCATTATAGATAGTATCATTAAAGGTAATCGATATTACCAACAAGAACCCTTCTATATTCTATTTAATATAACTTAAGGCAATTAAGCTTACACACTCGCAAATAACCTCAATCTTACCAAGCACCACAAACAACTGTCAATTGGTGTCGCTGATTTTTGAGCGGTAGGATGGTGGGGGAGTGTGGCTAGTGACACTAAAAACACGTACAAAACGCTAAAATACTTACAGAATTATATTAAGGACGCCGATCCGTGTACTCTAATTCAGCATAATACTAACTCTGCACTTGTCGCTAATTTTTTTAACAACACTTTCTACACCTTAATTCCATTTTTGCCAGTAAATTTAATGGGATTTCGACATATTTTAAGAAATTACTGCATCCAAACATTGACGACCTGCCAGCGGCCATGTTGGTTGTTGGAAGACCCAAGGCCTTATGGGTAGAACGTCAGAAAATGCAACAATTAGAGCTGCCATTGGCTAAAAACGAAATTTCAAATCTCGCGCATCCGCACATTGACCAGACCTTCTCAAAATTTTGTTACATAGTTGCTTCACAAGTTCCTGTACTATTAGCATAGGCAGGGCCTCTATATGTTTGCTAACTATATGGTCTCGACACTGTTCAAGTTTCCGCATTCCGTATGTTAAAGTCAAAATAGGTTCCTGGGCGCTTGTGGCAAACTTATTTTTCATGGATGAATTGCAAAATCTTTATTACATAAAGATTATTGGAGAGGGAATGACGTTAAGTCTGGCTTTTGGTATTGTCAGACAGCGGACGAACCGATAAGAAAAGCAATTTACGAAAGAAAAGTGGCCCCTGCCGGTAAAAATCCGAACTTCCTAACCATCGAAGAGGGCGTGAAAAAAGTCAGGGACGGCTTATTCGCGTTTCACATGGAAACTGGCGCCGGTTACAAACTCGTCGGTGAGTTTTTAACCATTTTAAACCTCAAACCGTAAAATCAAACACGCCGCAGGGGAAATATTCATGGAACACGAAAAATGCGGCCTGCAGGAAATATCCTACCTACAAGTCATCGATCCATGGTTGGCGATTCAAAAAAACTCGTCGTACAAGGAAATGTTAAAAATCGGGTACAGTTTTTGAAGGGTCGACGTTTTGTACCGACTTTTTTTTTGGGCGTTGTTGCAGCTTGAGGCTCCTGCAAGAGACCGGCATCCAAGAGCGAGAAAATATCCTAATTTATACCAAAAAACCTGCGTGTACCTCGAAAAGCTCCACGTTTTTCAGCGTCGGGATAGTGGACTGCTATTTCGTCGCGACGGTATTGGCGGTTGGATTGATAGCATCCTCGGTTATTCTTATCTTCGAAATTTTGGTACACGTTTGGTAAGAAATTAGTATATCAATTTTTGGTGAAATAAAAGCATTTTTTTAGGATTCAGTCTCACAAAAAATATTCCCAGGAGTTTGTCAACTGAAATATTTGATTCAGCCCCCAGCAATTTAATAGTCAGTATAAAGTTTATGAAACGTTGATCATAATTTATTCATTAACCTGTCATTACGCGGCTACTAAGTTCAAGTTCAAGTATGCGTTTCACGAAAAAATGTTGGGCTCGACTGCTAGGATCATTCGCCCATTGCCGACTTCCGTCGATGATCTTCGCTTTTGGTCATTGACCAATACGTACAAAGAAGACATATAACCAATATTTGCTCAACTAGCAAAAAAACAAATTTGACCGATACCAAAAAAAACCGACACCCCCCGCTTCCACCGCGGACCATCCGGGCCCATCCGGCCTCCATACCGGCGTGAACGGGGAAAAACGACGGGGCCGACGACGATTATAACTTTAAAACATGCACTGAACACTAACAACACTAAGTCCACACAGTGGAAACCGATATCAAACTTTTGAGGACGAATACAAGGGATTCTGTCGGGAGCGAACGGAGGTTAAACCGCCGCGTGCAATGCTCCACCACAGAATCTACGCGGCTACTCGAAGATCCTGCGCAGTAGGCTTCTCCTTTTTTCACAAACAGTTGGGCGAAGTACTATGGCCATTTGCCCATTACCGACTTTTTTTTTATCGCAGTCCAACACGTAAACAAAAATATTGCCAACATTTGTTCTCAGCTTGCTTAACCCATACCAAGAAAAACCGCCGTCCTCCTGCTTTCACTACCGACAACGGATTATGAAATGCAACTCCACAAAATCCACGCAGTAGACATTGCATTTAATAAAGACGCAACCACCACAGTCTTATCTGTTACACTCGGCGCAAATGCGAGGGAAAAAGTAATTTTTAATTATTTCTGCTGTTTGACGAAACAAATGAAACTCAGAAGTAAAATTTTATTAACATAAAGCATATTGGTACACAACAGAGATCATAACTTGTATTATAAAAAATTCAACAAGGTTTAGTTTAGTTTCACGTGGAACAGGAAAACATCGCGATGGCGGGATCCTCCGATTCATAAGTGATGAGTACTTCGCGAAACTTATCGAGCAGCTGCAACAGTTGGCTCCTCCGTAAATTTTCCAGGTACATTATCTCTTCTATGTGATGATTTCCTTGAAAGTATTGTTTCCTGCACAATTTTGCAAACAGTTTTAAATCTTCAGGATGGTTTGTGGCTTGTACCTAACGATGAAGAACATACTATCAATCTAACCAAGATCTGTACATCCAGCTACCTTGAAAATTGAACTTCTTTCATCGTCGGGAAAGTCCAATAACAATTCCTCTTGGTAATCGTGTTTGTCTTCATCAGTGGAAATAAAGCTGATATTCTCTAGACTGAAACCCAAAAATTTAACTATTTAAGACCGTAATGATAACAAATCCTTCTGTGACACATACTTGCAGTTTCTCATGAACATTTCCGGCGTCTCAGATATGGTCGATGCACCACTCTCCGATTCAGTTCTAGAAAATTCATTCAAAGGGAATGATGTTGACAACACAGAACTAGCCCGAGGAGAAGGAGATTTTATGTCCTTCTTGTAACTAAAAAGCAACCAATATTATTTTTTCCCACAAGCATAGTATAATTACTTCTTTTGTTGGAGCAAACCATTTTCTGTGGGCATGTACTGCACATAAGTGTGCAACTGGACCAAGAGATGGTGTTGGAGCATCCAAATAATTTTCTGGACCAACTGAGATTGTTGAGCAGAATGAAACAGGGGATTGACTTTCTGCCCAAGGGATGAAGGCAATGAAAATTCTGCAATAGATCTAAAGAGTGTGTTTTGTGGCTGGCAATTATTTTGGCAACTAAAAATATATTGCTTACTTAATTAAGTTACAGCCTGGGAAAACCTCATTGAATTTTTCCATAAGCGGAGAGTTCATATGAATGGGGGCATTGGGAGAAATCACATATTTATTCTTGGAACAAATTGGAAAAATTATCGTGGCCTTGGCCCAATAAACCAAATGAGCAGTTAATTCAAACACCTGGAATCACAATACATTTTCATATCACTTTTTTTTTCATCAGAAGATTTACTGCTTACATGAGATAAGGTTAAATCGGAATCTGCAGCTAAGGTCTGCAAATTTTTCAGTGGAGAGTATTGCATTAATAATCTTAGCAGAGATGGTGAACTATCCAATGATGTGAAGTCGGTTAAATGTTGAATTGGATACAACAGAAGCAAACTGTGATAGGGGCGTAATGCTTGCAAACACCTAAAATAGGAAAACCATTCCATTTTTGAGAACCTTAAAAATGATATATGAATATTTCTGTCTGGCATTCTAATTGTTACCTTTCAATATCTTCGGGTTCAACAATTCTGCCTCTCATATGCCACTGGTGAACCTTCTGAGGCAAACAGAAACTCAAAGGTATCCACTTGTTAATCCTGATTGATACAATCCCTGGAAAACAGTGTATATTACCATGGTTTGATAAGTGAAATGGGGGTCATGTATTTTTTTATATTTTACCTGTTGCGCATAAGTCATCATACATTTTCTTAATATTGTTTGCTAAAATACACTTTTCCAAAATTACTTGGAAAGCGGCACTGTGGTTGTTGGTATACCCTTCATCGTGTGCAGTCATCATAACCTGAGTCTGTTCAGAAACAAAGCCACAGCGTCTTTCCTCGTGTCTCAAAACAATCCCCATTCTTTGACTTAAATCATGATAACATTTAACTAAAACTCAAAGTCCCTCTACCCGTTGAAAAAAAAATTATAAAAACTTACCGACGGAATGACTTGCCAATGCTGAAAGAGCAAAAACTATATTGACAAGCATAAGTCCAGAATCATCATTATCAGGTTGCTTGTTTCTTAACTGCAACAGAGTTGGATGGCTCACAAATCTCACATCGTTGATTTTAAGCTCAAACTTTTTATCACACAGTTCAGTTTTCACAGCAAATAATGTAGACAAAACTTCGTCACTAAACCCTGTTAAAACCCCTTTACGAATATTCGAAGAAACAGATATGGGATTTTGGAAAAGCAGATCCCCGGTTGTTTTTATGGCGTACGGGTTTTTGCCTCGCATATTTGACGTTACTTTCTTTTCCTGCACTTCAAAGGGGTATCTAAACAGGAGTCTATCGCCTTTACTGTCCGATTTTACAAGAATCACGCTTATGGGATTCACTTCCATTTTGTGTGGCAACTTTACATGTTTACAGAAACAACAATATCAGAAAGGAAAGACATAATTTGATAAATAAAACAATAACAAATCACAATTTATTAACAAAACTGATACGACTTAACCTAGAATTGTGGGGAATTGAACTACAAAAGCAGCTGTCAGGTGATTCTGTCATTTATCATCTGTTTTTGTTTTGGCCAATGTTGAACAGTGTTTATTGTGAGCGACATATACAAGATATTACCAAATTAAATTTATTCGATGTGTTGCTATAACTGTAAATAATAAATTTAATAATGGGAAATCAATTAGTGGGCATTGCCCCTTCTCAAATATTTCCAGTTGAGTGGTACTTAAAAGATCATCCAGAGCTGAAATTTGATTCAAGGTAATTACAAAATTTCACGAAATACAATTGGATAACCGTCCCTATTACAGCTTGGGAAGCACTAGATTTTTGAAAGTCGCTAAGGCCGAGTCTCAGGAAGGTCTTGTTGTTGTCAAAATATTTGCAATTCATGACCCATCACTTCCTCTGCAAAGCTATAAGGACCATTTGGAGGATATAAGGAAAAAGCTTTCCGCTTCAGTGAACTGCACACCCTACCAAAAGTTTATTCTTACTGAAAAAGCAGGTCTAATTATGAGGGAATATGTAAAGTACAGTTTATATGATAGAATAAGTACAAGACCATTCTTGACTGATATTGAAAAGAAATGGATCACTTTCCAAATTCTCTACGCATTACACCAATGCCATAAAGTTGGAGTGTGTCACGGCGATGTTAAATTAGAAAACATTACAGTCACATCATGGAATTGGGTTATGCTTGTAGATTTTGCATCATTTAAACCTACTTTTCTACCTATTGATAACCCTGGAGATTATTCCTACTTTTTTGACACTTCTCGAAGGCGAACATGTTATATTGCTCCAGAAAGGTTTTCTAGTTCTGCAACTTTAACTTCAGACAATGCTTTGCTGTCTGAAAGTATGTGCGATTCAGGTGATTTGACTCCAGCTATGGACATTTTTTCTGCAGGGTATTATTTATATTTAAAAAATTCTTTCATTATTTAACTGATGTTTCCTCAGCTGTGCTTTATTGGAACTTTGGAATGAGTTACATTTTCCATTTGATTATTCCCAGTTGCTTTCCTACCGGGCTGGAAAATACTCTCCCCAAAAACACCTGGACAAGTTAGAGGATCCAAATTTAAGGCTACTGATTTCCAGTATGATTGAAAAGGTCTTATAATAGTTTGTTTGATTTTTGTATACAACAAGATTGAATTAAATAATTATATAAATGTAGACCTGTTAAAGGGGACATATTTTTATAGGAACCTAGCAAGCGACTATCTGCCGAAGATTACTTGGCCAAGCACCGGGGAAAGCTTTTCCCTGAATATTTTTATTCTTTTCTTCAATCTTATATGCTTATATTTTCTGCCAATCCTATTTTGTCTCCTGATGAAAAGATCTCAAGACTAAAAGGGGATATTGGTAATATATTTAAGGTAAGATTTGTTAGTTCTAAATTTATAGAAAATATTAATTATTAAAACACAATTGTTTTCTATATTGTGTTCTTTTCTTTTTTCGACTGGGGCTTAATCAGTCATTCTCAAATTAAATTAGAATTAGTTCCTCTTTTTGCCCTGTTCTCTTTTAATAGCATAATTGTCAATGTGTATAGTTTTTGGGTCCTGTTAAAATGTGTACATCGGAGGAAATGGAAGACGAAGACAAAAAAGATGCAGAAAAATCTCCGAAAGGCGAGTGCGAGGGTTTAGTAATCATAATGTCCTTAGTAACTTCCTGCATAAGGGGCCTCCACGAATGTTCATCCAAATTGCATAGTTTAGAAATTTTGCTAGAGTTGGCCACACACGCTAGCGACGAGACAATACTGGATAGAATATTGCCATGTATTGTAAGTTTTTGAACTATAGACTTCATTTGTTGGGCACCCATAATTCTGCTGTTTTTAGATGTACCTTGCGCATGATAGCAACTCCAGGGTAAAAATTTCAGCGGTGAACACGATCACAAAGTGTTTGGAACTAGTTACAAAACTGCCTACATCAGATGCAAATATTTTTCCAGAGTATATTTTACCAGAATTGGCTCAGTTGGCTACAGATCCAAACACGTGTGTTAGAGCTGCTTATGCCAAAAATATCAGTTCTTTGGCTGAAACATCTTTGAGGTAGGATTGAGTTGAGCCATTGTAGAGTTAAAAAAATATAATTTTTAGGTACTTAGATCATATTCAAAACAACTGGTATGGAGAAAACAGCAGTTCCAAACAAGACGATGAGCACTATTTTAATTACGAACTGGAATTGCAAGCTCTGCACGAAATGGTGCAACTGACTGTGAGCTCTCTACTTACAGACACTCAGAGCATAGTCAAACAAGCATTGTTGAATAGCGGGATTAATAAACTCTGCGTGTTTTTTGGAAAAACCAAAGGTAACTTTAAATTCGTAACATTGTTCGCATCCTATATATCCTATACTTTAGCGAATGACGTCATTTTATCGCATATGATAACATTCCTAAACGACAAGGAAGACACCCAGCTGAGAAAGTCGTTTTTCGATTGCATAGTGGGCGTTGCCTCATACATCGGCTGGCATTGCTGCGGTATTCTAACCCCACTTTTATTACAAGTAACGAAAAAATCTATACATGTCTGACATATCGTAAATGTTTTCCTATTTAGGGCCTAACAGACAGTTCAGAATTTGTGACAAGGAAGGCAATCAACGCAATGGCTACCTTGACAGAGTTTAACCTCATTAGCACTCCATCTTTGTGTGAATTGGCGGTCGAGTGCTCCTACTTCCTTGTACATCCCAACTTGTGGATCCGCGAAGCGGTAACTGGTTTTATTTCGAAAGCTGCTGGCAAACTTTCATCCCTAGATGTGCAGTGCAAGATAATGCCTCACTTGAATGCATATATGAAATATTCTCTGATACAAATTGATAAGTAAGTTATGTTCCGTTGTCGAAAAGTAGAGGGCAATAAGAAAAAGATACATCTATAAAATGGTCATCACAATTTTTAATTATACTTTTATGGAACTTTAATTTAATCTCACTGATCTCTGCAAAACATCAATAGTAGTTCAAATGAAGATATAGAAGATATAGATATAGAAGAATAGACCGATTTGTTTTCTCATTGTTTTTAACCCTCCCTAAGCTAAATTAGCCCACTGTTATTACTAAAACAATAAATAATATCTGTGGTATTATCGTTTTAGATCAGAATTGCTGTTAGAATCCCTTGTAAGTCCTATACCGAGAAGTGTATATGACAACATAGTCAACTATAATGACATTAATCTACTTCTAGAACTGTTGGAAGATAGAAAAAATATAAGAAACTGTTTAAACAACGGAAAAATCCCCAGTTACGACTTTTATAGGGACACCGTTCCTAGCCTGAAAACTGTATGTATAAAATTTAAATAAGAATTAATTTATTTCGACATACATAGTAAGATTTTTAAGAAATAACCTAACCAAATCTCTCAGATCTAAAAGCGTATTGACTATATATGTTTCTCTTTAGTTGTGTCGAAGACTCGAGGCAAATGGCATGAATGAAACCACCGAAGAGTACATCTTGAAAATGGGCCATCACTTGAGGAAAATAAACAAGCACAGAAGCAACGCGGACGCCAGGTTCAGACAAAACGAGGGTAAATATGATGTGGACACTACCAGTTGCACAGTGCGCAGTCGCTTGTTCAACTTAACCGATTCCCACAAAGCCGATTACATATCCAACAGGTAAATATGGCACAGCCTATTTTTTTTAAAAATAAATATATGCGTTGTAGAAGTCTTCACCGTACCAATACTTTGGGCTCCATCGATACCAACGTGAACTCGGATTGGAACTATAGCGCCGAAGTGTTAACGAGGCAGTCGGAATCGACAAATTCGGGAGGGCCCTCGTCTAGGTCTACTTCAAGCAGACCATCGTCGCCGCCACCTGATAATCACAACACACAATTCGTCAGCACCACCACCGATGCATCTAGCTTGCACGAAAAATCTTATATTCAGTGTGAGTACACCAAGTACAATAGCACTAGAGTATAACTATTCAAATGTTGTACTCGCACTTGCGAGTCTATCTACGGAGGGATTGGTTGAAAAAATATAAATATTATCCATTATTAAAAATAAAATAATAAAATAAAGTATGAGAATGCTCACTAAAAGATATAAAACAAAGTTTTATATTTTTTTTACAAATAAAGACCTTTGAATTTAGCATTTGAAATTTTCTATAACTTTTCATATATAAGTGCAATGTAATTTTGTATAGTACTCGTTTTCTATTTATTCAAATGAATATATATTTTTTGTAATATTGTTAATTTATTAATTTATAAATGGCCTATAATTCACTGGCCTAGCGCTGAAATTGAAAAAAATTACAATCTTTGCCACTTAATTGACATATACAACAGTTTAATATATGTAACTAAATTTTAAATACATTTTAGGGTTATAATAGAATTTATTAATATTAAACGTTGTAAAGTGTACGTACAATCAACTAACAGTAACCTAAAAGCAGTAGAATAAATTATCTTTATTTAAATATTCAGCTTATGTTCTTATTGCCCGGATTGGTAGAAAAGTATTTTTTTATAATAACCCTGTTTATGTGGGCGTTCCAACATTGCTTTTTTGCTTTTTATATATTTACATTCACTAGTTTCTTTTAGTTTTAGTTAGTTAGATTATTTGTTGGAACATATGTATATACTTATATCACTCAGCTTATGTTTTTATTTTATACACATATATAGGATATTATTCTTGCTTAAAGATTTTTCAACACAACAACCAGCGCTAAATTAGTATTCATAGCATGTTCTAGTTGTTAAATTTTTTTTGAAAAAAACAACATATATAATAAAATGGGTTAGGTCTTTTTTGTCACTTTTACCTGTCAAAATTCTTGTGTAATTAATTCCAATTACATTTCACTTTTTTTTTACTGTGTGTGGATGAAATGAATTCTATAATTCTCTTAACAGTGACTTTTTCATTACCTGTAGATAGGAGACCCACTTGTTACATAGAACTCACGAAACTGAAGAACATCCAACAAGACCACTATTACGAAGCGCTGAGGAGCAAAGAGTGGGCGGAACAAGCGGCTTGGAAACCGCAACTACCGCCTCCCGGGTGGCACCCGCGGGGTATATTGGTGGCACACTTGTACGAACACAGGAGCACAGTCAATAAACTATGCCGGTTAACGGACTCGCCATTTTTCGCCAGCTGTTCAACCGATGGTTCCGTCAGGTTCTGGCTAGAGCATTTTTGTTCGCCTGTCCTAACCTTTCGGTTTACAGGTTATGGGATTGTTCAAAAATAGAGGGCAGGAATGTGGCGAACAGATCGAGGCAGCAATACAAAATGCCAAACAATTCCGGGGTGACTGGCATGGCGGTCTGCGAGAGCGGACAGTCGTTGGGCGCGTCGTGCCAGAATGGCACTATTAATGTACTTCGAATCGACCCCGCTAGTACCAAGTAAGATTTTTTTATTACTCATTTTATTCACGTGTAATGTAAAAAATTCACGTACATCGAAGTGATAAACTACACCTTTACTTTAAAATATAAAAAATCATTTAAGACATACTTAGCCAATATAATAACTTCCCCCCTGGAGGCAGACGATGTTGCAAGTATAATTCTAAATTCTATGTATACCAAAAACTGTGTTCATTATTTTGATCAATATATTTTTAAGTGTTGTGCTGTGTGGCCTGTGGTTGAGTACTGTTAACTAACATAGAAAATACAAATAAATGGTCTGCTTTATTTTTTTTGGAACTTCTTGACTGTGACAAAAAAAAGTGTTCTTTTACCTGTGGCGAGAAAGTCAGGATAAGTACAAGAAAAGGTTTTGAAATATTATAATATTTTATTTTAATTTTTGTTATATATAGGCTATAAAACACTAATTTAGAACCGAATTTTTAGTCAGAGTACCAAGATTTAACCCAAATTGTTTAGATAATGTGACCCATGAACAGGGTGTTTTATTTAATAATTAAAAAAAAAAATTGCCAGTGTTTTAAAACAATTTGACTTAGCCCTGTTGTACTTGACAGGAAAAATAAGTACTGTAAACCATACTAAATAATAAGTCAACTTTTTCGACTACCGAAGGAGTACAACGGCGGCAAGTGGCTCATTGACGCTCTCCAAACGCTATGCCACTCACATAAAGCTGCACAATCATTTGGACGTCAGTGGGCATAATTTTTTGGATTTTTTCCGCCGTAGAATTGCATCTATTTCTTGCAATTTTTTCCAAATAGATGAGTTGAATATTTGGGTTTTTAAAAGAACCATTTTGTTACAACCTAACTAAAAGAACAATTTTAAAAACACCAAAACACCAGGAAACGCATTTTATCAAAGTGATTTGGGTTAAATCTTGATATTTTCACCTCAGGACCATACGCTTAAAATATTTCCACTTATTAATGTATCACGTTGTATATAAACATTACTTTTATACGGGCGGATGGTTGGAAAGCTGAAATCCGCTTTGTAGTTGCTCTTTTTAACGTTAAACGCGCGTGAATTCTATACTAGGGTTGTATTATAAGAATAAATCTAAATTATTCTTAGAAATGAATAATAATTCTCAAAGGATTTTTAATTAATTTGTTGTATATCCATCGTGGGTTTTATGTAAAACAGATTGAATATGCAGCGTGTTAAGAAAAGGTGAGAGAAGAGAATATATAAAAAAATATAAATAAAAAGAAAATAAAACTAAAAAAGACTTTCCGACTAATAAACACACTTTAACAACGTGTGATAAACCAACGAGCGACTCCGAGCTTTTTAACCTTTACACCCAGGTTTGCGGCTGTCGCTTCTCGTTAGATTGAAGCTCTCCAGCCAATACTCATTCGTTTGCGATTTTGCAATTAACACGTCTTTGTTTTATCAGAATGAACCTGATACAGTCGCGTCAGTTGGACTCGTACGACGAAGGATTCGCCGTCGAAGTCCAGTGCCTCGATTCGGGCTCCCAAAGCGTTTTAGTTTACGCTACCTTGTACGGAAAGCTGATCGGATGGGATCTGCGTCAACCGGGCATCGCGTGGTCATTAGACAACGGCCTGAGGCAAGGCGTGATAACCACGTTTTGCGTGGACGCTCACCATAGCTGGCTAGCATTGGGCACTAGTGACGGTGTCCATACCGCATGGGATCTCCGCTTTCACCTGCCGATTACCACTATTACGCTTCCGTCTAGCGGTCAAGCGACTAGAATAAGGAAAGTGATCAGTCATCCCACGGAACACTCTTGGATAATGTCGGCGGTGCAAGGGAACAACGAAATATCCATGTGGAACTTAGAGACTGGATCGAGGCAGAAAGTGTTGTGGGGTAGTACCACGCCTCCCCTGTCCAAGCTACATCACGTGAGTAACCTTTAATGGATTAAAAGTCGGGTTTTAACATTTGCATGGTTTAAAGAGCGCCCAATCTGCGAGTCACAGCGTTTGCGCCATGGTGAGCGGGTGTATCGATAGGTCGCCGTTCGTCTTAGCAGGCGGTACCGACCAGCGATTGAGGTTTTGGAATTTAGAAAGTCCGTCTGAATCGTACTTGGCTATACCGGCAGCCAGTGATCCGCTCGGCACCACTTTGAGTTACCACAGCAGGTTAGTACATTCGGAAATTGTACGAGGTCTGTTCAAAAAGTAATGTGACTTTTAAGTTTTATCAAAAAGTATTTATTTATGATGATTTATGATTGTCGTTTTGTTTTTAACCAAAAAGTAGCAGGTCCATTATCGCGATGAAAAATCCATGAATTATTTTCCCACAGTTCCGAGCGTTTTCTTTGTATTACTTCCCGCAAACGGCGCATAACCTCTTTATTGACTGCATGACCTTGTGGTAAAATATCTTGATGTATTAAGCCACGATAATCAAAGACAACAGTAAACAAAACCTTGACATTTGATCGAACTTGACGTGCCTTTTTCGGTCTTAGTGATTCTGGGTTCTTCCATTGAGACGACTGGGCTTTGGTTTCGACGTCATAAACATATACCCATGATTCGTCACCAATTATGACCTTTTTTTCCTTTTCCTTTTGTTCAAAATTAAGCAGTTTTGCAATAAATTTTGTTGCAAACTTCAGAAAAATTTTTGGGATTTTTCAACACAATTTGTTTCACTTCTGTAATGCTTTCATCAGTTATTGACATGACTGGGGAGTCCAGCATGAGGTTCGTCATTGGCAATCTTGGAAAAGCTGGTACCACTTATAAACATTTTTTTTGCTCACCATATGCCGCTGTCGCCATTTCAAGTGTTTCCATTCCAAATATTCCATTTTTTACACACAATTTTATGCAAATTCTTGGTTTCATTTTTTTTACAGCAGAAAATATCCGAGCACACAAAACATGTCCAACGCTTCCGTCTCACAAAAAAAGTAAACTTGCAAACAAATTACAAAAGTGACTTTTTGAACACTCGTATATTGCCGTTGCCGTGGAATAGAAAAACAAACCTTATTCTGAACCGCGATAGAATAGAAAATCCAAAAGAAATTTGTAGTACGCAGTTCTTTCAAGGGAATGACTATTTTTTATATGCATCATCTCGGCTATCCTGAAAAATTATTTAATGTCAAGAGAAATTGTTTATATCAAAAATATGTTTTCTTCGCCAGTAATGGCAACTGGTGATATATCTAAAATGTGGGTCGTGTGGGATGTTCTTATTTTCTACTACCCTTGACTATTATGTATATTGGTCAACTCTGCCCATGTTGCCGAGAACATTTCTCTTCACGCATGGAGGGTCGGCCTTTTGGTAATATTTCTTGCAATAATGTTATTGTTTGACATGGCGAAAATCTCTTGCAATTAAAACATGACTACCAACATCAGACAACTTGAATGTTTGTTAACCTCAAATGAAGCCTCAAATATAACCACCACTCTGGAAGTCAAATGTTTTTCCAGCTTGTATTTCACTGCTAGCCATATTCAAGTTAACTTGTTGGATGTCTGTAGTCAGGTTTAAATTGCATCAAACTTCCACCATGCCAAACAATGTGCAAGATTTATTGCAAGAAATGACCTTGCAATTTCTTGCAAGCCTTATTGCGCCAGAGCAAACGTCCAGTATGCTTCGTCAGGAACTTCGTGAAGAAATTCATCAATTACTTCATAAATTTATTGCCAATGTAAACCTTGAATGTGACACCATCTGACCAAACAAAATATTTTGTCACCTAAATATTGTTGTCCGCAAAGATAGTATTATTTTTTTTTTCAAAGAAACTTTCACAGGCTACTGTAATACTTTTTACAAAACTTCTGGATTCTTCTTGCGTCGATTTTTGCTGACGTTTCGCCAATCATCCTGTTGGCTTCTTCAGAGCTGGAATCAAACTGGCTGAAACAGTTTCAGTCAAGCTCTGAAGAAGCCAACAGGATGATTGGCGAAACGTCGGCAATTTTGATTCAGCAAAAATCGACGCAGGAAGAATCCAGAAGTTTTGTAAAAAGTATTATAGTATTACTATTTCTACTGAGGTGTATAAAGCCATGTTTTTTCCTGTGGGGCAGACTGATAGATGGTACAGACGTAATTTACGAGGAAGCGGGTAACGTAAGGATGAAGGACAAGGGCGAGGAGATTCCAAGGGCCGGTCCGGAACCCCCAGCTGCTGGTCACAGGGACTGTATTTCGGATGTGGCCTTGTGCAAAGCGTCGCAGTGTTTTATAGTGACGGCGTCGAGAGATGGCGTAATAAAAGTTTGGAAATAGGCGTGGTCCTACAGGGTGCAGTGATTTCAATGTTGTCCATTTAATGCCACAGATTTACAGTGATTTGGCAAGTAGTGTGGTCATTTAAATTACATAGCTAATTTATTTATGTAAGATTTTTAAAGTTATTATTTACAGATAAATCAGCCCTCTTATTTATATAACTTTACATATTACAGTCAATTGTGTTTGTGATATCTTCTTTTCTGTTCAGTAATCTTTAACGGTTATGTCAGCAGCCATGCCATTTTTAAGAAAATAAATAATTTTCTTGATTATTAGGCAACTTTTTTTTCTGAGTTGAGAGTAACTTTCAAAATTCAAAAGGAGAATGGTTAACATTTTATTCAATAATCAGGTTTATATATACAACACAAACAAAAATAAAGTGGAATGTCTAAAGGTTTTTCCATAACTAACCTACAACGCACTGATCCTAATCTAATTGTTACATTAACATAACTGCAAGTTGTAAAAAAAAGGACTAGAAAATGTTAATAACTGCAACCAATCACTCCTGATGCCACCCCTTTTCTAATCCACAATGTGCCTGACTAAGCTTTGATCAACTTAAACTGCATTAATAATTAAACATCATCGAAAATACCTCTGGGAGGGTATCCCACTCTTTTTGAATTGTTTTCCTGTTGATATCCATCCGTAAACCTAGTTCCCAAACTACCCTCACTACTATAATGTGACCCTATCCCTGTACTAGCCCCAAATCTCAAATCAATGTCATCCTGCTCTGGTGGAAACCTAGTGTCCACATCATCAGTTCTAAATGCAGTACCGTCATACATCTCCAGCTGATAAGAGTCTCTAATTCTGATGCTTTCTTGATCTTCAAGGGTTCTACCTAGAATTTCCACCATCAATTGAGTTAGGTAGACGCTTATACATGAATTAAAGTAGTTATCTTAAATTTACCTGAATCACTCTGCCTGAAACGCCCAGTAGCTGGAAATCGATCCTCATACTCCTTCCTTCTCATGGATGATTCTTCAAGTCTCTGCCTTCTACGCTTCTCTAAAATAAAAGAAAAACAAGAACATTGTAAATCAACAAATTACTTGCAATATGTACCTCTTTTTATGAGTTCTCTTCCTTCTTCAACCAAGTCAGTTGTCATTTCTTCATCACCAACAAATTGGTGGAACCCTAGCATTGACAAAAATCTCGAACCCAGACTAAAATAAGTGGCCAGACAAAACACTAGTATAGCCATGGGGAAGTAAATATTGAATCCATGGGAAATAATTCCAATAACGTCCATATGCCCCATTATCTGCATCAGATGAAAATAAACAGTTCAAAATTGACGCGCAAATTTATAACTAACCTGCGTGTATGAGGTTTCATTTACTTCGCTGTGGATAACGTGACTGTCCATATGGATCAATCCTAAAAAGTTAAGGCACAAGGCTGGGGTGAGTCTGCTAAACATCATACCAGAAAAAATCAGGCTGTGTTCGTTTGTCTGATGATGAGGGGCCAGATAATAAAGATTTAAAACTTTTATTTTAAGTACCGTAGAATATGCGCAGAAGCTTAGATAAAGAATGATAAATGTTGAAAGAACCTGAAACATACATTTGTTCATGGAGAAGAAATTTCAGTAAGACATACCTAAGACAAGTTATTACCTCTATTGTAAAGTAATCATAATTTTTCTTTGCTGCATTAACAATAATGGCAAATATTGACAATGGAGGGTGCACATTAAAGAAAGTAACTTCAGACCATACTATGCAGACTGACATAATACCAGTAATGATACTAAAAATTTTCCAACAGTAACATGAAATTAAGCACTTCCAATACCATTCTAAAACAAAATACATTAAATTTAATTAATAAATTTAAGAAAAAACAATGTATATAATATAGAAAATTTATCACATACCTACAGTGGCCATATATGCAAATCTGGTAAAATAACCAGGCTCTGACGGAAATGTCCTTCTGAACCTTCTGTCCCTGGCAACCTGATTTTTCAAGGTATCTTCACACTCAAATATTTTCTTTATCAGCAAGTGCCATTGTGTTTCAGTCCTCTGTAGCACTTGCAGTGATTTTATTGTCTGAAATCATTTAGTTACAAAGATTTTACATCTAAAAACAGAAAATATTTTACTACTAAGATACCTGTCTGTGCAACCTGACCAGAGCCTTTTCAGTGGGGGAATCAGTGGGTGTGTCATCTGGCAGTCTTCTACGGCTCATTCTATCCCTCAACTCTAAAGGCACCTTCTGCAATATCGTTTCAAATTGTGGATAAAGATAGTGACCAGGTTTAACCGCAATAGAAACAGCTTGCAGTGACTGAAATATAATTTTTTTCACCATATGATACAATATAAAACTTGAAACATACTTCCAAAACATCATCTACAGTTTCCTCGGCTTCACATTTATCAGAACTCAATTTTGCTAGCTTGAAGTAATATTGAGTTAATTTAAAACTATAGTTCGAATTGTTCCAAAAGTTTCTTGGGGCCTCCACTAGAGAATAACCAAGCAATAAAACCAGCAAAAAAAGTCCCCATGTATTACTTGCTGATGAAGCTATGGTTTTTAGTTTACTCCTAAAGAAATTATAAGAATTAAAATGCTTTGTTTGAGAAACATAAATATTACCAATCTAAATCAATACCCGGCTTAAGTGCTAAATAAATGAGAAGTATGCCACAAATAAGTAAATAGGATCCATAATAAATAGCATTATCTACAAGAGCTGATTTTAATTTTCCTTTTACAGTAAAATCTCCAGCTTTAATATAAGACTGCATCATTGGCATTATCATCCTAAAATGTATATTAAAACATGTAAAATAAATATTTCATAATTTAATTATCTACCATGTTAAAAATTGAGTGCTCCAATAAACGGTCCTCCACAAATTGATAAAAACCCTCTCAGGTAAATAACCAGAGGGTTCTTGTATTTTAAGTTCTTCTAAAGTATCATTTAGGGTGGAAATAGAATAATTCTGTTGTCTGTAGACAGTCTGCAATACAAAACAATAAACAGGCGTGCATTGCAGTTCACACCCATTTACACTTACCGAAATAACATCTAAAGGTAGAGCAAAAATAATAAGGAAACTACAAAACCAAGCCAATAAAACAGTTAGTGTTACAAATATACGATGCCTAAACCAATTACCATAACGGTATAAAACAGTGGAGGAAATGATAAATGATATCAATATTTTTGATATGAGTGGAGTGTAACTCATCTCACTAGATTTAGTGTCAAAATTTATTCTTTTAAGTTGTTCTGTCTGACTTTTTGCGCTTCTTGCTGCATTTTTTCTAGTTTCTCTAAAGTTAAACTCTTTAAAGGAATCAGTCGAGGTTTGCACAAGACTAACTCCAGCTCATCCTCAATCATTAGCAACCCAGTTTTATTTAGCAGAGGTTTTAAATTTAAGGGACTCTGTGAAGACATAATTTCCAAGAAAACACAAATAGCATATCCGCACTGCTGACGATAAGTGCAACCACCCAAAAAAAAGAGAATTGATTTCAACTGTTTAAAAAAAATAGTTACGTAGTTTTTTGTTTTTTTGTGTTACGTTACATTAAAAACCACAACTTATATGTCAATGTTGTCAAAAGTCAAAACAACACAGAACAAGAAATAGTTACGTTTCATTTCTCGTTTATTTGAGAACCAAGCAACTAGCTTCGACTTACTAATTTTATAAATGAATGTGCTAATATGTCTTTTTCTTACATTGAGTGCTTTAAACACTTTATCAAAGATAATTGGAGTACCTTGTAATAATTTGCCTAACAAAACAATAATAAAGAAAACAGTTTACTCCGTGGGCGAATGATCCTGACAATTTGACTTAGCAATCAACAAAATGATAATTCTCTGATTGTCAATGTACTGTCTGTCATAGATGCATTGATGTCAGCTGTGTTCATGAAGGGGGTAGTTATTTCTTTATTTTTTAACAAGCCTGAATTAAAATGAGTGATTTACTTAAATCCGCTTTTGAGTACTTTAGTGCACCGACTAATGGACAAATTGACAATGCATTTGTGGGTCAAATTGTAGAAATATCTAACGTTAGACTAAAGATTAAAAAAGTTATTGCCGAAGGTACTTCCTATAATGATTTCGATTGTTTTAAACTTAAACCTGTTATTGTAGGCGGTTTTGCTGTCGTATTTGTCGCACAAGATGTTTCCACAGGGAAGGATTATGCTTTAAAAGTAAAAGAAAATAATGTCCTTTGTATGTCCAATCTGAACATTTGTCTGTTTCAGAGACTTTTAGCAGCTGATGAAGAAGCTAGGAATATTATAGTTAATGAAATTAATATTTTAAAAAAAGTTGCTGGACATCCAAATATCATCCAATACTTATCAGCTTCCTTTATAGATAAGTCACAGACAACACATGGACAGTCAGAATTTTTGGTGGTCACAGAATTGTGTCCTGGTAAACACTTTTTTTTCTTTTTTGCATTGCCTGATTTTTAACGTATTTCAAGGTGGTTCTCTGGTGGATGTACTCCAACCAAGAACTGCTCCATTTGATGCTGAAACGATAGCAAAGATTTTTTACCAAACATGTAGAGCAGTCTCCCATCTACATTCGCAAGTTCCGCCCATTGTGCATCGAGATTTAAAGATAGAAAACTTATTGATAAGCTCGGATGGAATGATCAAATTGTGCGACTTTGGCTCTGCAACGGTAGAAATTTTCAGGCCCAATTTGAGTTGGTCAGCTAACCAACATTCTTGCTTAGAAGAAAATGTAAGTTGTAAGCAATGATTTTCGATATGTAGTGATAGTCTGTTACTTTAGATGGCCAGGTTCACCACCCCGATGTACCGTGCACCGGAAATGGTTGACACATGGAGTAACCACTATATAGGACCTCCAGTTGATATTTGGGCATTGGGATGCATATTATATACTCTATGTTATATGAAGCATCCATTTGATGACAGTGCCAAACTAAGAATAATTAATGCAAACTATACTCTGCCCCCTGATCCTAGATATGCATGTTTCCATAATGTTTTAAGTAAGTTTGTCATTTCTAATTTGATTTTCTTATCAGTAGAAGGGTTGGTTAGTCTATTTTAATTTTGTGTATGTTTATTGTCTCCATTTTTGTTTGATCATAAATTGCAGAGGGATGCTTCCAAGCCAACCCCGAACATCGTATAACTATTACTGGCATATTGGAACGCCTTGCCGCAATTGGAGAATCGCTAGGTTACAATTTGAAAGCTTCACTACCATTCAAAGCTAGTCACAATGTTGGCGATTTTGGTAACGGGGATTGCTTGCTAGATAGTGGAGTAAATAATAAACCGCCACCCAGACCTCAACAACCAAGTTCTAGTCCCGCACATGTTAATGGAAGAAGTGAAAGAACTGCCCAAGCTACGGTATTCATCTTATGTTCTATGGCCTGTTTACTAATCACTAAAAAATTAATTTTTTGTTCATTCTAAGGTTCCACAAAGGCCGGCACAACTGCCACAAAAACCCGCTCATCCGCCACAACGTCCACAAATTCCTCCTCCGCAACAGCCCGAACCAAAACAGGGTGGTCTGTTTTCGTCAATTAGGGGCGGCGCCGGCAGTTTTTTGAAGAATCTTAAAGACACCAGTACCAAAGTAATGGCTACAATGCAACAGTGAGTAAACTGTTTTAAATTTTATTAATTGTTGGGGACATATGAACTACTACTTCAAAGAGGAGGAGAAAGATATTTACTAGACCAAAGAAAATTGGTTACAATTCTTATACTAGACCTATCCTCTAAATATTTAGAATAAGTTGCATTTATATAATAAATCTGAAAAAACTTAATTAAATAAAAACATTAAAACTATATTTTGCAATATCTTAATATGTGATATTATAAAATATGGTGGTAATGCTTAATCTAACAACTAGGGTTGTCGAATTGACAGGTCAAATTTTTTTGTGTCAATTAACCAAATAATTTTAAAAATACTGTAAAATTTATATTTATCTATATTGTGCCTTATGTCGCTGTCGCGTCATTCTGGGAACCAATTATATTATTATTGGGATTCCTTGAATCACTATAATAATTTATTATAAAATTATTAAATAATGATAGATAACACTCTACAATTGCAAGATGTTTTTTGACTAATCAATTAAGAAGTTTGGTCAATTGAGCAGTCCCAACACTAGTAACAACTATCACCGAAAACTTATTACACAAGGTAAAGAAAGAATACCAAAACAGATTTTTTTTTCCGGGAAATTTCATTAAGTATTGTTTTAAAAAACTTTTTAACCATTTTATTGATTTTTCCCTCCTGGGGTATTCAAAAAGTAGGGATGTTTTCCTTTTAAAGTCAATATTTTTGTGACAATAAGTAAGATAATTATGCACCTGTTTTAAATGACTTCCTGTATATAAAAACAAATTTGATTTTTATATAGCTGGTTCAGTCCTAAAATTAGATATTTTTTTGGGGTAGGATACCAGGCACCTGTGAGGTACTGTAACCCACTTATGTATAAGTGAAAAATATGTAGGTCTGATTAGATATCTGGGAAATATATAACTGAGCTTTATCATCCGCATAGCGCTTACTATCTTTAAAAAGTATCCAAAATTATAAGCTATATGGTGTGTATGAGGAAAATGGAAATTAAAGTTTATATCAAAATCAGTAATTAAAATAATTTGCCATATTTAAGGAGTATGGGCAGAACAGACTTGGACATACACTATATAACATCTAGAATAATGGTAATGCCCTATCCGTCTGAAGGATTTGAAACCACTTACAGAATTAATCACATTGAGGATGTCAAACTATTTTTGGACTCGAGGCATCCTAATTTTAGGTAACTTCACGATCATATGCGCACTACAAGAAATGCTAATTTTTTTAACCTCGTTTCAGATATTCTATATATAACTTATCAAACAAACCTTTCCAATCAAAATTTGGCCAAGCCAGGGTTGTAGATTGTTCGTTCGCCTACCCCGATCATTTTAATGCCCCCCTACTCAACTCCATGTACCAGCTTTGCGAAGATATCTACCAATATTTGGCAGGGGATAGTCGGAATGCGGTGGTATTGAATTGTTCTGACGGGAAGGCCACTTCGGCTACCATGGTGTGCGCTCTGTTGATCTACGCAGGTCTCTATGAAGTTCCTGAGGATGCTTTGCAGATGTTTGCTGTGAAACGATGCCCTCCGAATATGAGAGCGTCAGAACTCAGGTAGGCCAATTTGTTATTTTATGGAAAATGTTTCAGTAAGCAAGCACCTCTTTACAGATATCTGTATTACCTTTCCGATATAGTCAGAGAGCCATCTTCGTATCCCCACTACTGCCCGGTAACGTTGGTCTCCCTTCAGATGCAACCCGTACCTCTTTTTACCAAAGTGCGAGACGGCTGCAGACCGTACCTCGAAGTGTACAGTGAGAACCGTTGCATCTTGTCGACCATACAAGAATACGAGAGAATGAGACTGTACAACATAGCGGAAGGCAAATGCCTCCTACCAATCAACACCACCGTGTGCGGCGACGTTTGCATCATAGTGTACCACGCGAGAAATATCCTCGGAGGCGTGATGACCCAGGGCAAAGCCACCGGTATCAAAGTTTGCCAAATACAGCTACATACAGGGTACATACCCGAAGAGGAGACTTGCCTCAGATTTACTAGGTCGGATCTGGACGACCTATCGGAAGGCCAGGATCATTACCAACAAAACTTCAATGTGGCCTTGAACGTTTTCGTTTCGGACGTCGAGAAAAGGCCTTCCCAGCCTGCTCCCTGGCAAACGGACAAGAACGTCAGAGTTATGGATACGGTCTTCACGTCTCAACTCGAAAAGGAGGAAACCGTAGATAATTTCGTCAGTAAAAGACCGGCCATACAAAAGCCTTCACGGCCCGAAAGACCGTCGAGGCCGGCGCCACCGTCGCCCTGTCCGGCACGCGTCGCTATCGAAAAAATCGATACGCCGAGCGATTCGGAAACGGAGGAGGAGGCAAAAGAACCAACAGTCGTCGAAGAAACGGTCGTGGACCTTTTAAATTTGAACTCTTCATCGACGAGTCGGAATGACCTCGTTAGACCTTCGCCCAGCTCGAATTTCGACCTGCTTAGCGGATTGGGCGGGGACTCGATCGGTAACGACGTGTTTTCGGCATTCGGTTCATCGTCTGCTAGTCAAAAGCCGGCCTCTGAGAATGTGTTCGATCCGTTCGGCTCTGTAGGGGACGGGGGCGATAACAATCTCCTCGGTGATTGGAGTAGTTTCGGAAACTCTGGAAATTCTCGTGAGAAACCCAAGGTGCAACCGGAAAGTCAGCAGAAGAAAGACTTTTTTGCGGATTTTGGTAAGTCTATAGCAGCTCATTAATTTTTCAAAGAAACTTCCACAGGTTACTGTAATACTTTTTATAAAACTTTTGGATTCCTCCTGCGTCTGTTTTTGCTGAGTCAAACTTGCTGCTTGCTTCCTGAAACTCTCGACATCATTTCGGATATACTAAAGTCCGAGAATCTGGAACCAAAGCTTCTCACCTTAAGTGAAAAATGCTTGTCGGAAACATATTTTTCTTATAACGGTCAAATTTTTCAAACAAACGTCGGGAACAGCTATGGGTTATGGAAGCCTTTGAGAAGAAAGCTCTACACAGACCGATACCTTAATCGACGGTTATCAACTCTCTTGTTTACAGAGCCGAAAAACTAACTCAGCCTGAGTCACTGAACCCAGAATTAAAACAACTAACGTCTCCTCTTCTCTCTAATAATTTGCACATTAAAATACACTTCACCACCAAAAAATACACTTCACCACAACCTTCCAATAGCAATGTGGCCGAAAGCAATCCTACACTTGCCAGTGTTGTCCTTCCTTACATTCAAAATATCACTGACCACATATCAAAAGTTCTAAAGAAGTACAAAGTCAAAAAACCATATTTACCACTTGTCCAAAAATCTCTCAATATCTTTGGTCCGTCAAAGACAAAATTCCATTTGAGATACCAGGAGTTTACTCATTTAGCTCCGCCCTCCTCAAACGATATATAAAAAGGTACGAGCCAGTTTCAGTCAAGCTCTGAAGAAGCCAACAGGATGATTGGCGAAACATCAGCAAGTTTGATTCAGCAAAAACAGACGCAGGAGGAATCCAGAAGTTTTGTAAAAAGTACTATAGCTGCTTAGTTCATTTTATTGCGTTTTCATCGTGTTACGATCAATCATTCTTGTACAGGTTTTTAAGTTTTGAATCGTCGATTGCGCTGGAAAACCGTGACATCATTTGTTAGTTCTCAAAAATCCGCTAGCTTTTACGGATGTTTCTTTTTTAGCAAGAAGCTACTGTACAATTTAAAAACATGTTTATTGTTTATGTCGCTGGGTATATACTAAACAGGGTAATTCAAGGTAATTCATTTGTTTCTTCGCGAATTTATTCTCTTCAGATGTCGCTGACTAAACATGGCCCTAAGAAAGTAAAATACAAAACATCAATTTCTTTCTCAGCTACTTCACTTCAACATCAATAATATATTTATGACCAGGAACCTTATATTGACCTCGTATCTAACTTTATTACTTTCTTTTTTTTCGATTTATTGTAGGCCTTAACAATCCCATTCCTGATATATACGTATAACATAACATAACATAATTCTAAATTTATTATGCACAAAAATTATAATTGTGAATGTTGTATTAATTTTTATTTTCTGTCACAAAAATATTTTTAAGGTCGCGGTTCAGTACTCATCTACAAGGGATGAGGTGGTAGTGAGGTGAGAGTGTAAACATTAATGCACCATTGAGTTCTGACCTTTTATTTTGTATTTTTTTATTGCAATTTTAGGAAATAAATGTTTCATTAAAAAAAACTCTGCACGTTCTAAAATCTAAAATTTAATCATCAGATATCAGTTCTTTCCAGTATTATATTCAAATATGCAATTACACATCTGTTTAAAATTAATAATGGATAAAGTTTGTCATACGATTTACACATTCAGGGACATGTTGTATCAGTTTTCTTTGTTCAAACCTGTTCAATTCATTATCCCACTCGATTATTAAGAAAATAGATTTTATTTATTGATTGAGTATATAAATAAATGAACATGTAAAACTGAACCTTATTATTATGTTGACATACGCTTATGGCCTTATGCCGATTTTCTGTGTAGGTAACTTAGACGAATTAAACTTAGCGGGCAGTCAGCAAAAGCTTCCTCAGCCGTCGGTAACGCCTACTAGCGGCAGTCGGACACCCGTCGAGCCAGCTACGACGCCCCAGACCAGTCAGTCGACCACGCCTCAGCATCACGCAAAATCGCCATCCGGGCCAGACTATAGCAGGTCAGTGCCGAAACAGAACGTTTGAACAGTACCACGACTACTGTGGGGCGTTTCTCCTTGTTTTAGAACTCATTTCGATCCGCTGAACAAAACCGGCGCCCAAAAAGAAAACGCGAAAACTAAAAAACCCGACGACGTGTTCGGCGATCTGCTCGGATCGCAAGGGTATACGTTCACGCCCAAAAAGGACAACATGCCGAGATCCATAAATGAAATGAGGAAGGAGGAGATGGCCACCTACATGGATCCCGAAACGTTGAAAGTTGTGGAGTGGGTAAGTGCTGCCTCTTCCACGAATAATTACCGCTGATAATCCGCACTGGTTGTTTTGTTTACAGAAAGAGGGTAAAAAGAACAACATCAGGGCGCTGCTTTGTTCAATGCACACGATTTTATGGGACGGAGCCAAATGGAACAAGTGCGAGATGCACCAGTTAGTGTCAGCTGGTGACGTTAAAAAGGCCTACAGGCGAGCGTGTCTGGCCGTTCATCCAGATAAGGTAACGTTTTGGTTAGTTTTAGTGGTTATAGTCCGGAAATCAGCTGACATTTGTGATGACCAATAGTAAAAAGGCTCTTTTTTCGTATAGTTCATTGATTAATGTTAAAAATGGAAGTGCAAGCCACCTAGTGCGTTTGAGGTCGCACATGTGTAATGGGACTGTACATTGTTGTATTATACATCAGGTTACCGCGTAAATATGTGGAAAATATGGCTAAAATATAATTACGTCAACAAAGCTAAAATTTAATGCAGGGACAGTAACTTCATTAATTTTATGAAAAAAAAAGTCTGAATTTTGCATCGCAGAAAATTCATTCAACATTTTTCAGACAACTTTTATAAATAATTATTAGCTCGTCACGAACCAACCCCTGCAACAAAGCCAGTCAAGAGCGGAAGTAAAAGAAAAAAAGATGCTTCCCCAAAAACAAGCAAGCAGGGTGGATGTAGTGGAAATATTGTGGATCTGCCGAGTTCATCAATATAAACGCGTAAATTAAAAAAAAAGTTACCGAAAAATGTTATGGACTCTCAACACTTTGCACACTTGCAAACTAACCAACTCTGTATAAATGTTTTGGCGGTAATACAACATTGCACGAAAGCGCCTGAAAGGCCACCAAGGATAAAATATATATTTTAATTTAATAAGGCAAATTTTCACGGTTTATGTCTGAATTTATGAAAAAAATAAGGCAGAATTTTTGTCAAAAGTCTCTCGTAGGGGACAATACTCATCGAAACATCAGATATACAGAATGATTCAAAAAGAATGGGCAATCTCTACACTGGAAGTACTAGACATCAAAATATTATGATTAAGTTCAACATGCCTCATACAAATGTCATGGTTTTGGATATAAGGCTGTTCACTTTCACGCGGATTTTAGATTTCCTTTCCTTTTGGAACCAAAAACACAAAAAAATACAGTACTTTAAACATATTCGCTGTCCTAAGCTTCAACAGTCCCGTGTGGCAAAAAACAAACGGCCATAACATTTGCAGCTCATGAGCTCCAAAGTCTCGTAGTAAATGTTTCTTATATTTCGCCCTGTAAATATTATTATTCATATTTTGATGTCTCCATATTTATTTTACACATTATTATGTATTTTGGATATATAGTTTAAAGCATAAAAAGAAAATTTAGGTAGTTATTCAGCTGATTCATTCATTTACAAAATATCAAAATTTATAAATAACAAAATCCAGCTTAACTTAAAACTTTGCATATTTATTATTTATAAAAATTATCTGAAAAATGTCCCTAACTGAATTTTGCACGGCTGAACAGTGATCAGTAATGAAATATCTCACACGCCTGTGCTTGCAGCAATGAACTTTAACTTCGGGATTGTCATCGGAGCCATTTTCCAAAAAAATTAAATTTTCTCTTGACCAAATTTTTTTTATATCATTTTTAATTTTTAATATGTTTACACGGAAAGCTGATAGATAATATACGACCTTGCAGTCAGCTAATAATTTTTTTACAACTATACAAAATTTGCTTAACATATAAGAAAATGATCATCTTTCTTGATATTGTTTTTTGTTTAATTACTACTATAACAGAAGACGATTTCGTTACTATCAAAATCAAATGAACTAAAGTAGAAAAACTTAGCTTTCTTTTGATGATAACTCAAAAAATGGTAGCTGGCTCCCGGATTATTAACCGTCGTTGTTCTCGCCGCAGCAAGCCGGAACGACGAACGAAAACCTCGCAAAGCTGATATTCATGGAACTGAACAACGCTTGGAGTGATTTCGAGAGCGACTCGTCGCAGCAAAACGTATTCACTAGTTAAAAAATTGCCGCTAAACGTTTTTTGGAATTTCGTAGGGCATTCCGTTTTACTTAAATTAAATGAGATTAAGAAGAGTATATATATGTATAAATATCGAAAAGGTATGATTTTTTAGGGGTTTGTCGTTTGGTTTTGTAATGCACATGAGGCTGTGTCCAGATGTCTGCCGGGAAAATGTATTGCTCGGGGGTACGTACTTAAGTATCGCATTTTGCTGGAATTCACAAATCATTGTGGATAGTTACTTAAGTTTTAAGCAAAGTTTGAGTAGAAACTCGATGGAGCATATTAAAAATCATCACCTTTTTATGTGTATGAAGGAGTGATAAAAGTAGATGTTTTTCGTACAGCAATTTTATCATCATTGATTAGTTCCTTTTTACAGAAATTTAATGATATTATTTTATATTTATGTACTTGGTATGGACCGGGAATGGAAAACAAAATCTGATAGTTTCAGCTGCTTTTTGATAGACTTGGAATTGATTCTTAACGATAGTAACATTTGACGGCGAAGTAAACACCCATCAATTGCGTCATACTTTAAAGTAAGTTGTTGTTTTTCATTCTTTACAGAACAACCACAAGTAAAATATTTGAACTTATTTAATATAGTTTTTATAATTGTTATTATAAAGTGTCAGACAATATATTTGTTTTATGTAATGTTCAGGAATATTTATTTTATGTTGCGCCGTGAGAACACGTGAATTTTATTGTAATTTACCATATTTGAAGTAAATGTTATACATCAAGCAAATGTTAATTTATTTTCGATTGTTAATAAAAACGATCACCACTACTCAAAAATAATCAATTATGCACAAATCACGCGGAAAGGGTCACTTTAATAATCGTATTAAAACAAGAATATAAATTAAATATATTAATTTTGTTTGTTTCGAAAATTCAGGGAAGGTCGACGAATACCATCCCAATGCAAAAAAAAAAACGCAAAACTTCTATTATATTTTAATTCTCGAATCGATAATAACATCATAAAATCCAAGTAACATTAATAAAACATGACGAAATTACACGACTCCTATGCTAAAAGGGATGAGTATTCGAATAAATAAACACACTGAATAAAAATAAACGCAAAACCTAAGCTAGGTAAATGATAAAAAATGTCATAAGGGACAAAGCGAAAAACGCCAAAGTATACATTATGGTTATCCTGGCTATCTTGTTCTGCTCGGATTCGGTTAAGGGTATTTTAACTCTCTTTCTCGGCACGGCTTCCAATAATAACGGGTCTAAAACGACGTCATTCGCGCGGCTACAGGTGTCACCTCTTCTAGGGGTCGCCACTTCGCGGCTTCTGTTGGAATCTTCCGCGACAGCTGTTATCTCGTCTAAATCTATGATGGACCTACGTCTCTTAATGTCTGATGAGCACTTATTGCGAGAGTATGCCGTGCAAAACAACTTACTTTTGTACGGAAAAACCTGATCTTTGATTTGAGAAGAAAAAGTAAGAAAAAAATCAGGATTCTTTTTAGTTTCAGGAGAAACTGCTATAGCAGGTAAACCCAGCAGGATTCCGCTGGACTGTAAAACTGTAACGTCCCCGTAAAAAGGCACGTAATCAACGTTAGGCTTAACAAATGTTGCGGGCGACACTAACAAACCGTTATCGACCTGAATAAAACGACTTAACCTAAATTCACAGCTGTACAGCCTTCGATTATACTTAAAATACAAATCCGTGAAGCTGACGAAAGTATCGCGACCGAAGTTCGATTTATTTTGTTCTTCCCGCTTGGTGACGTTTAGCGAAGAAAACGATTCCGAATAGACTTTTCTTTTTTTTAATATCGACGACAGCAATGGAGGAATGGGCTTTTTAGTATCTGGATAAAGGGCGCGACTTTTCCTATTCTCTCTACGTTTTAATGCTAGGTTGCCGCTAAGTCAGTTGACGAAAATTTCTTTGGACTCGATCTGTTGCAAATCGCGGAGTACCTGAAAAATACCATTCAAAAAAATCAATCTTAAGTACTAAAAAAATATATGTTAGTGTTTCACAGAAAACAAATAGAACAAAACTAACAAATATAAAATAAACTAGAGTTAAGGATTATGTTTCTGCAGCCATTTTTAGAATTCTCTATTTGTTTGTCAAATTTGGGTCTTTATTTGGATGTAAATTTAAGATTTCGTGGGATTGTCCGAAATAAAAAGCAGTTATGTATAAATGAAATTGTTATACTACATTTATTACATTTTAAAAAAGAATTATTATATCTTATTTTCATTTTAAAATTTTTGAGGTTTTCAAGGCACGTCATTGCTCATTATAACTTTGCTATAAATTTGTAATGCTAACTTTGCTAAAAATTTGCAATACTATTCCAGCACAGTTTAAGTCTAACTTAGTCACCTGTTTTTCAAGTGTATGTATATGTGTGTTTGGAAAAGACACTTCTCATCCAAAAAAGTTCACATAAACGTAGGTGAGTAGTTTCCAATGTAAGTCTTATTTAATGAATTTTTTTTAAAGAAACAAAAATGTGCGACGGCCCTGAACTTCACGATTTTATTTATCATAAATGACATTGTCAAATTTCAACAAAATCGGACAAAAAATACTGAACATATTCAAAATAACATATCGGACAGATGTTCACAGATTGAACCTTAGATTTAGGGGTCTTATCTCTCCACCATCACACAGGACGTCTCTTTTTCAAAGAAGCTTCTCCTATATATAACCTTTACAAACTTTACAATACCGTTCCTCTCTCCTTATCGCCATTAAACTTCAAAAAAAAAAAAAAAAAACAAGAAATGTTCAGCCAACAAGCAAATTGCAAGTGATTTTCGGGTAAGTTCAGTCCTAAAATTTTCTATCCAATTTTTAATTTTTATATACACGTACATATTTTCTTTTTTTTGCTATAGTTATCTCACGCGATGTAATAATTTTAAAATAGTTGCTATATATTATTTTATAGGGGTTGAAGTTTAATTGAATTTTAATTGCTTTCATTTCCTTTTTTGCAATTTATGTCGTTTATTGGTATTTTATTGTATTATAAATTGAACATTGCAGGATAAATGTATTATTATTATTATTATTATAAGTGTTTTTTTAAATATTCAACTAACCTCCAAAACGCACGCCATGCTCCAGGCTTGTGTCCTAGAACTATCTTTGCAGAAGGCGCCATTGCTGTTGGTCAATTCTGGCAGTCCCCTCCACAGTGACGTCTGCAATTCCGTAAAGTGTTTCGACAGGATCACTTTCGTACTCGCCACCGTTTCCTTCAACATGCCGTTCTGGCTGGCGAAAATCAATCTTGCTCTTAAGAAGAAACCGATAGGCCACACCCATTCCTGCGACGAATATAAACCAACTGTCAGCGGGCTTAGATTAGGTGCTGAGGGGGACAAACTCGTGAAACACAAAAAACATGGAAAACTCTTATACGCTAAAACATGGTTCTAATCCTTAAATGTTTGTTTATGTTAATTGCATACTTGGCCGGTATATATAATATACTTCTGTTATTGGTATGCATATTTTTCTAGGCCTTATTAATATTAATACAATATACAGCTAGCACTCTATTGTTATAAAACTGTATGTTTAAAGACAGTAAAATGTCCATATCTATATAAATACCCAACAAATGAAAACAAGGAAAAATATGGAACCATGGATCATTGCAAACTCGAAAGATATTTTATGTGAACTTTGCCTATTTTTGTAATTTTCTTTCTTTGTAATTCATTATAATCAGATATTTTGGGAAGTTGTTTTTAAAGAAATAGTTAAATAAATAAATTCACTACTGTGGTCTGACTGTTTGAAAGACGTCGTCTCTTACCGGGCCTTGGTGATAATTGAACCCGTGGGAGGTGTGGAAATCACTGGAATCGTTGGAGTTATCGTAATCGCCGCGGTAGTTCCAGTCTTCGGGATCCAAGGTCTTCATGCCGAGCGGTCCCAACAGGTATTTCTCGGTCTGCTGCAGTGCGGCCCACGCCCTAGACGGGTTGAACATTTCCGGAGCCTAAATTCAAATTTTTATTTAGTGGTATTACAATTAATAATTGTTTTCAGTAGTCAGTTTTGGTACACCGAAGTGAACACGGGTGATCAATATCCATTTAACACACTGACATAGAAACATACACACATAACAAAGTATCTGCAACTACTACAGCACAATTGCTAACTACCAGTACCTGGAAATTCGTACTTCCAAAAACCAAATTCAAGATATTCACGCGTTTACTGTAAAATGCTTTTTCCAATAGCAATTTCTTTACGTTAGCCATAACTATATTTAAATTTTCGTCTAATTGGTAGTTTATTCGCTAATCGTGAGTTATACTGTCAGCATTAAGGATGTCGAGACGAAACGATTTTCTTTAGCAAAATAAGACAAAATAAAATATGACTTGGCAGTGTCATTATATGCAATTTAATAAAATATGTAGCTTTGATATATCCGATTCCTGACAAACCTCTTAGCAATCTCGTCTGTAGCGAAAATACTCTATACGTATGAGCATAATAAACACAAATTAATAGATCAAAGGAAAATTTGGAAAATAAAAGTGAATAATTAGTGATCCAATTAAAAATATGTAAGTTGTCGGCATGATTTTTGTATGTTAAGTGTGGTTCAAAATGACGTCTTATTGACATAATTACAGCTTTAGTCTAAGCCCGTTACAGCTGTGCAAATCATATATATGACTTAGTCCATTCTTTAATGTACGATTTAAAGATCTAAAAACATAAACGTTATATATTGCAGCTGTGTCGTCTTCGAACGGTAATAAAGACCCAGCCTTGTAGATCGCCAATAATGTTGATTTTTACCTCTGAATAATTTTTCAAAGAAACTTCCACAGGCTACTGTAATGCTTTTTACAACATTTCTGGATACCTCCTGCGTCGCCTTTTGCTTAGTCGAAATTGCTGACGTTTCGCCAATAATCCTGTTGGCTTCTTCAGAGCTTGACTGGAAACAGTTTTCAGTCAAGCTCTGAAGAAGCCAACAGGATGATTGGCAAAAGTCAGCAAAAACCGACGCAGGAGGAATCCAGAAGTTTTGTAAAAAGTATCTCTGACTAGTTTCCCTTATTACATATTGCTTACAATTATATAAAAATGTTGTAATCGTGTTTCAACTTATCTATCGTATGTTTGGGTTTACACAGTCTAATGTTTTTTGAAGGTCAAATAAAAGCGAGCGACAAATATGTCAACGAATAACTCAAAACTCTAATTTTACGGACGTACCGCGACCATGGCGATAGGGAAGTTGCACCGCAGCTGATAATCGGTCCATGGCTGAGACCCGCCGTAAGTGTCTTTGTATATGTCTCTTTTGTTGACCAAATCGGGCCGTTCCTCGTCGCATGACGGCTTGTTCCTCACGAAGAACTTTTTCTCGAAGTTCTCGCGGATTTTGTCCGCCCATTCTTTGAACGTCCATTTTGTAATGGCGCCGTTCTTATGGGTCCTCTGCACCCCGTCGTACGGGTATTTTCCTTCGCGGTTGAGTTTCCAGAGCCACGATACTGCGGCTTTGGACAAGCCTACCAATTCGACCGCCGAACCGTCTCGAGGCGTAGCTGGCTTGCCTCTGTTTCCCGCCTTGTCGGAGGAACCCATTTTGTCCATCCAGGTACCGCAATTCCACTGGTTACCACCTACGCGCCACTTGTTGATTAGCCACTCAGATAGTAATAGATGCATTGATTACTTCTAATGTTATCAGATTTCTAACGCACTAATCAAAGAATTCGGATTTAGTTTCACCATTCATCGCCAGATGGCAGAGCAATTCCCTGGAGAAGTAACCAAAAGAAACTACTAAAACCGAAAATTGTCTGACTTTTTGTATTTTCTACGTAAAATTAAAACTATCGCAGCAACTTCAATGATGTAACGGATAAATTGTAGAGACTAGATCGTATAATCAACATATCTCATAAAAATGTTACTCACTGATTTCGGAAGCATGCAAAGCTTAAACTTTGGATTTTATCATTAACGGAGAAAATTTTTATAGTACTATAATAAAAATTGGACGGTGATAGTTTTTGGCAAAATCATCCTGTTACACCTAATTGGTTGTAGAGATTTGAAAAAAAAAAGCTTTCCACTTGGGGACAGTTGTAGATATAAATTTGAACAACTGTTAAGCAACAAGCACTCGACAAAGTTTAATGACATGTAAATTTGCCAAATACTGACGGAAATCTAATTAGAAGAAAATACTGACGTCATAAATTTGTGTGCATTGTAAAATGCACTTTTACATTTGATTTGAAGTTTTTACTACTAACAAAAAAAATGTTATTGTTAAATATTCTTTTTTTTCTTTAATTTTATTTCAAATGTATTGCTTAACGATCAATTAGACTTAAATACCTCTCCTTTATTGAACTTAAATTCTCACAACATTAATTAAGGTTTTATGGTCATTTTTCGGTATATGTACATATTACGTTTGATAAAGACACAGTGTTATCGAAACAATTGTCATGTCAAAATATAAAATTTCGTGAAAATCTGAACTTTTAGTTCTTATTTATTTTGATAAATGGATTTTCATCAAGTAAAAGCCACCTCAGTTCAATTTCTAAAACTGTTAAGCGAAACTTACCAAACACAAACCCAGTCTCGGGATGGATACCGATTTGGTTGTTGAACCCTGCATCCGTCATATGCTCGTCGATTTGCCCGCCGGCGTTCCGTTCACGAAACCTTAACCCTTGAAAGTGGACGTTAAGGGCTTCCTGAATAACGTCGTGTAACGGCTGATTGACCACGCCCGCCGGTTGAGCGGGCGAATCGTCGGTGGGAAAGATTCTCGACACGGTGTCGGCCATTATGTCGACACCCTTGGGAACTTCTTCGCAATAGGATTTGATGCAGTACAACCACCACCAGACGGCGTCTCTGCAGTTGAACCTGCAATATGGCGATTTTTTTCGGTTTTGGCTAGCGTATTGTCTAACGGTACACTTGAACTACTACTATTCTAGCGGAAAAAAATCTCGTATATTTTGAATTAACTTGTTTCATCTACGAAGTTTCGCTTATAGAAGATAAATAACTGAACAAACGGCTTTTTTACTTTGAATTACTACCGATAATAATTAAAGATTCTTCTAACCTTGAATTACGACCCCCGTCCAGCAAATTGGGGATCAGGCCGTGCCTCAGACAGGCGGCGTAACCTAAAATGTGTTGCCGCGCCTCCTCGTACCGTCCGGTTAGAATGAACAGCCCCCTCAGGGCAATGAACGTGTCCCTGCCCCAGTTTCTCATATAACCCACCGAAAAGTGGGGTAGGCCGGCGGACAACGTGACGCACGCCTGCACGACTTCGCCCTTATCGTTTCTACGCGTGGGAGGTTTCGGAGGCCTCAGATTGGGCGACAATGTGGGCAAATCGGCGGACTTGATGTACGCGCCGAACTGAAGGCTGCCCAGCGACAAACAGCGCACAAAGGTGGAACCGTTTTTAACGAAGCTGTGGAGGAGAAATATTGCAATCCACTCAATGACGTATCCTTTAAAAAGACCAGAACTTCTAACCACCTTTTAAATAAAAAACACATTCTAAACGCCTTATTTGGAAGTTTTCCAACTTTCAAACCGTTCTTGTGGGCTTTTTAAGTTTACGAGTAATCTGAAATCAGTTTTTGATCAATATAAACAAATGTTAAACTCGCAATGGGTTGCATAGACTAAACTTAATATGTAGCAAACTTAATCTTCAATAATAGAGGAAGCAGAATAGCCGTCCACTCTTTTTAGGATTACGTTTTTAGGTTGTTACTTGGACCTCCGGAATTATCATTAAAGGGTTAGGAATTGCTCCCATTCCCATTATGCATCCTGTCATGTTTATTACGCATTTAATTTTGTATTTCAACTTCCGTGTATAGTTCAAGAACAATTTACTGATTCCATTAAACTGGACCATAAGTTATTCCTAAAATCCCCGTTTCTTTGGTGTTATTTCTTCTTCTATAAGAATTTCCACATCTGCGTCATCATTTAGGTATGAATTTGAATATTCACATTTATCTGATGTTCTTGAAGACCGTGCTTTATTTTATTTTTTTTACTATTGCAAAGAAAATAATATAAATTCAAAACGCAGGAAGTCGTATTACGGGCAGGTGCCAACGATTTGCTGGAAGATTATCTTCAAACTGCCGCGACAATTGCCAAACTGTTGGGAAATGATGAGGGAACAATAAACTAGTGGTTTGTAAACGATAAACGATAAAGATCAATTGTGCAAACAGCCCAAACAAGTTTCAAACTAATGTGAAAACAAACCTTATATAAGTCTCGCTTAGAACATTGCGCCTCTGGCGGAAATTTTAAAAAGTTCAACACTCAATTTACGCAGTGTCTCCGTTTCAATTTTTCGAAGAAACATCCACTGCTTATACACCTGTTTATATATTGATCTCTGATGACCGATTCCCATATTGGTGACAGGTAAAGGCTTAAGTCGATGTTTATGTCCCCTCATTTAGGTCCGCCCCCCTCAAACAATATATAAGCAGGTACAGAATAAAACGTGAGGTAGTTTCAGTTAAGCTCTGAGAAAGCCAACAGGATGATTGGGGAAACGTTAGCAAAAACCGACGCAGGAGAAATCCAGAAGGTTTGTAAGTAGTATTGTATCCGTTTCAGTTTTCGGTATGCTAGATGTAAAATTACACAAATATTAACAAATCACATTCACACTCACAAACGATAGATACTCCACGTATATGTAGGCAACTGGTCCATAATGGCCTCCCATAAGAATATCAATTTGACAGCACTGGAACTTACTCAGACATAAGACTGTAGCTGTGATCCAGTAAGTTGATATAGATTCCGGTCACGATCACGTCGAAATAGCACGGCACTAGATATCTAGGCACTTTCTCTAGCGATTTTGTGTTTTCTTCAATCCACTGACCCAATTCTTTGGTTCCTTGGTCTACCTTAAGTCGCTTCCAGATATATTCTAAAAAAGAACGCGATTGAAGTTTTATACAAAGTCTATCCGTAAACAAAGAAAAAAATTTTTTACCAATCATCCAGTTTCCGTCTCTCAAATTAGCACACATCGGATGTCCCAGATCGTTGCTGGGTCTAATATTCGCCAACAGCGAAATAAATCCTACAAATAAAATAACAGGAAATATTCAGTATTGAAAATGAATAAAAGTGAAATTCACCTTGCAAACCGCAATACACCACAGGTCCGAAATTGGGGATGTTATAAGCGTCAAATCCGAAACCCTCGTCTCTTTCTTCCTGATCGCATCTGTAAAGCGCTCGATTCAAATCTGCCAGTGTCAAACGGGAGACGATCCGTTTCAATTCGGTATCTTTCGAGCCGGGAAAGCTTTTGATTAAACTTCGCACTCGAGATATCGACTCTCTCATGTCTTCTGGTAGCGAAACCCTAAAAACAACAATACGCTATGTATGTCCGTCAATAAAATTTTATTTATAAACTAAACAACACGTATTTTGATACATTGTGTTATCGATCATCCTTAGTTGAATAAAAATGCAAAAATCAGTTCCCATCAAACTGAAAGTTTGATAACTAATCTATAGCAAACTTTTACATTGTATATTTTATATTAAAATTACTTCAGTACTGCGACGGATCCGGGCTTGAAGTTTCTAAAATCGAGTTGGAAAACGTTGGGTGTTCCGGAATCGACGTAATTGAAAAATTCCGATTGTTCGCTGCTAATGTGTTCCCTAACCGTCACCCGGTACTCGGTCAATCCCGAAATCCAAGCCGAATCTTTTGTAAAGTCATCGAATTTAGTATACTTTGATCCTCCGGAACTAAAAAACCAAAAGATTCATCGTTAAAGCAACTTAAACAATCAGATCTGGCCTGACCTGGCTTCGACGTGGCTCAACGTGGCTTCCAAAACGATTTCTTCCAACACGCCCTCTACCCTTACCGGTCTGATGCCTCTTTGATACTTATCCGCGTTTTGGTCTGGATGACCGAATGCGGTAAAAGCGATTAAGACGTAGCTCTGGTGCGTCTCGGGGTTGTGTCTCGTTACGGCTACTACGTCTGGATCCATTTGATCGACATATACCTTTTACAACAACAATATTTTTTTTGCATCTATTAAAACGTAAAAAAAGATCAAGATCAATGTCCAGCCCCCTGAACCGGTAAATTTTAAATTTGTTTAGTATCTCCACTTTTTTTTAAGTAGGGAGAAGTCAATTCCATATTTATTATTATTGGCAACGGGTAATTCGGATATACTTAGCAACAAAATCACGGTAAAGAAAGTTTCAAATATATTTTTACTTTTGGTTTTGAGAAATACTTTGGTTTTTCAAGGTTACTTTAGGTTTAAATGTTAGGGAAATCTCTAAGAAATATTTTTGCTTTTTATAGTACACGAAGCGCACAAACTTTTTTCAATTTTTTTACGGATTCAGGTCACATAAGTTTTTATTTGATTGAAATTTGAACCGTTACGAAAAATAAAGTCCAACATTACATATGCTCCTTTTGTAATGTTTCTTATAAACAGAGTGTTCGGAAATTGAATTCGGAAACTTGGAGAAAAGATTCAACATGGTAGAATAGTGGTAGTTTGTCAAATTTCATTTTTTTAAAATACAAAATAAAAGAGTTTCAGAAATCTGTTACTAGAGGGCACCTAGAATTTTTTTTTATTTTCCCCGTATTTTATTTATTTAGACGACATTGCAAAATAGACCAGATTGCCTTAAGCAGAATCACGAATCCTTAAAAATTGTTACTCTTGTTTTAATGTAATTAACAAGACTTAATATAATTTGATAGTCATTGTCACAATCCGTCAAAAATTATTTTCTATTAAAAGAGGTACCCTTGCAGTGGAGACATAATATATGGTTAATGCAACATGGCGCTCCACCCCATTTTACATTGGCTGTATGAAGGTATTTAAATCAGGCATTTAAACATCGATGGATAGGTCGGGGCGGATCTCTAGCTTGGCCGCCTCGCTCACCAGACCTTAAACCGATGGACTTTTTTTCTTGGGGACACTTAAGTACGAAACAACTATAACAGATATCAATGATCTACGACAAAAATTAATAAACGGTTGCGAAATCATTAGAAATAGGTTAGGCGTATTTTTTCGTGTTCGACGGTATTTTTTAAAATGTATACGAAAAAGTTTAGAAATGAACGGTGGGCATTTTGAAAATGAATTGTGATTAGCGTTGTATACTGTTACCGATTATTAATATTAATTTTTTATTTGCGAAAATGTTAAATGTACTTATGTTACTTAAATTAAACATGTTATTGCATTGACCTATGCCATTTTTTCACTTTTTTAATTTGTAGCATACTGTTTTGAAAATTTTTGTCCACGTCGTCTACAGATTAATTATGCTAGCCTGCATTTCCATTGTCATTATTGTCAAATTTCATTAAGTCTTGTTAATCACATTTACAGGTGAAATTCGAGCCAAAATAACACTTATCGACTTAAAACAAGAGTTACAATTTTGGAGGATTCGTGATTCTGCTTAAGGGAATCTGTTCTATTTCGCAATGTCAGTTTAAATAAATAAAATATAGGGAAAGTTAAAAAAATGTTCTAGGTAAAGTGCCCTCTAGTGCCAGATTTCTGAAACTCTTTTATCTTATAATTAAAAAAAAACAATCTTTCCTCTAAGTTTCCGAACACCCTGTATACATCAAAACTTATTTTTGTTTTTGTTAAATACTATTGTTCGGTTTATAATAAAAATTTTATTTAAGAAACTTGTTAAGTTTGTCTCTGTCGATCTTCCTGGCATAAAACCACGATAGATTGGCAAAAATATATTTGGACAGTAAACAATCAAATAATAAAGAAGAAGATCCCCTAACAGCTTTAAATATTTTTTAAGTACCTGATTGTATCCGTCCCTGCCCAATTTATAGTGGAGCTCGTTCAGAGCCCGTTTGGCGGCAATGATGCCCGATTTTTTACCAACGTATCTGCGATTTTCAACCGCGAGCTCATCGTCGTCGGACCATTCGGTGTACTGCCTGGTCTCGTCCACTACGTGAATATGGTGAGGCACCAGCTCGTCGTAGCCGCGATTAGAGCCGCTCGCGCAACAGGCCATGTTCACCAATGCGGTGCTCGGAAGAAGGTCGAACACTAGAAAGCAACTATGCTGCGCCTGCGCCTCATTTAAAGCGAAACAACCGTACCTGATCGTTTTTCAACCGGACTGGGATTATCGTGGCTCAAATCTAAGAATAAAGCGTGCGCCACTGTCGGTACCAACGGTCGCACCCGCGGCTGGTAGAACGAGCCCACGGGAACGCCTCCGTAGCGGTAGACCAGACGACCGAGCTCGTGAGAGTCCCACGCCGACATAGCTTCGCGGATGAGCGAAGTTATACCCAATCTAAACACGACACTGGTTAATTGTATCGAAGAACGGGCAAATTGTATCGAAAAGTATAATACAATCAGCTCAACTTGGCATCCGCATCAAAAACAAAAACTCAAATAAAATCCGTTAAGGTTGATTTTACTCAAAAATGTTAACGAACAAAACAGATTTTTTTAGAAAGGAATACAGTTATTTTAACACTCGAAAATAAATGGAAATAGAAATAAACAACTCCTTATACTCTCAATAGTTAGGGAACCAGCTTAAAAATTAACCGAAATTAAAACAAAGGTAATACATATTTGGAATTCTCTAATCTAAGAGCATGTTAAAAAGTTGCGTAAAAGTCTAATTATGTGAATCTATAGTTGCATTATTAGTGGTCAATACAAATACGCGGTTTATATTAAATATAAGAATATATGATTCTCAATCTAACAATATCAGGCAGATTGCTCGGTTTAACTGTTAAAATATGTATAAATTTTATTTTATGATTAAAACTCCCTATAGCAAAACTCTGTATAACTTTTAGGTCTCCATGTATTAATCCACTCTGTATAACGAATTTCTCACTCTCTATACCGCAAGAAGAAAAGGACATAGGGAGAAAAGAAAAGTGATGTGAGACGTCGATACGGACTTACACCGTCGACCGTATCCACGATTTGGAAGTGCAGAGAAAAAATCATTCATGCTGAAGCGGCAGGCAGTTCTAGTAAAAAACTAAGAGAGCCAAAATTTGACGATTTGGATCGGGCAATGTTACAGTGGTTCCAACAGCAACGTCTTAAAAGTGTAATACTCTCTGGACCTATCGTAGAACTAAAAGCAGAAAAGTTTGCTGAACAGGTTGGCATTATTGATTTCAAGGCTTCGGAAGGATAATTGGGGAAGTTCAAACAGAGCCATGGTATAAATTATGAACAGATCAGTGACGAAGCCCGTGATAACGACAGAAACGTCACTAACGATTGGCCGGAGAAGATGTGGCCAAAACTAACAAAAAAATACCCTGCTGACGACATTTTTAATGCTGACGAAACTGGTATTTTTTACAAAATGACGCCAGATAAAACTCTTAAATTTCGAAGCGAGAATAGTGTGGGCGGAAAACTGTCTAAAGAACATATAACAATGTTGGTTGCTGCCAATATGTGTGGCAGAGAAAAAAAAAGCTAGTCGTGACTGGAAAATCAACTAACCCACGATGTTTAAGAAATGGTGAAGAGCACCAAGAGGAAGAAGAACATGAAGAAGTTGATCTGGGACCACCACGAACCATTCAACAAGCCCTATTTTCAGTTAAGCTGCTAGAGAAATTTTTTATGTATCATGGGGAAGATGTGCGTCTCGATGAAATGGTGAAAATACAAGCCAAAGTACGAGATGCGTATTGGCACACTAGAAAATGACCGATTATTTGAAGCATCACTCTTTATAATGAAAAAAAAAGCAGTCCCTTCAATTTCGCTATATAGAGTTTCGACTGTATTTTTCAATAAGATATTAATCAGTAAGTTTATATTGGTCTAAAAACTAGAGTTGACCAAAATCTAGAGAAGACAAACTACCTTCCAATAGCAAGACACAGAACCTCATTATTTCAAGATGTTTTTTCTTACAGCATTGTTAAAATTTATATACCAGCAGAGCTTAGGCAGCATAAATGATAAAACTTAGAGCAGGATATAGAAATGGATTATTAAATACGAAAATTATTATAAAAAAATTGTTTTTTATCTAGTCCAGCTAATAGCTACTAATAGCTACTTGTTATATAGAAGCCTGCCTATGCTGATAATACAGGAATTTTTGAAGCGGCGATGAAAAAAATATTGCGTTATTCCATTTAATATATAGCGGCGTTTAACAACCAGCTTGGATGTTGATAGTTCGTCAATTCGATAGTTTTCGGTCAAATAAATAAGTGTGTGGACGTGATTGTTTAGAAACAAAATGGCGCAAAATGCAGGCTAATCAGTGAAATGTAGATGATGATAAAATAGTCGCCCTAGGAGCATCAATTCTTATGGTACTAGGACTACTAGAGCGATATGGAGCTAATGAAGTCCAGTTTATGGTTAAGTCAAGCAATGGTCAATACATAAACTTTGCTATCTGCGTTTCATATTGTATCTGCATAAATATGCTTATTTCAAAAAATTAAAAAATATAGAAGAAAATAACTTATCAGTTTCATTTTTGGACTAGCCCTGATTTAACGACAGTTACCAAGTTAAATCGATGGAAGTCTAAATACTATATAATAATAATAATTTCTAATTTTTACCGGAGAAATATGTAATACACACCGGTTAACGAAAATATTGTCAGTCAGATCGGAATTGGTGAACAGTTCGGCGACGACGTAAAGGTCCGGCCTGACCCTTCTTGCGCAGTCGAGTAAGTATTCAGCGACGTGCAGCGGCGTGGAATGGCAATTGTCCAGGCGCACGCCGTCGAATATCCTTGCGGTTTGTTCGACGTATTTGCGCATGTGCGCCCACAAAAACGGCGAGTCTTCCGGCTTGTCGCCGTAGCGAAGTTTGACGCTATCGCTCCATGCTAAAACACCCACGCAATTCACCAAATTATGTGTCGAAAAAAAAAAAGGATTGCATTTTACACTTATACCGAGTAGCACTAACGTAATTTTTCAAAAAAACTTCAACAGGCCACTGTAATACTTTTTACAAAACTTCCTCCTACGTCGGTTTTTGCTTCTTCAGTTTCAGTCAAGCTCTGAAGAAGTCAACAGGATGATTGGCGAAACGTCAGCAACTTCAACTCGGCAAAAACCGGAATGCAGAAGTTTTCAAAAATGTATGGCACTAACTTTTTTATTCCAAATTACGGTCTTTGCAGTTCCTGATGTGAAAGTTACTCTACTGTTTTTATGCCTATTTAGAATGTGTATTTATTTGAACCATCAAACATACAAATATTATTGTATTAACAACATAAAATGTTGTCATCTTTTAAGTTACGCTGCAAAAGACTGTTAACTGTTAAATAGAGTTATTAAAATCAAATATTAGGCATGAAATCAGTATTGTACTAACTATAAAGTACACGGAAGTATACATTAATATTAAAGAGGATCCCAAATAAACTGTAATAAATAAACTAAAACTAAGAGTATGTTGTGCAAATCACAAATTCTGCAGGTATGCTTTTAATTATATTTAACAGGTCAACATTTACATTATTAGGGCTGTTCCTGCCAAATGTAGTAAGTATATTAAAAATTGACTCATGGAAAAATTTATTTTACCTCTAATTTCTCATTTACGATTTTTCTTCACTTACCAATCAGTTCTCTCCTTATGTAAGTTTTCGTTCCGGGAGATGCGAAATTTTTCAAGGGATCTGAATTCATGACCCACCCGTTATGCGCCATCAAAAACGACCCATTCTGACTGTACATGATCTCCTCATGCTCGTTTAAACTCTTGGGCGAGCCGTAATCCGTGAAATACCTTAAACAGCACCACCCAAGTTGAACATAATGCAGCAATTTGCAAAAAAAAAAACGTCTAAAGTGCTTTGGAATTGAAAATTCAATTATATACATTTCTTGTACCTATAGACTAAAGGATTGCTTTCCGTTATTTCCGTGATCTTAGGACCGCTATCTTGCACCCTAAAGTATCTAATGCCAGCGATGACGTTTTCGACGGCGGAGCTCAAGTCGTCGCTCAGTTCCTTTACTATTTCCCGATTTAAACTGTCGAGTTTGTTCTTTAGGTCTTCCGAACATCTGCAGATAAAGTCATATTTAATGACTTCAAAATCAAACAACAGAGAAAACTATGAATACCATCGAATGCGTTACTTTTGAAATGTTTAGAATATTAGTTCAAGCATTTTCTAGTGAAGAAATACAAGATTAATTGTTAATTTTTATGAGAGAAATATGTAATAACATATAATATATATTACTAAACCTATTTAATATATTTTATGTATGTATATATGTAAGGTACATATTTCTATTTCTGTTTTATTTATTATTTAAAAAAGGTAAAAATATATGCAATCTTTTTTAAGTTATTTTATTCAACATAATATATATTTTTGATATTTATTAAGAATTTGTGCTCTCTTCAACTAAAAATTTAACAAAACTGTAAAAAAAAAATAATTTTTATTAGTTTTAAGTCCTAGTTTTGGCCTATCTATTACTGCACTTACTTTTTCATCCTAGCGTCTTCATCGAACGAGTCTGATCTGTACACGTTGTACAGGTTAACCGCGAGTTCCACATCTACTGTACTTTTCAATCTTCTAAAATCAGGGTCCTGAATAATTTTTAACTCAGCCTGCGTAATCCTGACGCTGTCGCTGACGGGTTGCGTTTTTCGCGCCAGCTCCAAAAATTCCGAAATACATTTATTTACGTCGACGATGAAGAGCTCTTCCAATTTCAAGGGATCCAACACGCTCATTTTAAAATGATAGCGGATCGCGTTCAGGTGTTCTTCGGTCGACACTTCTGCAGGTATACCACGATCTTCGTACAGCCCTAAACAAGAAATCGATATTTATAATTTACATCATACAACTTACTAATCGACACGCTCACCTTTTTTGACGTCTATCGAAAACTGATGGAAAGCGGCGTCCAAAAGATAGGCGGGTCTCATGTATGGGCAATTTACACAATTGTATGTCACTTCAGGATGTTCCAACAGCCATTTGCTTTCGTTCGCGGTGTGGTTTAAGACGATATCGCAAATTGAGAGCATCTAAAATTAAACTATATTTATAGCGATACAAAAAATGATTTATTTTTTTTACCTTCATTTCTCTCCTCATGTTATTTGCAAACTTTTCCAAATCATCAAACGACGGTTTTCTCCCATCCTCCTCATTAAACATGGGGTTCAGCTTTAGTTGCTCGCTTAAGCTATATGAAGATTTGGAAGCTCCCAGTTCCTATCAATTAAACATTACATTATCAATGCCAGAAATATAATAACTCACCTGGACGGGTGTAAAATGAACCATGTTGTAACCAGATTCTTTGGTCACAGATAACTTCTGTTCCCAACTTGAAAATGGTCCCAAATGCTTCGTCAGGACCGTCTGACATTGGATACAATCTAAAGGTAATTCCTCATTTTTGCCATATGTTAATACAGGATCGACCAAAATATACCCAGAACCTTGCTTATCTTCCCTAAAATTATACATAAGCACAAAATTCAAATAAATTATTAGTCACAATACTCACTCGTTTTCATATACAAAGTAATAATGGAAACTTCCAGAAATCTTGGGTACAATTTGAGCAAAGGTAGCGGTATCATCTGCGTGTTTACAACCTTCGTCCTGGCACCATTCCAATAACTGATAGGTTCCACGTTCAAATTCGTTCGTTTCCTTTGGATAATTCAAATAAAGTTTGATCTTCCTTCCCAACAAACTAGGACCCAATCTGAATTGTAGAGTCCAATTCTTTTCTATGCGATATATAGTCGATTCTTGGTGTTCTTTGTCATTTAACGTCAGTACTCGGATTTGCGTCATGTTGTTATCTTCTGATGACGGTGCAGCTTCAATATTTTTAAGTTTTGGGATATTACCAACTGCTTCAATTAAATTTCCCGTTGTATAAGCAGATTTTTTAACGCATATCTCTTCGGTAACTTCCGGTGCTGGTTTTGAGTCTGCTTTCAGTAATTCCTTTGTGATTTTCACAGGGGACTCTTCGACAATAAGATGATCTTCAACAACACGGTTTTCCAGTCTTGACTCAGTACTATTTTGTTGTAAATTATCTCTGTATGACAAGATTTCTGATTCCAACCGACTTAAATTAAAATCAGTATGTTTGACTTCTATAGAATTCGAATCTTGATCACACTTTACTAACACTTTGACAGTCTCGGAGTTGCTATCAATTATTTCTTCTGGAAAACTTTTTTCTACCTTTGGAGTAGTTTCAGTACCACCAATATCAGCAACCTCAACTTTCAAAAATTCTCTGGATTCTGCAATGCCGTTTGAATTTCTTACTACATCTAAACCCTTTTCTTCAATTCCTTGATTTTTCTGCTCATTTATAAAAAACTGAGTTACAGATTTGGCGCTTTGATTTTTTATTGGTGTTTGCTGCCAATCATAAAATTTAAATTGTTGTAATTCTTCTGTTAATTTAGAATCTTTGGAATCCTTTGTTACTTTTTGATTTATACCCTTGCTGAGGGTGGCATGAAAAATGTCATCAGTTGCTTTGGCGCTTTTAAGTGAACTGACCTGTGAATCTTGAGAAACAAATCTGTCACCATCAACTTCATCAAGTATAGTATCAAGATTTTCCTCTTCTATATTCACTCCAATAATATCAAAATGATCTTCTGTTGTAGGTAAATTTAAATCTGCTTTGTTGTTTATATGTTCCACAGGATTTTCAAAATAATTATCAATGTAATTTAGTGTGTCATCTCTGGCTTCTATAAAATTGTTTACTGAATCTATTAGATGAATGCCCTCCTTTCTGGCACTGTGAACAAGGTTATCGGTTCTATTTTCTATGTGGACAAAACTATCTTTGCTGAGGGTGGGTTCTATGGCACTTGTTTCATTATCTACTATGTGAAAATTTTCTGAATATTCACTCACCACTTCTGTTGAACTGGTATACTCGTTTTCCTTGACAAGATTTCCAGGTTCCAATGAATTTTTATCATCCACTACACCCGTATTATTCACTATGCTTGCGTAAGAAATCTGAGCTGTTACCTTTTTACTTTCCTTATATTCAACCGACTTCTTAGTGTAAATAAAGGTGTTTTGGCTCTCTACACTAACCTTGCCTGGGGATCCAGATCGGGGTTTCTTTTGATAATGCTCAATAATAGATGGTTTTGATAAATCGGCTTTCTTAGCATAACCTTGCTCTATGACAGTCTGTAAAGCTTCTTCAGAATTCTTCTTTTCCAACAAAGATTTACTCTTGGTACGTCTTCCGCGTTCTTTAACAGGTAAAAAGGAAAATCCAATGTCTTCTTGAAGCGGTTTCTCCTCACAGATTGGATTATCTGCTTTTTTGAAAGAGTTTTTGGATGTCGTAGTATGCACGGCAGTGCTTTTTGTTTTGAAAAAGGAAAATCCCACGGTATCTTCCTCACTTAATTTTTCCTTTCTTTCTTGCTTCTTTGGCAATTTTTGAAGTCTCTCGGAAGTTGCTGACAAATCAGTGCCTTCTTCCTTTATGGTCTCTTTAATAACATCTTCAATGGGCGTTGTTAATTTTGTGTTGAAAGTTGGTTCATCACTGGTCTTTTTCGCACGCTGCCGCGCCTTTCCTTTATTTTTTCCTTTGCTTTTGCTTGTAAAGGTGTCTTCTTTCTGTTGTTCTGAATTGTTTGTTTCTTCTCTTGCACCACTAATCTAAATATGTAAAAAAGTAATTTACCTTCATCGCAAAAGCAGAAAAACTAGTTTGAAATAACAAAGGTCTGACTTACACGCTCCAGAAATTTAGACAAGTACAATAGTTTCAAAATCACGCAACGTAAAATGATTTTAAGCAAAGCAGCAAACATATAAAAAGGCATATTGAACAAATAGGATAAAATGCAAAACAACTTCGTTAACCCGCGGAACATTTTTATGGAAATAAGTACGAAAGTTCATGTTTACTAAACAAAATCCAAATCGCATAATAAATCATACTGAATTAGTTATTCAATAAATAAAACATCAATTTAGTACTTTAAAAAATATATTCATTAAACCAAAAATCATGCTAAACTGTTTACTGGTTAATGTCCATTGAAATATCAAAATAAAACGTTTTTTTAAAAAGAAACTTACTTGAAATAGATATTTCTATTGACTTTTTTTTTAAATTGAAGGCAAGTCAAGGTGACCTTGAGTTCAGAAATTTAAAAACCATCAGCAGCGATTTACGCTACTTACGAATGGAACTACTCGTAGTTCAAAGTACCAATCGTAAATAAATTCTACTTTCAAAATTTAATGGAGTTGAAAAAGCGCAAACGGTTATCATCTTTTTCCGACAACTATTTGCTATAATGCAGATTGGCGATTTTAAATAATATCAATTCATAGAAAGAAACTTGTAAGCATCTAGGGAATTTCAATTGCTTGGGTTTGACGTCAACCGTCGTTTGTAATCTTTGTTCTGCGGTATTAATTGGTTCTCAACAACAATTTGTTGATAAGTAATATTTTATCAAACTAAAATAAAACGTCCTGGCAAATAGCAGTTGTGGAAGCGACCATTTATATTTAAAAACTCTGTTTTAAAACTATTATATAATCCTGATGCAGTGTCGCCATCCTAACGGGATGAAAAACAGCTGTTTGTCGTTTCTAACAAAAATAACATAAGGGGTGACAACGGTTGAGCCAAGTAACTGATATTTTTTAAAAGATGTGAGCGATACGTAAAATTAGATCGAATTGAAGTTAAACCGAGTGTATAGTTTTCAATTATGGACGAAAAAATGTGTAATATAACCAACAATGTGAATCGCGAAGGAGGCAAAAGTTCTGAACAGGAGCTGGCGAATCGAATTTTTAGTGTGGAAAGCGATGATGAGCTGAAGCCGATTAATACGGTTGAAAATGCTGAAATCTGGCTAAATGATGGGAATTGTGCTGATGATTTAGATGACGATCTAGAGACGGTTAATATAGGTGACTTCTTTCATAGAGTGGACAGTGATCAAATTATTTATCAAGTGAAAAAGAAACGCTTAAAACTTATCGGGAAGTATGTAATGGGAGATATGTTAGGGGAGGGTTCTTACGGGAAAGTGAAAGAAATGTTGGACTCTGAAACTCTTTGTAGGCGGGCTGTGAAAATATTTAAGGAAAGAAAACTAAGACGATTACCAAATGGAGAACAAAATGTACAAAAGTAGGTTTCTTAACTTAGCTATCATTAATATACATATTTATTTGGGTCCAATTCTATAACAATTTTTTTTACAGTTCCTAACCTTCAAAGGAAAAAGAAATTTATTATGTGGTTTGAGAATATATTTACTTAAAAGAAACTACCCTAAAACCCTACTATCAATATTCCTAAAATAGTAATTCTGTTTTGACTTTTTTGTTATGTAAAAACGGTTAATGTGATAAATGTCTAGCTCTCAATACCACATTTGTTTTTTAGCCAGATATTAGAGTGATAATTTACTTGATCTTATCTAATCATGGAAAACAAATTGTAGGTATGCGAGGCTTAAAACAAATTGGTATTAATTGCTGCTAATCACATTGATTAACTGTCATCAACTTCATCAATTCACAAAACAGTTTCCGAAAATTACTTACACTTCCAACGATCCATGCCAGAAGGGCGGCCATTTTCATACGGATTCTGAAAAATGAAAAGTAAATCAATCGTGGACATTATTTTTATTTAAAAATTTAAATATAGTGTTTAATTAATTTATGGTTACAGGTGGTATCAAAAGTCATCTTGATATATTGTGATAGGAATATAGTATCTTATATTCATTTCGGTTTGAAAACGTTTATATATTTTCGAAACATTAAGCAAAGTTAATTTTGGACCTAATTAACTGCTACCTACTGAAATAAACAGTCTCACCCCGAAAATTTCGAATGGACTGAAACGTCTTTGTTTATGCTATCTCTTAGGTCAATAGTGGAAAAGTGTAATTGTTGTTTATCGTTATTCTGATTAGCGTTAGGACTATTAGTTTTTCAGAGGTCTCGATAAAACAAATTCATTATAGGGCAAATTGATTATGTTTAACTTGTTGCAATTGTGTTTGATTTAATAACAAAGCAAATAATGTGAAGAATTTTTCCACAAATTATTATTCTGTATTTTTATAATGGATACCGCCACATATCTTACTATATACAATCCTATCAATATTCGAGTTATGGGTTTTCAAATTTATCTTTTGGGATTTTCGGGGGAAAATCCCAAAAGATAAATTTGCACGATAAATATTAAGAGAAAAATTCCGGGTAAAGCTGAAGACTTAATAAAAAAGAACTTATTGTTTTCATTTAAAAGAGCATTTCTCTGTGTTATACCGAAAATTTTAAATTTGCGCGTTACTTGAAGATGACTGTATAATACTTTTTTATCTTAAGGTTTATGTATGTGGTGTATGAGATTTTTTGTTATCAACTTTTTATAAAATTAATGACACAACACAAACGACCCATAACACGTTTTCACAAAAATTAACTTTCCATAGAAATTGTGCAATGGTTCTATTGAAGTTTCCTTAAAAAAAAAATGTGGCCACTGAAGAACTGACTTGTATATTTCAGAGAGATAGTACTGTTACGGAGGCTGCGTCACAAAAATGTAATCCGGCTAATAGACGAGATTCGGAATCACGAGAAGCAGAAGCTCTATCTGATTTTAGAGTTTTGTGTTGGATCACTTCAGGTCATGTTGGAATCCGCTCCCGAAAAACGGCTGCCGGTGAGACAGGCTCATAGGTATTTCTCCCAGCTTATAGATGGTCTCGAGTACCTTCACGGTGCCCGGGTCGTCCATAAGGATATCAAACCCGGCAATTTGCTCTTAACGTTGGAGCAGGTACTTAAAATATCGGACTTCGGCGTTGCTGAGGTGAGTCCATATTGGTTGTAATTTACGAGGTATGTTCAAAAAGTAAGTTTTATCAAAAAGTATTTACTTATTCACGAAAATTAATGTCCACATAAAATACACTTGTGCCAACGTAAGCCCTTTCTAGTGTAGCCTTCAGTTCTTCCAGCGATTTTTTATTTATCTCCTCAATCCTTCTAAACTTTTCATGGGTCTCTTGAGTTTTGGAAACCGGAAAAAGTCGCAGGGGCCATATCCGGTAAATATGGTAGCTCATTCATGATTTTAGTTTTGTTTTTGGCCAAAAAGACACAAGCAACGATAAGTGAGCAGGTGCATTATTGTGGCGCAAAATCTATTACTTGTTTACAGTGGGACCTCTTGAGATACTACGCTACGATAATCAAAGAAAACCTTGGCATTTGATTGAACTTGACGTGCTTTTTTCGGTCTTTGCGATTCTGGTTCTTCCACTGGAACGATTGGGCATTGGTTTCGACATTATAACCATGTACCCATTCGTCACCAGTTATCACCTTTTTGAGCATTTCAGACTCATCATTGTTGTTTATTCAAAATTAAGCAGTTTCAGAACAAATTTTGCTGCTACACGTTTTATGCCCGAAACTTCGGAAAAAAATTAAAAAAGTAATGTGCAAACTGGCAGAAACTGTAAATATATGTTACGGACATGTGTACCAACATAACAAAAAAAATATCGAAGATCGAATGTACGTAACCCGCACAATTACAAAAGTCGCCTTACTTTTTGAATACACCTCGTATATTTGTTATGTATGTTTGTTATTTGGGTACATGTGATTTCTTTAGACTCCGATTTTCACCCCTAATGTGCTTTTAAAAGGCAGATCTAACGCATATATTGGTCCAGTTTTAATATTATTATAAACTCTCAATGCTCAATGTTTTAACCCCCACATACGCGAGGGTATTAACCATGGTCCAAAAGTGTTTTGCTATAAAAGTGGGAAGTGTTAATGTGCTTGTGCTATAAATTGTAAATAATTTCGCACCAAAAATATTAAAGAAAGCTTGTTAAAAATTATCATTAATGCAGTAATACTAATACAAAAAAATTGTTCGCAGTTAAATTCTAACCTTTTTTTTTATATTATTTTGATTGACTGAAGTGTAAGGTTTTTACAGAGTACGAACACATTTTATTTGACTCAAATAAAGACAATTAAAGAATAATAGTACGATTTGCTTCATAAATAATAGACTGAAAATTAAAATCGCTAGTTGCAAAATTAATTAATTCATTATTTTTCTTAGATGAAAATTGGCAATTTTTTTTAAAAATTGTTCTGAAATTCTCATTAAAATTTTGTATCCTGGAAAATGCCGTTTGGAAAAAGTAGTTTTCCATAACGAATTTGTTTACTTTAAAAAATGTCGACTTTCGGTAAGATACTTGCTGATGAGAAAAAATTAAATTCTATTTAACTTAACCAAGGTGGCGAGTTTGTTATAACCAAGTATAATGTGCCGACAAACAATAAATTGTACCATTTTTGAAAATAAATAATACATAAATAAATAAGTCGAAAATAAACAGTGAAATGTCAAAATTATTGACATACCTGGGGTGCAACTGAAATAAATTTTCAAAAAGTATTGATTAATTTTAGTGGTGGATGTGGTCACTTAATTGCTCTTTGTGATAAACATATTAATATATTAAATTAAAAAAGCTGATTTTTAAAATATTGAATTTGAACAAACATATTTTGATTAATTTATAAAAGTGCGTTTAGGTTTAAAAAAATTGCTTTAATAACTTTTTTTTCTAAAAAATAACTATCATTTTTAAACAACTTTCCCTAACCGCATTTTGCTGAGTTTTGTGAAATAACGATATTTTTATACAATTTTTATATTTTATGATTTTAAGTGCACCTAAAATGATTGGCGTGCACTAACTTTTGATGATAAGGTTCGATAATAAAACCAGACTGTTTTAACATCAATAAGTTTGATATTAGACAGTTTTTTTGAATCAACAGTATAGAACAACAAAAAAAACGCGTACACATACAACTTCTTTTTTATTAGATCTTTGGTTGGCATTCAATGCAATTTATTAAACTTTTTCACAACTTGCTTGTTTGTAATAATTGTATGACTGTCATTGTCGCGCCCTCTATAGAAAAAAAAATCTGTTTGGCCTGGCCATTTTTGAGTGTTTCCCTGGACTTTCTCGAATCTATGGAGGCGTGAAAAATACAGCCAGACAACCAAAAAAAAACTGCAATTTTGTATACCGTTGGGATTGTTTTTAATAGTCATAATTAACCCTGCGCATGTTACAAAATTACGAAAAACGTTTTGATTTTAGTTCAACATCGAATATCGAAGTCCTTTAAAAAGAAATTACCTCCTGAATAATAAAAAAAAACACGAAACGGACATTTTGTTAACGGCGAAGATTAAAATTACGAGTTTCGAGGATTCGAAAACAAAAAGAACCGGTTTTTTTATTTCTCGAACATCTACGGGGCCGATTTAACTTGATACATTCGAGATTTATATATATTCCGATCACAAACACGCACGCAGGCAAAACAGGTTGCAATCGCGCACGACACTGACGCGAGAGAGGCAAACCAAAAGCGCATCCGCGGGGCTCGCTCTCTTTTTTTTTGCAAAAAATCGACAAAGAAGAGCGTTTTGGTAAAGCGAAATATCGCAAAAAATAATTTTACCTTTTGGACGTGCACAGAGCGACGAAACCAACGACCGACAACGCCGCGTAAATAGAAACGGACGACGCGTTCATAGCTTCATTTGTTTCGGGGCCGGTCGCCGCTATATTATTCGTAAACGCGAACGAGGCTACTACGATTGCGAACCAGTTTATCGCGGCAGAGGTCACTACGCGGATTTTCGCTTTTCGAAAAATGCGTTTTTTTTTTGTTTTCGCTGGAAACGTCTAGAAAGAGTTTTTTTTTTTTTTTCGATGGTTTCCGACTCCCGGGCTCGACTGAACGCGGTACCTTTTTTTTTCCTTGCCGTGGTACCGATCGCCCGCTCCTTATCACCCGATATCGTGTTTTTGTTTTCGGCATGATTTCGTAGATCAACGAATGTGACGGTGCAATGCCGTCGCCGTGTACGGGGTGCGCAAAGTACGCAAGTAGTCCGGCGTTGCCAGATTCTCTCACATTTCGAAATGGACGGAGTCTTTTCAATCAATCTTGCTAACTGCAAGCTATAAACTAATAAGCGGCAATAGTCATTTGAATTTGAATTATTGCTTTTTATAAAACTTCTGGATTCCTCCTGCGTCGGTTTTTGTTGAGTCGAATCATCGTGTTGGCTTCTTCAGAGCTAAAAATCATCGCTTATGTTTACAGAGCCGTAAATATATTAGCGTAAATTCTTAATAATAACAACCAGAAAACTGTGTTTTTTTTTAAGCACCAAGTACTTTTCTTCATATTTTAGGTTAGGATAAAGATAACAAGGCACTCTAATAATGTTAAAATATTTATACCATTGCACAACAACATTAAACAATAAAATTTTGAATTTGCCTCGGCTTTAAAATAATATTATGGTTAACATTAGAAATTTTTGTAGAACCCGAGATTTAAAATCGTGCGCCCTGGTGGCCATTTCAGTAATAATACAACTGTTTCGGCGGGTACGAAAATGCAACTCAATTGGTTAAAATTTGTAGCCCTACAAACTTAAAAGCGTTGACATTTCTTGTCTCAAAATTTCGCAGCCAATACTTTAAACTAACCAAAACAGGCCAGAGGATCTTTTCGTCACTTTTAGAAATTTGTGCGACTTTTTTTTGGTATTTTTTTATTTTCATTCTCATTTTCCAAAAAAATAGGATATTTGCGGGAATGGGTGCGCTTCTTGACAAACAAAACCTTCGTGAAAAGTCACTAGAATATGACCAGCGCCGTCGGTCGCTTCTATGAATTTCAGTCAGAACTTTGGAATTGCCCGTTTTGCTAGTCTGACCCCTTATTTTATACAAATTATTTCGCTGGCTGGGTATTTTTGCTTACAATCGGAGTTAATTTCTGATAACTTTATTTAGCGGGTGATACGATGCAAATTTCTATTTAAACCCCAATAAAGATATCTTAACATTAAGGTTGATAACGGATACCCATTTTTAGAATGCTATCAGTTTTTTTCTGCACCTTGCATAGGCGAAAGTACTCATTCGAATGGTTTGAAGTGCCTCACTCCAAATAGCAGCTTCCGCATTTGTTATTAATTAGAAAGAAAATGTTTTTTAATGGAATTATTCTCGGCAATCTCCATTTTGTTTGTTTTGTTTTTAACGTCACACATTTTACGCCATTTTCTTTTTAAACAACGATCTCCACACACTTAATTCGTTTTCTCAGAACGTTTAACGAGATCTGGACGTATTTTAAAAATTCTACATCTAAACTGAAAACTGAACTGTCAGCGGCCATGTTAGTTGTTAAAGGTCGCTAGATCTTATTAGTTGGAGATTTTAAGTGGCACGGCGCGCGTGCGGATATGCTACGGCCCTTGTTAACATTTTTTTTCATCATTTTGCAAACACGACGTTAAATATTTTACAATGTTCGCAACTCATATGATAAATAAGTAGTAATGTGGTATCTCCGTTGTTTGATGTAATAAATTACAGCACAGGTCCGTTGGTTAAGTAAATAAACAATATAATGGCAGTCACAAGCTCGGACCATGGTCGAGGCATGATTTTCTATTCCCTTTCAGAAAATTTAACGTTTCATTTGTTAACTGTCGATAAACAGTGTTTATATTTATATATTTTTGTCGGCTTATCTTGCGCCGAAATGTCGGACGTTCTATTTTTAGAAAGTTTGTCATTTACACGGTGTGACAAATTCGTATTCTTTCAGCTAATATATACTTTTGTTACACATTTGGCAACAAGAAATTTTGGGTCGTTCTAGAGAATATTTAAGTTGTTTTATCTTTGGCTGATGAGTACCTAACGTAGACGTTGCGCTTGAAAACATAATTAAATACAAATTTGAAGTAACCTTTTTTGATACTATTTACGAATCCTGCGTCGGTTATTTATAAATCAAACTTAACTGAAACAGTAATATCACCTGTGCAAGTTTCTTAGAAAAATTAACCTTTTTGGTGCTGTCTACTGCAGTTATTTTAAAGTTTTTATATTTATTTTTAATGGGAAATGGCGAAATTGGACTTTTCTTAACAAAAAGAGACAAAATCGATGCCAATATTTTCATACTTTTTAATGACGCGGTTTAAGGAATGTATGTTTTTTTTTTGTTACAGACCATAGATCTTTTCGCCAAAGATGACACGTGTTTCATAGGTCAGGGGTCCCCTGCTTTCCAGCCGCCAGAGATCGCCAACGGGGCAGAGTTTTTTCCCGGTTTCAAAGTGGACATTTGGAGTAGCGGAGTGACGCTGTAAGTTGCGGGTCTGCTTAATTATCCCACGATACTTTTCGTTACTATATAATATATCTTTCAATAGGCCTTTTGCAATGAATCGTTTTTAAAAATTGGGCGTTGATTGTTTTCAGATTTAACCTCGTCACAGGAAAATATCCATTCGAAGGCGACAACATATACAGGCTATTCGAAAACATCGGCAGGGGCGAGTTTACGATCCCGGGGGAAATAGAGGACCCCCTCAGGCATCTGCTTTTCGAAATGCTGAAAAAAGATCCGCAAGAGAGGTACACGCTGCAACAGATCCGGCAACACCCGTAAGTACCTTAATTACAAAAATGTATTTATTAACAACAAAGTTATAACAGAATTTTCAGTTTTTTGTTTTTCGTTTCTTTACGAAGACTAGAGACATATTAAACGCTGCCAACACTCTTTACAGAGCTTACAGAATTTTCGCATAGGACACGTACTAGCGGTAGCTTAAAAAAACTAGATATTGTACATTAATTACAAAGTAAATAGTTAGTAAACAATATACTTTTAAAGTATAAGTATAAAAATTAGGATTGTTTTAATTAAATTCTAAATCCAGAACGGAGACAACTTAAATAGCTTCAAAGAACCTTGTTCCGCTTTTTTTTCTTTTTAGTCAAAATAGGTCATTTTAAAAAGGCTTCTGATGTGGATTTTTTTTTGTCATCGTTTTGTGTATCAAATATTTAATACTTTAAAATTGGTAAAAATTAACAATATTTATTACGACGGTAGACATTTTTGTGAATTTCTTCTTCTCATTTTTATAATAAACAATATCGCAATTGTTATCAAAAATCAGCGAGACAGAGCATTTAGGCGAAGATTAATGAATTTCTTTAAGACTATCGAGAAATTTTCCCTAAAAAATGTAACCTAACAAGACAATTGTAGATAGATATCAAGTTTTCTTTTAAATGAAGCTTAAGAAACCGGACGTCAAAATAAAAAAATCCAAAATTCTAATATTTTCTCACAAAGAATCTCTCATAATCCTATATATAGAACCCAAACTTCTTAATTGATACTCTAGCGGCAATTTTAGAAAGCTGAGGCGCATTTCTGACCTACATTGCGATTTGTTTTGTTTTTGGCTATCCATAGATCGAATACCCGTTATTTCTTTATCGGAAAAAAAGTACACAATTTTTCAAATTCGAAAAAACATGTGAACGAATTCGTTATAGGTGGTTTATAAGAAAACCGCCAACGATAGGCTACGAAGTGCCCATACCGCCTCTTAAAAATGACGAGTGGCACAACATGACAGTATTACCCTACCTGATCGATCACTACTACGACGACTACAACGGGGGCGTGTACTACGACGAGGACGGCAACATGACAGGGTCGGACGAGCCCCGATACTTGACGGAACGCGAGCTCAAGGGTAATTACCGCAACCGTAACGATGCTATTTTGCCCGTTGTTTATATTGTCGGGGATGAGTAGTGCTGTTTGTTTCCGGTCAAGTGGCGCGGTGGTGGGGGTAGATGTAAGTGTTTTTCCGTAGAGGTAGGAGGTTTGGTTTTTTCTTGGTTTCGCTTTTTTTTTCTTCGTCGCTGGACTGATTTTGATGCAGCTTAATTGGAGGCAGTGCTGTCATTTAATATTGAGTGGATCTGGAACTGCACCGGAACTTGTAGAATTCCTTATTATTTAAATTAACCACAACAACCATCAAAATTAGGAAACCAGTCAGTTACACTATCTGACCACTTCAGGGGCTATTTTCACTGTAACTATTTTTTGTTTTAAAAAGACAAAATGGCGCCCATAACATAAAAATTATGATGCAAGCGGGTTGCAGATGATGTTCTCAAAAAGCACATAGGTAATTACAAATATGAGTGAAGTTTTCAGTCGCATTTGACCGTTTATTTGTGGGTGATTTTACAAGTTGAGTTTTAAATTATGAAATTGAATTGCAAGGTACACAGTTTGTGTTCACAGGTAAGCAATTCCAACATATCCTGGAAATAGTGACATAGTGGCTAGAACTGATATGTGTCAAACCCATTCAAGTCTCTGATAGAATAGAAAAAGACGGCTGGTGACGGGAATTGTCTGGCTCTTGATTATTTATACAAGTAGGAAAATGACGTGTTCTATTTACCCATATATTATTACTGAAATTATTTGCACCGTATTGTTTGGTGATAAAACAATGCTTTTTAAAATATTTTTATAGAGAGATTTAAAAAAAGAGGTACGGGTGAAAAAGTAATCTCGAAGTATTGTTTGAAAATTACGTATGTATTTACCTCAACATGTACAGGGTGGACTCAACTGGACTCTTTCAAAGGGAAACTCTCCTTTCTGACAGAGATAGACGAAAGTTAATGTAGGTGTCTGAGCTCCATATGGTAAAAACGGCACATGGATATATGTTTAAGGGTGTTTTTTGAACAATGCCCATTTTAAAAAAATCGCCGTGACTCTTTCGTTATGAAATGGAAAACGGGTTAAATATAATATTTTTAATACTAATATTTTGTTGGTTATCAACCGAAAAGACGATTATTTTTATATGAGACACACTGTAAATTTTTTGATCATTGAAAATAACTTAAAATTACTTTTCCAAAAATATAGCATACTTGATATTTTGAAACATTGTGTTTTATGAAAGTCAAGCTGCAAACACCTACTTTAGTTTTCTTCTTCTTTAGAAAAGAGAGTTTGGCTATAAAAGTGTCCAATTTGGCCCACCTTGTACGTACCTTTAGCTAATAGTTCTTGAAAAAATTAACAATTTTGGTGATTACAAAGAAATATTTTTTTTCAAAGAAATAGTTATCATTTATTGCGTTTTCAACCAGTTTGAGACAGTTGCAGTTTTAAGGTAGCATTTTGAATATAAGAATACGGTTAGATCCCATTAAATGTTCAGTAAAACGCGTTAACCGTGTGGATTTCAAGCATGCATGCGTCCTGCATCGAAAATAATGTTGTTTCGTTGTTATGCTAACAAAGCCCCTGTTGTTCGCTGTCCTGTAGGTAATTCCCAAATGCTTTTTCCAGCAGAGGAGAACGAAAAACGCAGCTCGCAACAGTCGAACGGCAACGCGCCAACAAACGAGGGCGGCTCGAAACGTAGCGGAAGGAAAAAACGTCCAATATCTTGCATGACAGTCAGGAACTTTTCAATGTGCAAGCAATCGTGACAATTCGTTCTCAGTCTGTCCACTTTTGTGTGTGTCAAGCCATGTCTCGCCTTCGAATCGCTATTCAGATGATTTATATTAAAAAAGAAACGAAATGTTGGATTTTTTGTCCACAAAATATTGTTGTATCCGCGTTCGCTCGAATCCATTGGATGTGTAACACAATAAGAAGCAGTTTTCTACCTCTGGACTTGCTCATGGCTTCTTTAGGTGTGATTTCGCGTTGATTTTGGTATTTTTAGATCGCGGCGTGTCAGTAGCGTTAACTATGTTGGTTAGCGACGAATTTTAGTTTAAATTATTTCTCAGGCCAAAAAAAATAACAGCCGCCATACGTAATTTCAAAAAGGATGTTTTTTTGCAAAATTATCCTCATGCTAAAAATAAACTTCTACCCGAAAGGAAAATGAATCATGGTTTTACAAGTGCTCTTCCGATAGTCCGTCAGAGATTAATAACTGCGGATCGTTAAGGGATTTTTGACGAGTTAATTATTATAACTTTTAGTTTAATATCACTTTGAAAAACTATCTTCTAGATAAACAACAATTTAATTTGATATAATCTATTCCTTTGGGAATGCGAGTAATAAAACGGGTGTACTAATATTGTGATGTTGTAATATTGAGATCTTTCAATAGCAGTCCAGAGTGTGTGCGTGTATAAAATCAAACTGTATATTGTTATTACTCTCATTCGCTAATGAATAGGGTATAACTAGCATAATAGTCTTTTCGTTCTGGTAGATATGAAAGTCAATACCCGGGTTGATTGTTGCCTGCCCCAACTTTTAAAACACCAAACAGTGATAGGAAAGAGTTGGTGGAAGAAAAACTATTTTACTAACCCATTATTCGCTGCTGTTACATCGTCATTGTTAGACCATTCTCCTCTTCAAGCTTGTCACGTTTTTTTTTTTTAAGAAAAAGGGCGATATATTCATATTAACACTCTTTGTTGAATCTGATTATATAACTTTATCCTGTTGTCTAATCAATATAGGGTTTATGTTTTGTTGTACATTTGAAATTTGTAAAAAAAAAGCGAGTTCAAGTAGTTAGGTTTTAAGATATTCGGGATGATTGGGCCCCCTTTTTTACCTAAATTTTTATGAATTGTAAATATTGAGTGCCATATGTGAACTATTTTCCAATAATTAAATACACACTTTTTGATTGTTACTTGATTTTTTTTTATCATATCATTTCGCTTGTCTGCGTGCTAGAAAAAGTTTGTTAAATTTTATGACTTATTTGAAAATAAAATATTAAAAGTCTAACAAATAATCGGATATTTTAGAACAAGAAAAACAGTAAACCTGTTCATGTTTTGGAGAATTTGTGAAGCCTTCAACTACTGACTTGCATCTGTCCTCTACAGGTATGGTGGGATCTCGAAAAGAGTTGGAAATAAGTTTTGAAAAATTAGTTGATTCTTCAGAACTCAACTCGGTAGGTCTCTGTGTAATAGTTCCCTAAAACATAAATATTTTGCATTTACGTTGATGCTAATAATCAGGTATAATATACATTGCATAGTCTGCATCTCCTGTCACAATTGTCTTTGATCTGGGTTGTCAATTTATCGCCGGTTTTGACAATTGTAGTGACGGTTGCGGGATAATCAGACTGTAGCTTTGTTATGAAGTCTCTCATTAAGTTTTGCACAGAGTGGTTGGAATTTACTTCCCTCCCTCTCACACTGATTGGATTTAAATGGTGTAAGACATTATAAAATGCAACTTCTTTCATATCAAAGTCTCTTAGAGGACGTAAAATTTTTACCCTTTCATCACGGTTATCGCAAAATCCCTACAAAAAACAAGATTTCCAATTATTCAATGTGAAGAATCAGCTACTTAAAACCGATAAAATGGACTGTCAATGCTTATTATAAGGTTGCCAAACTAAATTACAACTTGGAGGCAGATCCAAATTAAAAGAAACTAAAGAGTCCATTTTATATGTTATAAGTCTTGCGTGGGATATTTCGTCAATTTTCTCACAGTATCAAGTGAAATGTTATCGCCTCTACCAAGAGAAACATTGCTCAATAAATTTGAAGCAATGTCAATAGACAATTCTGGAGTGAAAATGAATTTACAGTCCAAGTTCTTGGCCACTTTGAGTAGGACATTTCGTCTAAAATTAAATATCAATGTTAACAAATTTGATTTGTCAATATTGCAGAACTTACTTTAGAATGAATAAAAGCTCATTTTTAGTTGTTTCATTTGCATTGTTAGCAACAACTGTAGATAATTTTGCTTTATCTAGTTCCGTCACATTTAAAATGTTTTCTGAAATGTTTATTTCATTTTCAGATGACAGACAGTTGGCTAAAGAAACAAAATATAGCTTCAATTGAAAATTGTTTACCTCCGTTTGAATATCTCTTAGCATTTCCTTTCTTTCATCTAAAGACAAATGATACCTATCTAAAAAGCAAAGTATTTCTCTATACTTAATACCACCAGAATTTCTCACCTTCAATAAATACAACTACTGGTATAAATTTAAGTCTCTTTGGAGTGTCTAAATCTAATCCAGATCTGATAAGATGCAACAAAGCAACAGAAGGATGTCCCACATCAAATGAAATCAAAACTTTATCATAGGGCCTAATCAACTTTGACTTTCCAAGTATTGCTTTGAATTTGTGGTTAGTGCTTGCTAAAAAACAGTTCCTGCAATATGCATCCTTGCCTCGAAGCAATATGCTAGCCTTTTCATGCCTACATTTGTTGCACCTGCAATTGTCTCTAAAACAGATAGGTTTAACTTATTTTGCAATGTTTCTGTATCAAACGTACAATCCAATGTTTTTTTGGGGCAAATACTTTTCTTCATTGTTTTCGTAATCATCTCCCAATGAACACATTTTGAATGAGGCAAGAATACTGTTATAGATCAGTATGGATAATTATATGAATAATGGAATTATGAATATTTTATTTGCTAATATAGGGTAGATATTATTTTTTATTTACTGAGATTAGCCAAGTTTGCCAAAATCATTCGGCCAGCTCTGGAGTTATATTATAGTTAAATATATAAATTAACTTGTTCAGTTCTCTCGTTAATTTCAGTAACTCGATTTTTAAATGTTGCAATGATAGTATCATTATGTTATGATCTTTTTATGTCGACAAATAAATCGAACTGTGGGTCAAAGAACACGAATTTCAAAAATTCAAAGTAACTGTTAGTCAACGGTTGTACGAGTACGTTAATGCAGCTATTTCGAAATTTGTGATTTCGAAGTAGATGGGTGAAATTTCCATTATGCATAGATAGTTTCAAATTTGAGGTCGTTGTACTGACTTTTATAGGCATGATGGACTTTAAACATCTAACTAAAAAGCCCGAAAAAGAAATGACACCGAAATCGGAAGTCGGTATTTTCGGAAAACGAATATCAGATGGTGTTAGAGCTTGCGAGAGTCATTTCACCTGTGTACAGAATTTTTCGACCCCACCATCCCGTCTTGCGAAAATAGTGAATCCATTTGAAAATCATTTGTTAGACAGATTACATTTGCCCGTGTTTAGGTGACCTTTTGATGTTTTAAATAATTTGTGTTTATGAGAAACTTTTATTTACAGTCCCAACGTATTCACCCAGTATTCTACGCCTCAACAAAAGTTCAAGTGGACCATCGACGATTATTCTATCTTAAAGCCTGCCGATATCGACGAAGCCACCCTAAGTCAGCACGTCAGCACAGCAGATTCTCATACTGAATCCCTAGTCCAACAAAAAATTGATACTTTCTTTAGCGAGAAAGAGATAGTTCCTAGCCCCATGAATGTGGCCTCTAAAAGTGTTCCTTTAATAAAAGACTGCGAGGGATCCATTGGAACTCCAAAGAAATCATCGCCCACCAAACAGTATTGCAATGGTAATTTATTTCTTAGAACTATTAAAATATTTGTACTTTCATTGGGAAATATTGGTGACCGTCTCATAGGTACAAGTCAGACTGTATTAACACTGCCACCGGTGCTTCCTAAAGAGTTAGAAAAAGCTCTAAAGCCCTTTTTTACATACACTGAAGACCAACAACAGTCGAATGTAGATAGGGAATATATACAGTATACAAATATAAGTAATTGCCCTCTATACAGGGAGTTGTTTGAATTTGACGACAATGCTCAGATGCCCGGAGATATTCAATCGCAACTGCCTCCTCCCGCATTATCTACAGGTAGCTATTGAAAAGATTTGAAAGTGCAAATGGTCATAAACTATATTCCATTTCAGGAGTTTCTCCCTTGCAACTGTCTCCTTGTAACATACCTGAACTCAAAGACTGCACACTGTCACCCATAGCGAGAAATTCGCTTACCCGTCTTTCCAAGTCAGCTTGTAGGTTAGATTTCTCAAGCAAAATGAGCGTCGACATTAGCCTGATAGTGCCGGATGTGGACAACCAAAAGAACAACGAACATATGAGCGTTTTAGCTGTAAATGGTAATTAATTGTATGAGTTTTCTAATATTGTCTCCTTCAGGCTTATGAAATTTTATTCTTTTTTTTTCCTCCTGGGTCAGTTGATAAATCGAACTTGCTGAAGTTTCTCCAATCATGCTGTCGGCTTTTTCAGTGCTTAACTTAAACTAGCTCGCACACTTATGTACTGTTTGAGGGGGGCGGAGCAACAGAAGGGGTGTGAACATTTTCTCGGATGAGTAATTTCCATCTTGGTAAATAAAGACCTGGTTGATGATGTCAGCAAGTTTAATTTATTTAACAACAGACCCACGAAGAATTCAGAATTTTTTTAAATAGTACTTATGTAAGTTTATTGGTTATTAACGGGTTCTAATCTTTTTTTTTTTTTGACGCAGTATAACAATTTAACATTTTTAGCTTTTGCACCTTAACTTTTGTTGATATTATGTTAAAAGTTCGTTTTTTACTGTTATTAACCACCACTGCTAGGATCGGTTCGTTAAAAGATTAGATTAAATCTGGGTTTCCTTCGTTATTTAAAAGAAAAAAAAATTTGTTTATCGCAATGGAAAATGTATTTAATGACTATTATTTTGGATGATATTTTTGATGATCAATGAGGTTTCGTGCTAACCTACTCTCCATCTAAAAATTAAATTGATAGAAATATTGAAATTTTAAACTTGGTTTAGGCCTCCCGCAGCAGCACTAAGGCTTCGCTATCGTCAAATTCGGACAATATTTTTTCATTTTTGAAGAATCCAAAAGGAAATTTAGAAATGTTTGCTATAAAAATTTACATTCATACCAGGGACTCAAATGTGTAGCGACCACAGAAACCACTTCTTTGGTACGATGAAGTTAGATGTTTCTAAACTAGTCAAGTACAAATATGTAAATTGACAGTTCAAGTACAATAAAATACAAGCTAATCTCATTCTTTTGCTATTTGCTATTTTCAAATATTTATATAATTGTACTTCACTTAACGCCCTGAAAAAGTACCATTATAAAAAGTGCCCCGGTTTTTTTAATTCACAGATATAGACTGATTACATGAAATGCAGCTTGGGACAAGTAAATGATAAGGAGTGGCAGTTATAGGGACTAAAAAATGACTAACATTTTAAACCATATTGAACAGAATGAAGTTGAAGTTGAAAATTGGTAAAGATTTCGATGGTTTTTTAAACGCCATTGCTATTAGAAGTCGCTATTTTCCGTATACTATATAATTTTTGATAAGCGGGAGCCACTGATTTTTTATATTTCAGATTACGCAACTAAAAATACCGGCCTTTTTGGGCTCAGGAATTTTTTTTGTATCTCGCTTGCGAGATGAAACATGTAATTTTATTTAGAGGACATTACAAAAAATAATCAAGGGAAAAAAAGTTGTTTAATTGTAGCATCGGAATCCAGAAAAATTCAGAACTTTTTAAAAAATCGTCAAAATTTTGGTTTTTGTTTTCGGGGAATTAATAATTTATAAAAATAATATAATAATAAAATAAGTTACTCTGTATAATATAGAATGCAGCCTGTCGCCCATCAAACCTGTGGAAATCTGCAGTACGGGTTCGAACGCCTCGAACTGGAGTATGGATTACAAGCACGTTTCGTTGCCGTCAGAGTCCGTCAGCGATTCTTCGGAGGACGCAATGGACGTTTCGAACTCAAACACTCCTCATTCGAAAATATTCGGAAATCAAAGGAAAAGACTTAGCGACAGTTTTAAGCACAACGACGAAGTCGACATCGATTCGAGGAAGGAATATGCAACATCCTGTAGTGTAGCGCAAGGTAGGAGAAAAGCATATCGCGACGAGTTGACAGACGGTGGGTACCATACTGGTACGTTTTCGAATGTCGAGAATGATTTTAGTGGTAACACAAATGTTTTCGCTTCGACTCCCAGCAGAAGGAAAGCATTCGCGTCGGAATGTATAATTTACGATTGATTTACTATATAAAAATATTGTTGACCATTTATTTCATTAAAATAAATAAACTGGGACCACTATCCATGAATATTGAAGTAACTGTTTAGAAAAAAATATTTTTGCTACTAAGTAAACTTGAGGTCCAACGGATTATAAATTCAAGACGCGGAAATTTTCGTTATTCCCAAACTCCGCCACCCCCGTTTCACGCGTGACGTCGCATATTTTGTAATTTTGAAACGGCGCTTCGGAAGGTAGCAAAATAAAAAATGTTTAGGGTTTAAAGCCTTTCCTTATCCTTGAAGTTTAGAGCAATAACACCGCTTATTTTGCAAGTCCTTACCGCTTCTTATTGGTTAATGGTGCTTTTTGATACCCTAGTCCGGATAACAACCAAATTGCGTCCGAAAAAAAGGACGACCGGGGGAAAATCTAGAGTTATTTAGTGTATAATAGTTTGTGACGTCACGAAAGCTATGATTCGTGCCCCCCCTCCCCTTGCTTTCCTTTATCACCATCCCGCTTCCTGTATAATCTTGATTATCTACCGCAAATAAGCAATCGACTCCCTTTGTGCCAATCTAAAAGAATTTATTACATAAAATTAGGAAAGTCTGAAAATGCTGTTTAAAAAAAAAGGTGATATTTATTATATAAAATGAACTGCTTGTAAATGTGATGGGATTTTTGTGAATATTTTTTTAAAATTTCTTGAATTTGGTTTGTACACTATAAGGGAAAGTTTTGATTAGTAAAATTTTATGTATATTAAATTAATTCAATTAACGGGTGTTATTTTGAGAAGTGACAACTTTAAAACCGACTCTTTAGGTAACTATTTAATAATTTTAATAATAAGAAATAATATTTGGACTTATATTATTCACTGCCATTTTCTAATATTTAACTCAGTATCTAAATAGTTTTAAGGTTGGGATATTTTTTTTTTGAAGTGTGCAATGTAAAAATAATTGAATAAAAGTATTAATTTTATTGAATTTTCTTTTCCTTCCCCAATATATTTTTCTTCAACAGGCGCTGTAATTTTATTTGTAAATAATCTTCAAATCAACTTTGAATGTCAAATTTACAGTTACAGATTGTATTTACAGAATTACAATGCTATAAAGGATGAAATTAAATTAAAAAAAAAAACACTTGTATCACTATTTTACAGGTAACGACCTTAAATATCTACATCATCTAAAGTTTGAATCCACAAAGGTAATAAACCCGCAGACTGCAGGTTAGGTTAGGTGCCGGTCGTGGGTAGATTTGATGTAGATGGCTTTGAAACCGATACCAACTGTTGGATTTGTGGCGCGGGCGCCAACGTGCTTTGCATAACGGTGGGCGGTAATGATACTTTGTTCGTGCTCAACGTTAGAGGTAGCAATGGTTGCTTATCACTGTAAGACTTTGACAAGCGCTCACTTAGGGCTTTCAAAGCAATTTGCCTGAAAAAACAATCACCCTGATTAGTTGCAAAATTTTTGCCGCAATTTAAAAAATCCGGAAAGTTCATTAAAAATTAGTTTCAGTTAGCTTTAAAAGCAACCAGCTGTACAACAAAAATAACTTTGAGTTTTTTTTTAATTAAAAAATGTACTTCACTTAACGCCTCGAAAAAGTAACATTATAAAAAGTGCTCTGGGTTTTTTAATTCACAGATATAGACTGATTACATGAAATGCAGCTTGGAATAGACATTTTTCACAAAAGCTACATTTATAAATATTCAGAGGATAGAAGGTATTACCTCCTTCTTTCCATGTCATGCTGATCCACATTTGAAACAGTAACAGTGACGCCTGTAGGATTTGACATGTCAAATTTCCGTATACTTCTCTTACAGATTCCCAACCTGACTAGAATATTGTACACACTATTGCTAACCACTGCTATTGGTGGTTGAATCACATTTGGGAAAAAGCTAGAAAAAATGTTGAAAAATATTGAAAGCTGTAAATATTTTAATGATACCTTGCAAACGTGAAATAGTCAGCCATGTCTCCGCGCGTTCCATTGCTGTGTTTCTGATAAAATCGTAAATAGACCCAACTAACCAACAAACCTCCAAAAAACATTGTGGGATAAGTCCCATCAACTAAGCCTATAAGTTTAAGTATTACTGAAAGGAAAAACACAGTTAGTGGTACATTTCTGTTAGTTAGTTTTCCCAAAGGAGTCTTCATAATAATCAAATCGGGCATTATTTGCTTCACAGCTACACTCACGCCAGCGACGTAGCCTGCGAGACCGTGGATATATATGTTGAAAAGAAATTCTGCATTAAATGTACAATAATACAAAATAAAGTAGAATGTTGTGGTAAAAATTCCCACTCCAAAGTTTACAAGAGCAAAGAAAGTCGTCATTTCCATCTGACCCCATAACGGTTCAAACAGCTTTCCACATAGCCCCACCGTAATGATATCAACCAAAACTTCCCAAAAATGTATTTCCATAAAACAAAATGTAAAAAGAGACCAAACTCTCAAAGGTGGTATGATATATCCAGGAGTAACTGATATAACGTCCACAGCAATATCCCAATAAGAAAGTCCATAACTGAGAAGCACGACTCCGCAAATGAACTTAACTGATGTACTAGTGTTTCCTAATAAGGCCACGAATTGCTGGTTTAAATAGGGAATATTCCTTCCCAAAGCCCTAAACATAGCCATTGTCAAATCATTTAGGTTATGTTTTATTCCAATAGAATCTTTATACAGTTAGTCACTTTTTTCTAAATGTTGAAAATTTTAGGGCATTATTATTTATTTATATTTGCGAAACTTTTTTGAGCTATTATTTTTTAATATGAATTAAGCACAGTATATATATTGGTATATTCATATTTGGCTTGATAGCATTCGTGTATTGCCAAAATCCGGTCAACTTCTTAAAATTCCATTTTAAAACTAATTTCAATTTATTAGTTAATTTAGTTAAATTGCAAAGGAATGACGTATATGGGATTAAAAAACGCCTTGGAAGAATTTGGGTTTTACAAATTTATACAAGAAAAGTAAAGAAGACGAAAGATTTCTTTTAGGTTAGGGCCTCAGGAACAGAACTTTTTTTTGGTTAGCCTTTATTTTTTTGCAGTAACATGAAGAAAAAACAATGATTAAATGCGATATGGGCTAAGGTGTTTTGCTTAAACTTAATTTAGGCATGATATTGGGCGTGTGCGGAAAACAATGGATGGGAACAGCAAAATATTATACGCTTTCAGAGGCTGGATTGGTTTCATAGCTTTTATGGATCTTGGCACGACGATCAGAAGTTTTATCGAGAAAAAATCATTTCTAAGCAAGACATTCTTAGAATACGATGACGAAGAATTTACCACTTCCCGAATATTGGGAATTTTTGCGTTGCTAAAAGCTGTTTCATTAATATACACCACTCTTTACATTTATTGCAAACCAGTTGTTGATTTAGGAAAATGGGCTCTGATGACCAGCGTTTTGCTTTACTTAAGTGAAAGCATCTATTTTAGATCCGTAACTTTAAATGTGACCGTTATTTTTCCTTTAATATTGAACTTGGGAACTTTATTTGCCTTATTTTACTTGCCAGTCAAATTAAGAATCTGGGAAATCACTACAGGATCTGATGATGAAGGTACTCAATTATTTAAAGAAGCACCAGCTGTTAGAAGAAAGAAATCAAGAAGAGTTTAAGATTTTAATTGCATTGAAATCTTCTATATTAATAGTTTGCTTGTTGGAATGCACAGTTAACTTTTAAAGGTTAAAAATCTAATTATTTATTTTCAGTATTGTGTATTATTTTGTTTTCAGTTTCAACATTTGACAACCCACATATCCAAAATTTTGAAGGAAAGTTTTGCCAATAGAAATTAGAAGTTTGTTGAAAGTTACAAAACAAAATAAATCCTTGAAAAAAACCATCCAACTTGATATTTTTTTGTTATCTTCTGAATAAGCATAAATATTCACATAAGCAACGACATTTTTAAAAGCTACATTCCCACAAAATTCAATTCTTATAAGTGCTTATCTAGTTCGCCGCGACCTAAACGACAGTCATGATTAACAGACGCAAAAGTCTAGTAGTCTGTGCCATAGGGTTTCTTATTCTTAATACTTTTCACAAACAGTTGGGCATGACTAAGGTGATAAATTGCCCGTTACAGATTTCTTATACGAGCACAAATGAATACCGGGAACTAACAGCGAACGTAAGATAAGCCAACTAAGCACCCGCCGGTACCGACATCCGTCTAGGGAAATTCGTTTCAGTGATTTCCCGGGCGCAAATAACGAAAATGGCGGAACCGTACGACTCAGATTCACTCGAACTAGCACTAGGTTTGTAACTATTACAAATTGAAGCAGACGGATAACTGATTGCAGCGGACTAAATACAACCTTGATACAATAGTGCTATGGTTTCCACAGAATCACCGCAGTAATTTTGTAATAAATAAAAATCAAAATTTTGGCAAGACGATGGGGTCAATGCACCGCGGAGAAAACTTCCATTTCTTTCTTAAAGATTTTCGATACTGATATCGTAAAAATAGCGCCGAGAAAAATATGAACGCTAAAAATATTTATTTTAATGTTTCAAAATTTTTTGGAAATGGGCTGGGACAACACTTCCTAGAGTGACATCGACATGTACAATGTACATTGTTCCAGGAAATTTCCCGTTATTTTATATCTATGGTTGCATCACAGACCATGAATTAAATTTTATTTCCTAACCTAGGTTCATTAATAAATCCACAGAGGAGAAATTCTTTTCTGTTTCCTACAATTTTATTTGAAAATGAATGATGCACCGAAAAGGGGCCGAGGTAGAGGTAGAGGTGGAAGAGGACGGGGCAGAGGTCGCGGCAGGGGCCGGGGTAGAGGAAAAAAAGCGCTTAAAGTAATTGAAAGCGATGAAGAAATTGAAAATAAAACCCTAGTGGAGGAACCGGTGGAAGAGCCACAGCTCGACGCCCCCGAAGCGCAAGAGGAAACGGGACCTCCTCCAAGTAACTGTATTTTTTATATTTATTTATATATTGTTTTTGGTATTTGGTGTTTTTTAGTTGATTTGGAAGCTGATATCTCTCAGTTGGAAGCACCAACCTTCACAACTATTAATAGAGGTCCTCCAGAGCCAATGCTAAGGTTAAATTGGGACCATAAAGTCAATTTAATTGGAGAGAAAGTTTTAAATCCTATGATACATTGTTGTGATAAATGTTTAAAACCAATTTTGATATATGGCAGAATGGTAACTAAATTAAATAATTTTTGGTCGTCTAAAGTATGATTATATTTCAGATTCCCTGCAAACATGTTTTTTGCTTAGCATGTGGAAAAAAGGAGCATAAGCAGTGTCCTAGGTGCCTAGAGAAAGTTTCAAGGGTTGAACAAACTGGTCTTGGAACTGTGTTTATGTGTTCGCATGGTGGAACGAGATATGGAACATCAGGTTGTCGCAGAACATACTTGTCACAGAGGGATTTACAAGCACATATTAATCACAGACATGTATCAAGTATTGGTGCTCAGCAGCCCGTACAGATCCAACAACAAGCTGAAGTAAATTATTCTTTTCTTTCAATCAACTTTTGTCACCTTAATCATTTTTGCATGTTTCAGGTTGTAGTGCCAGAACCTGAACGTACAAATTTGCGTCCTAAGCCAAATCTAGCCAACGATCCTAGATCCAGTACATCAACTTTAACTGGACGACGTGCTAGGGCTAATTTAATTACTGTTCCAATTCAAGAAACAACCCCAGTGGTGCAAGATACTATTCCACCTTCCCAGAATTACTACAACCAATACTCCCAAGCTACCAATTACAATCAGTCACTTCCACCGATGCATATACCACCACCTCAAGCACAGCCTCAGTATTACACTGCACCACCTGCTTACAGTCCAGCTCAAACCTATCCGACATATACGGGGACTGCTGCCCCCACCCAGCCACAGTACACTACTGCTGCTGCTACGGTACCCCAGAGAGCAACACAACAGTATGATTACACTGCTGCACCACCGCAGTGGACAAATAATCAACAATATTACCGCTGAAAGTTGTTTCTTTCCTCTTGAAAATTACTGAAAACTCTCTTGCGTTTTTGCTTTTGCTCTGTCATAGTAAATAAGACTTTTTTAATTCTGGCTTATGGTTTTATGGGTGTAAAGTTCAGTGTAATAAAAAAAGTGTAAAACATGTTTGACTTATTGATTTAAACTTTTGAAACTACCGTGAAATATGAAAAATATTTATAGCATGTTTCATAGTTTACCCATCGTTAACGATCGGTGATGTACGATCAGTTCTGTCTAGACAGTAAGACATCATGTCGCAGTGGTGCCAGTACTTATTCAAAGCATTAACTCACTAGTAAAACAAATTTGGGCTTAATTCTTCGGAAAATCTGTTTATTTAAAAAAAAAATTATTTATCGTAATTCTATGGGAAGGAAATGTCAAAGTCATGGAAAAATTAATTTTTTCTGTGCTCACAGTATAGATAAGACATACAATTAAAATTTGTTGAATGGTCGTTACAATAAAGTTATAAAATTGGAATAAAAAAAAAACATATCCTTGTGTCTTGCTGAGACATTTTCGGAAAATTGAGTAAATGTCTCAGGCTTTGCGAAAGCAAGGTCGGAACAGTGTTACCAACCTCAACCTCATGCTGACGTCAGCTAATCAAATATGGTTGAAATTTAGCCAAATCAGCTTGTGGAACAAGTAGTTTGTTTGTTATTGTTCGTAAGGCCATAAAGTTGACGCTTCTTAAAAACATGGAAAATTTATTCAGTATGTGGAAAGTGCGAGAGATCGCAGACAAAGTGTAAGCTAGAAATCGCTTTGGCGGTAGCAGATGGTTTTATCCCTTGTTTTCCTCACAGGACAAATGTTGTAATGAATTACACGGAAATAGAAGCCAAAGTTCGAGAAGCGACTAACGACGAGGCTTGGGGTCCAACTGGAGCTATTATGCAAGAACTTGCACACTCTACTTTTACATATGAACACTTCCCAGAAGTAATGTCTATGCTTTGGAAAAGGATGTTACAAGACAGCAAGCAACATTGGAGGAGAACATACAAAGTAAATAAGTATTCGCCAACATTTAGCGTTCCTCTAATGATTTTTTATTTCAGGCGTTACTAGTACTGAATTATCTAATTAAGAATGGATCAGAGAGAGTAGTGACATCAGCAAGAGAACATATCTATGATTTAAGATCCTTGGAAAACTACACATTTATGGATGATAGTGGCAAAGATCAAGGAGTAAATATTAGGCATAAAGTAAAGGAATTAATAGATTTTATTCAAGATGATGATAAACTTAGGGAAGAACGTAAAAAAGCTAAGAAAAACAAAGACAAATATATCGGAATGAGTTCTGACATGGTTGGAATGAAATTCGGTTAGTTTTATTCCTTTATTTTCCTTAATTATTTAATATGCACATATATATATTGACACTCCTTTACCTTATTGGGTTTTATGCAGTGTTATAGCACACAGTAGAGTTTGTGACTTTGTAGATTCAATGTCAAACAATATTATTTGCTATACACCAGCTATCAAATTTGCTGTGTAATACACATTAATTTAATATTAGGTATAGGTAAATATTTTAGACAATAGACTTATAAAGTTTTGAAAATGTTTGCTTAACTGGTGTTTATTTTTATTGTGGGTAAACTGATATATATATATATATATATATATATATATATATATATATATATATATATATATATATATATATATATATATATATATATATATATATAAGGGGTCTCAAAAAATTAATGTCATAGTTCTTAACATTTTCATTGTTAAATTAGCTGCTTATTTATTTTTTTCAGGATCAGGTCCAGAGAGTTGGGATAATAGACCACATAATCGCAATGAATTCAATGACCAAGATTGGGATGACAGTAATTCGGCTAATAAATATCGCGACAGATCTTATGATGATGAACTAGATCGCGACCATAACCATGATAGCGATGGAGAGTATTCACCAAAAGTTGGTGAGTTTGTAGGCTAAATATATATAGAAAATTGATCATTGATTTGTTGAATATTTTATTGCAAAAATGGTTTTTATCAGTTTGCCAGGGTTTTTTTCTAAATGTTTCATATGGGTTTTCGAGTTGTTGAGTTGAAGCTCGGGAATGTTAACAATTTACAAGAGTATATGAGATGTATATTTTTATATTTTCTAAAACTCGTGAGGAATTACCATGTCATTTAGTTGACAATTAGCAAAATAGGACCTTATTTCTATTGCTATCTGCTATTTTCCCTAGCTCTTTTTTGGTCTAATGATCGTAGCAGAATTAGCTCATGAAAATAGATACATATATAAACTGGAAACTATCATTGTAGGGAGAACTAACCCAAGGAAATTTAAAGACGAAGCCAGACCTGGCAGCCCTCCCCCACCCATATCCACGTACGAGAAACGAGTTAATTTAAATTTAAATGCGAACATTACCAATTCTCCTAGAAAAACCCAAAAGCCATTAAAAAAGGTGGATTTAGGGGCCGCCGCGAATTTCGGACATGATGTGACGCAACGTTCCCAGCCGATAGGGGGCACCGCGGATTTGCTAAATGACGATTTCGATCCTAGGGCGGGCGAGACCGTTCAATCCTCAAACGTTGTCAACGAGTTTGGCGATTTTGAGGCTGTATTTAATAACAACAATGCCATCACGCCGGGTCAGCAGAAGGTCGACGATGATTTTGCCGATTTTAGCTCTGCCTTTTCTGGTCCTTCCAGGTGAGTTTGATGTAACAAGATGAAAAGTTACATTGTTGCTTGAATCAAATAAAAGCATAGGAAGCGATCACTTTGTGAAGTTTTTAGTCAACTAAATCGAATATTTAGATATGAATTTGCCAAATAAAAAAGGCTTAAAATAATCATTTGAAATCGCTAATTTATGAGTTGAACAGGAATATAAGGTTTGCCGGAGTAGCGATTTTAACTGGTTTCACAAAACTATAAGGATTCAATTAAAATTCGAAGTCGATGTCTCAAAAATTTTTCTTTGTTTCTTTCTTTTGCACTTTTGTTGGAATTTTTTAATATTTATTTATAGAGAAACTTTACAAAAACTAAGAAATTTCATACATGCAATGCAAATTTCTTACATGCAATGACGGAAGGTACGCAGACACGTAAAATTATAAAACTTACTTCCATTTTAAAAGACCTTTTAACTGTTCTAATGTAATAGGAAACTGATCTACCTGTACCTCATTAAACACATGAAAGGGGTTATACTGCCCAAATGATTTTTGGTTGTTTTGTATTTTGAAATAAATTTTTGGTACATTTAAGGGGTTTATAGTTTAATACTTATATATTTTACTGTATTTTGGATTGTTTGATGTAGCTTGTTTGCAATTTTGTAAGAATATACTTTATGATATCAATATGTATGACTCTCCTAAGAGTTTCTTATAATAATAATCACACGGTTTATTATTTATCATATAAACACAGAATACAAAAAAATGAGTGATTATGCTTCAAGTTGTAAACATGTATACAATAAATAAACGTCATGTTCTGTTCTACCTGCACTGCGAAAATTCTTAACCTATTTCAACAAAATGAAGTAAAAATAATTCTGAGGTTTCTGAGTTCTGAAGCAAAACAAATAACCAACCGAAAATAGACACTGTTCAAAAATCAATTCTTTCAAACCCCATTTGACAGCTTTCCAGATCTAATCTCCTATTGTTTATATGTTTATGCAGTTCCCAAGCACTGGTTAATTTTAATTCTTGATTGCTATTTGATTTCTATTAATTTCTAGGCTTAAGCCCTATATGGAAACAAATTTCTTTGCAGTGGCGGCCCTAGTTTGCTTACTTCTCCAACCACTCCCGCGGTTTTTCCAAATGTTATCGCGCCTCCTGATATCAGACCGCCTGCCAATAACTTCTTTATGAGTAATTCAACGACTCCAGCACAGCCCAATCTGAAAAATGTGTCGCAAATTGACGGGGCGTTACCGTCGATGAGCGGAATTCCTTCCATGGGTGCGTTCAGCACATTGAAGGGTCAACCAAGCGCGGGTAACGATTTACTAGGCGATTTCGGTGGTTTGAGTATACAGCCTAGCGAAGCAGCTACTAGCAATAACAACAATAGCATCAACGACGCACTAACGGGTGGTGTGGGACTTTTGGATAATTTAGGAGGTAAGTGTGTGAACATAAAGTTGTTTATTTTACGGTAGTTTTCAAGGCGCTGTTTCCGCTGAAAGTTTTTATGCATTTCTTTTTATTTTTTTGGAGGACCTGAGATATTTTTTTGTAATACTTTAAAAAGTTATAGAGAGTCTTACAAAGAAATTAACTGCCATAACATAAGCCCATTTTTAGATCCTCTCTTATCAGACAGCAAGCGAAAATACTTTTAAGCTACAATGTGTTATAACTTATTGAATAACTTGATTGATGCGCCAGAATTTCATGAACCACTTAGGAAATTTAGTAACATCATTAAGACAGTGTTATATATTTTTGTGTCTGCTGTGATCTTGTATGGGTAAATAGGTAATTTACTGAAGTGTTCTAACCAAATTATTATAATTATAATTTTTGTGTACAAATCTTAGGCATTCCTCCTGCGTCGGATCTTGACGAATCGAACTTGGTGAAATTTTGCAATTCATCGTGTTGGCTTCTTCAGGGTTCTGAAAACGCCAATAAGTTCGATTCATCAATAACCGATGCAGGAGGAATACAGTAGATTTGTAAATATGACTACAGTAGCTTGTGAAATTTTCTTTCAAAAATTATTAATATTGTCAATTTTTAAAATTATTTTTCTTTAGCGTTATTTTATTTGCTTTGAATTTTCACTAATTGTATGTGAAATAGTTTTTTATGAAATTTGTGATTTGCCTATTTCACTTTAACCACCGTAATAAACATTCATATAAAGTTACCTGAAAGTCACTACAAAGGGACCCCTGTTAAACAAGTCTTAAATATATAATTTTTAGTTTGGAGATATAATTTTGATTTTCGCTTTTTGAAACTTCCTAATGAAGTTTAGCGGTTGCAAGTCCCAAGTCAAAAATTGATAGTTGCTTGTTTTGTCATTTTCAGTCCTGCCGAACCACAAATCGATTTTGAAAAGAAAAATGCAAAAAAAGTGGCACCTATTTTTTTATTTGCTAGAAATGTTTATTAGTATGTTTAGAACAGACGTGCCATATGTTTTTTAAATACACTAACTCATTCGAAGTTTCTATCGACCCGGAGCCCGCGAAAACCCATAAAATTGACTATGAGGTCACAACGCGACCCAGTTTAAATACATAAGCGGTAATTTATAAGTAACGTGTATTAAAACAATACCATTGAATCCATTGATTGATAGGTTAGTGTAACAATTCCTACAGGCTTATATTTAATGTGCCGTGATGTCCCAAAGCGTTTTTAAGTGACGTCATTTTTAATAGAATTACAGAAAATTAGAAAAGGATTTATGACGTTTTTCCTAAAATATAAAGTTCGTGCAGGAGGCCTATTGTCTCCTTCATGGCGCTAAGGGATACCCTGCTCACTTGTAATAGCTATTTTATTCATCACAACATCGCCGTGATTTGCCGCAGTTTTACTGGAAAGGACCTATTTGAAATGGTATTGATAGTCCCATAGATATTTATCTTGATATCGGTTCTGGAAATGAGGAGGGGACACACTAAATATCAGTTAGATCAACAAAATATTAGGGAAAAGTTCCCATTATTTTAAATAAATACCACCGCTTATGATACCAGAAAACGGAGATGGATAATGTTGAGCCGTTTGTTATTTTGTCGGCCGTCGTTCCGGGAAACTCACCGCAGTTTTCCCGTTGCAGATGGGGAAGAATCTCAGAGCGCGAAGCACGGAACCAAAGGTTCCGCGCAACGGTTGGAGGCCGTCACTCGATCCGCGACCGAAACGTTCGTTAATTTAAGTCGACTGACGTGCGACGCAGACGTCAACCGAACGCTAGAACAATTGGAGACGGTGACGCGGCATTTCCCCGACCCATTTGCCGGGAAAGACTATCGAAAATACGCCGAACGCTACTATACGATGTTCCTCGAGGAACTGATAGCCTTGTTCGACTCCAACTTTCCGTGTCGGGCCGGAAAAATGTACGAATCCGTCGCCCAGGTGTTTGCGAATCAACATCCCGACTTGTTCGAAGCTTCGCTCCGGGTATTGGTCGGGAATTTCGAGGGAAAAAGGGACGAGACCGCGGTTACCGCCTGTTTGCGATCGCTCCTTGAAAGCGACAACCTCGTTGCGGCTATGGCGCTAGGCGCGTTCACCGATAGAGGTCGCGATCGGTGGGACGCGACCGTTCAACTGTTAGTCACCGTACCGAATAGGGTTGCCAACCGCTCACGCGGCCTGCAACCGGATTTTTTCACCAACGATGCGTACTCAAATCTGCTGTACGTGAACGCGCTCAGAGCCGTCTTAATATTGGCCAACGTCGTGGAAAATCGACCGCCGCTACTGGGCAAAATCGACGCATCGAACTTGGCCACGTTATTGAGCAAAGTCGCCGTTAACTTCGGCTCGTGCAACCGCGACGGCCTCGATCGTTTTATAGAAATCGTTGGTCAGCTCGCGAATCGATCCGAACCGCGCACCATTTTGGGCAAAATTTTCGAACGTCTTGACAGGTCCGCGACGAACGTCGTCGCCAGGACGTGCTTAACTATTCTCGGCCCGCGCGAATATTCGATCACCAACGTTCTCGGCAAAAACCTGCTCCGAAACGACGATTGGAAGTACGCGTTAACCAAAAACATCCCCCTGCTGACGTACGTCGACCGCCGTCAAGACAATTTGGTCGTCAATTTGGTTATGTACCTGGGCAAATGGTCGCATACTGATCTCGTGTCGTTGCTCACGGAATTGTTGTCCGTTTGGGCCGACCGGTTGGCCGTGAAACGGGCCAGCGTCGAGCACCAGTTGTTCGTGTCGAAGTTGATAGTGTGCGCGGCGAATTGCGCGCGCAACGTCGGACTGACGGAGCACGAAGCGGCACGGATCAAGGACACGACGTTCCGCGGCTTGCCGGTCCATTTGGAGAGCTCGGTCGCGGCGGTCAGGGCGGCCGGCATGAAAACCGGCGAGCTGGTGTTGAATTTCGTCTATAAAGAAAGCGACGAGCGTCTCGAGAACGAATTGAGCTTCGACTACGAGAGTATGAGCGACCAGTGCAAGAAGGTGGCTAGCGGGCTGCAGGACTTGTTCGATTTGGACTTGGCCGAGTTGTACAAGCCGAAAACTGGTTTTCGTAAGTCGATCGGCGAACTGTTGGACGGTTTATCGAATAAGCGGGGAAGCGGCGCGGAGTATATCCCGCCGGAGAGGAAATTTCGCGAAGCTAAAAACGAAATCGTGGTAACCGAGTTCGTCAAAAGCGAGAAACGCGGCATCACCATCATCGACGAGACGTTCAAGCCGGACTCGGACGACGAGTTCGAGCCGTACGACATATCCAACGACGTGGAAGTGGCGAAGCGCGGGCCCGCTTACCTTCGGGACCTGAAGGAGACGCTGCTCGAGACGCAGGACCCGGACTTGTTCGAGGCCGGAGTGCGCAGCTGTCAAAAGATCGTGTCGGAGCAGCTGGCCGACGACGACGTCAACGTCGGCCTCGAAATTTTGGAGATTTTAATCGTTTTGGACCAAAGGTTCCACGTCGACGACTTCGACCGTTTAGTGTTTGACGGTTGCGTCGCGATCGTCTGCACGTATCCCGCCCCGTACGCCGAGTACCTTTGTAAAGAGATCCACGCTGAAGTCGGCAAATATTCCATGGTGCACAGAATATTGATGTTGGACGTGCTGACGCACGCGTCGAAGGCTCTTGCCAATTTGACGCCCGGCGCCGCGCAGAAGGACGAACCCGCGCCAAAGGCCAAGAAGTTGAAACTGGAAGCGAGCAACGCCTCGGAGATCGTTCGGAAGCGTTTGGAGAGCAAAACGAGGTACTTCCACACGCACAAGTTCGTCAAACGCGAGCGCAGGAACGAGTTCGCCAACGTGGTCGGCCATTTTTTCTTTCCCTTGCTGTACGGCTACGAGCGGAACGAATTGCTCGTTAGACCTCTGATAAAGGACGCCGACGATTTTATATTCCTCGTTCGTTTCGTGGAAGCGCTGGCCGTAATCATGTTTTGCGCGCACAATTGCCCGGTAGCGCCGCGCATGACGAGGGAGGCGTTGCGGTTCTCGTGGTTTCTGCGGTTCCATCAGGACGTCAAGGTTAGGATGGCGGTGTTGAATCTGATCGCGACGGCCGCGATGGCGGTGCCCAGGGAGGTGCTTCTGGCCGATTTTCTGAGCGAATTGTTAAATATTAGGATGTGGCTGGCCGACTTGCTCAGTCCGAACGCGAGCAAAGGCGAAGCGAACTCGGAGTGCAGACGCCAGGCGTATTGCACAATGGCCGTCCTCGAGAATATATTGAAAAGCGATTCGGACGAGGACTAGTCGGCGTTGTAATCTATTTTAAGTTTCTATTTTATCAATAAAATAATTAAATTGAGGTTCACGAAGTTTTTGATTTATAATAGTATATGATGCAACCAGTGCGGTAAACGGTATTTGATTCATGAGTTTATTCGACACGAGCGGAGCGTGCGGTAAACGGCATTTGACTTACGAGTTTATTCGACACGAGCCGCTCGTGCCCAATAAGTTTTTCCACTCCCGCACGGGTTTGGGAACAATCGGATGTTTTCGGAGATATTTCAAACGCTTTGAATTTTGACGTTTGTCAATTCTGACGGTCATGTTGGTGAATGTATTCGTGTAGTTTTGCGAAAATGTACCCAAAAATTAACGGTCGTAAAAAAAGTATAGTATGCAACACTTTCGGCTTTTTGAATTCAATGATAGTTCACTCTCGCACAGCAAATTAAATTGTTTAAAATGCTTGGAAAAATTACATATGAAGAGAGTGGGATGTATTTCATTCAATCACAAGCACCGTCAGTGATAATTTTCAGAAAAGGTTTTTAAAATCACATTATATAAAAGCGTCAAACAAGAAAAGGAACGAGGGCTTTATCCTTAGGTAACGGGATTTGAAGGCTGTAAATAGAAAGTTCACAATATTGCAGATACATTTCATTTTTTTTATCTCCGTTTTACATATTTGCATTAATAGCCACTTATTGTGTAATAGTGTAACCGGGAGTATGGTAGTCATACGTGTACGATTGTCGTTTAGTACGTTAACCATATTGGTTAGATACGATTGCGCAAGCGCTAGGCATCTCGATTCGTTGATAACTGACTAACCTAAAAAAAAACAACAGTCATTAGAACACCGCTTGCTTACCCTTCTCATTGGGTGCGGCAGAGTGTATGTTTCACTTGTTACTATAATAAATCGAATGTTTTTTTTTTCGGCTCTTGATTAAACTAGATTTGTGTTTAATTTTAAAGCTTCCTTGCTTACACCCACACTCGCTCAACCGCTCCAAGCGATGTCTTCCAACACAAACAATGCCGCCATCACCTCCACGTCCGACACAAACAACTCAAATAGCAAAAACGTGCCGGTAGGATCGACATGGACGAATCCCGGCGGCCTAAACATAGACTTGGACAATTTGCTCGTTGGTAAACCGAAAGTACCCGCGTCGCCGAGCATGAATCAAATGGCGAGCAATCCGACGTCGCCGATAAAAATGGCGCGACCGCCAAATCAGACAGCCGCCGCGCCCACTTTCGGTAACAACTTCGGATTTAGCCAAGCCCCGATTGCCCCCCAACAGGGCAACAATCAATTTTATGCGGGCTTCAAGTGAGTTCGTGGTCGCCGATATACTTAACGCATGCGTGTAAATGTCGCCGGACGTGTGTACGGAATTTTTTGCGCCGAAAGATGTAAAAAGGTACTGTGGGGTTATCAAATGTACATTAGTTCGTGGATGTAATGTTGGTGTAGTGTTTCTAAAAGCGCGATGCCTGTTTTACACTTGCGGAAGTTCATGCACGTCTTTAGGAAATTTGTAGATGATTCTATGCAGAAATTCTGCTCAAGTGCTGTGACTGGTTTATAAACTTTAACGAAGTTATCACTTAAAAGTAAAGTGTTAACTCTTACGTTACGTTAAAGAGGTTTATAAACTAACCTTAAAACAGGCTTAAATTGTCCTTGAGAGTTGACGAAATGGTCTATCCGGCTCAAACAATATCAGGGTGCGTCTACCCGGGAGGCAGCATGCAAGCATTCCAAAAGTTGACTCTCACCGTATCTTTTTATACCAAAGAGGTTTAATATTACGCAAGTTTCTGTTTTGAACTTCTTTTAATGTGATCTCCAAGTTTCGAGTCAATTCCGATACATTCATCACACTAATTTTTAATTGTAAAATTTAACAGTATTGCAAGTATGTGCCTGAATATTCCCGAAAATTGAACAACACTTACCGTTTTAGTTAGCAAACTTAAAAAAGAACTTAATTGGGCGACCGACACATTAATAACCCTGATAACTGCGAAAAATATGGTGTTAAAAATTAAATTAATTAAAAAAGATATGGTATCCGTGGGCGTTTTACGTCAGACATTTTGATGCATTAATTAAATTTCGTAGTATCTCTAAGTAACTTCATTTAAATGAAATGCTGTGTAAAGCCTTCCTCTCATTGCATTATTTTTGATAATGTTTTTAAGAATCAAATTGCACAAAATTCTTTTACTTTGATCCTACTTATTCTGTAAAGGTCAAAGTTTCTGCTTATGTCAGTTATCAGGGTTTGATATATGGCAAAACGATCTGTAACAATGGTTACAAATATTGAAACTTTTAAGCCCAAAGAAAGCAAAATATTATAATAAAAGTGTAATTGGTGGAAACAGAAGTAGGTGTTTAATTGCGGTGATGTTACAGATCGTTTGCCACTCTTTAATTCCATGAAAAATCCGTAAATTATCAGTCGCAACTTTTCTCTGCACCTCTTTATTCTAATTTTTATATAGTGCATTTTGTATATATTATTTGAAATTTCGTAATGCTCATACTTAGGGTGCTGGGTATTTTAAGTAGCCTTAATTTAGTATTTATTATTTAAATTTGTGTATAGTTTTACATTGGGTCGAGTCAATGCGAGTAACGAAATTGGAGTCCACGGGAGGGGGGGGGGGCTTAATTTTAATGTGTTTTCAATGAAAAGGTTCCATATGATATACTATATGGATCAGATCCGATCCTATGGCGACCATATCATTTAGCTAAAACAAGGGAGGTGATATTGTATATCAATTTAGGTTTTTTTGAGGCGTCCTGGGATCTATAGCTTCCTTTAAGTGAGGTTTCTTTACATTTTTGAAGACGTTTAAAGCAATATTTTTATTATAAAACTGTTACTATTGTTAAGTTTGTACTAAAACCCAATAAAATAAATATCCTTAATTTTCCCATTGTTTGTGTTTTTTTATTGTCATGTAAGCTAACCAAATGGTTAGTTTATCTCTCATTTATTAACACCTCATATGCTGCTTACTTGTTGCATGTGACGACACAGTTTTGCTTAAGTCATGATATATTTCAAAATAAAGTATTTCCTATACTAATGTACACTTTTTTCACGTCACCAGATTATAATAACCAATTTTAAAAAGTCAAGATGTAACCCTTACTAACAATAAATTTTAAAAGCTCTCTAGAAAAACTTTTAACTCCTGATGTAAGAGAATTTATTCGGCTTTGTCTTTGTTTTTCTTCTTCTTCTTTTTCGGTGTATCTTCATTTTCATTGTGTGCAGCTAAAAGGATTGGTAAGTAGAACATTTTATTGTAAGAGCTAGCTAATTATTCATAATAACAAGTACTTACAATCTATTACACTTAAATCCAAAGTACTATTTGATTCACTCTTCTTCTTTTTCTTCTTCGGAACTGCCTCTCCATCCCCTAGAAAACAAACAAGTGTAAATTTAGTTATTTGGTTTAACTCCTTTGATAACACACTTACCATTAGATATGCTGTTGTTAAAAGTGTCATCCCCTTGGGAGGATTCACTTTTTTTCTTTTTCTTCTTCTTCTTGGGCTGTTCCTCAGAATCGCCTCCATTCGCGATGCTACTCTCATCTGCACCGCTAGTGTCAAAGGCTTCGGAGGCGGTCCGTTTCTTCTTCTTCTTTTTATCTTTCTTTGTTTCAATTTCGAGGTACTGCTGAACCTCTTCCAGAGCCTCTTTCATCACTTCAATATTTTTTTTTGGAACGTCGCCAGTTTCATAAAACTTTAACCTGTCTTCCACCTAAGAGAAAATTTGTATACACCTTTCTTTTTTTAATTTAAATTTTATGAAAATATAAATGTATCCAAAATATTAAGAAATGTTAGAAACATACTTGCTGCTTTAGCTTTTCTCCAAAAATTTGATTGGGTGTTTCAGCAAAGCAGTCAATCCTTGACGCGATTGAACATTTGTTTGCCAAATATCGGGAGATTCTTCCCTTGTTCTTTGTTCCAGCCCTCCCGATAAATGTTGAATGAAATAATAAACCATATTTTGGAGTATTCCCTAAATTAAATCAAAGATATTAAATACACAAATTTTTATTACAAAAGCTTTACCTCTTGTCTTCAAAGCCCTGAATAAAGCCTTTTCAGCACCCAAAATTTGAACTGTGGATGCAGGGTATTTAGCTAAGTTAGTCAAAGACCCAGCGTGCGCTATCAACCTGGCACCCACCTGATCACCAATAAGTGTTGCCAAGTTTGGCGCCACATCTTTCATTTTTGTACTCAGATAAGTGGCCAACTAAATAAGTAAGAAATATTAAAAAATAGATCACAATTATTTGAAAATTGGCAAACCTTTTTTCTATACTCTGCCAGTGAAACTACCCTATCGGCAAACATTTCAATGTTCATTAAATCCAGAGAGCTTATGTCCATGCCCATACTTGATTTTGAGGCATCCAATATTGCCTGTGCTTTGGCAGAATCCATAGTAATTTCTTCTAACCCTTCTAAAGAATCGCCAGAAAGTTCCTTACGATTTTTTATAAATTTGACCAATTTTGCATAACTGAAATTTTCTGGCACTATTTTGACAAGTTCTGGGAAATGATAAGAGTACCACTCCCTAAAAAATAGTTGCAACAACTTTATGTATAAAATGGGTATTTTTTATAAAATGTTTACCTTATCCTCATAGAAAATGTATTAATATCTTTATCCAGTTGATCAAGGAGGGCAATGGATTGAATGATCATGTTATCTACTCTGTGGACATTAAATTTGACTTTGGCTCGAGAATAGGAGTGACCCAAACCCAACTGCGCAATACCGGAACTTTTCAAAGTAAAACCTTTGACTAAATGGTGAAAGTGAAATCTAATGCCTGGAAATTAAGAGGAAAATTGACTTTTGCAAAAAACCAGGAGGCAGTTTACCTCTAGTAATTTCTGGAACTGCTCCTACATGGGTACACTGAATACCCAGAGCCTCAGTAATTGAGGCGGCCAACTTAGGATCAATTACTCCAAGAGTTATTTTACTTTTTTTACCAGTTTTGGGTATCGTGAGGTCAAGAAACTGTTGTAAATCTTCTGACACGACTCCTTCCGATATAGCGTTTATATTTTCCAAAGCGGCCACGGCAGTTTTAAACGGAGAAAAACTTACAAGCTTGACAATACTGTTAAATCTTGATAAATCGTTTATGGAAGCTTCGACTTGCGGTAGGACCATACCGATCTCTTCGAATTCTTGAACTTTGAAAACTCCATATCCAGCAGCATGTTCGAATAAAACGTAAAGTTTGGCCTAAAATCAAGCACGTTTAAACATTTAGGTTAAGAAAATTTAAAGTAAATATTGTAGCCACAAAATCTTCAGTGTTAGGTGTAAATAGTCTATAAGAATACTTGCCATCGTAATAGAAATTTTTGTTAATATTTTTATAACAAATTATAAACCAAAATACATTTTCAACGACAAACCACCAACACTTACATCACACAGACCACAAACCGATCAACATGTCAAGACCACAGAATCCTCCTTCTTTTTTTTCGTCGTAAAGTTGCTACAGGTACTCGGTTATCACCAGCACCCGTCAATGGACGTTTTGACAAACTAATAGTTACCAATTTTATTAGGTTCTTTTTTTTCTGTGCACCATGGTTTGTTCTATGTTGAATATATACAGTAATGCGGAGCCGACTCGTTTAGTTTGAGGACGATAGTTTTTTTTTTAAATAAGTTGGTTGAAAATCATGTGTTCGCTAATAACGAAATATTAAAGTTATTATGTGGTGGTAAAATAGTGAGACTTCTTTGACATGGCCGGTGTTATACCAAAAAAATCATCATCTGGTAGAAAGCAATGGACTTTGCATGGTAGCCAAAGGAACTCCCTAAAACGCCTACGAAGCCAACTGGCTTCCGATGGTTGCCCAGAGTCTCAAGTAGTATTAGCAAAACAGTTACTAGATGAAGAATGTGGTAATAAATCTTGACCTGATTAAAAATATATTTAAAGTTAATACGTTCCTTTTTAGAGGAAAGGGCTGAACAAAAAGAAAACGCTCGATTGGGGGTGTACTGGTTAATAAAAGCTTCAGAGCAAGGTAATCTTGAAGCGACTGACTTGCTGAAATCATGCTTAAGTACAGGAAAAGGTATCAGCGAGCACAACTATATGGATGTCAAGTCTTGTATTACCATGACACAGGATGAGAAAATTGTAAGAAAGGCGGCCAAAGAAATGTTTGCAAGGTATAGATCATCCCAATTTACAAAAAATTAGATATATACTTAAACCTATCGACCCTAAGGTGTAAGGTCGAATGATTTTTAAAGTTCATATACAAATTTTTGCCACGTATTCTTGTCCACCTCCATTCTTGCTGTTCTCACTTTTCCCAGTCCGGTTTCTTTTAGTATACTCTGAATGTTTTAGTTCCTTTTTAGCTGCGGTCTTCATTGTATTAGATATTTCCTTGTATCCTAGCATTTAGTTCTGTTACGAGGTATGCATTGCAATTTATTTCTACTCCCAAGTAGTAAAAAAAATTATCTTGTTAACTTCGAAAAATCTATAAAATCGATTATTTTCGAAAGTATTCGCGTTTCTCACTAAACTCGAGATCTCGGTAGGTCCTAGGGGACGGGACCTCCATTGGTTCTCTGTAGACCAAATCCATTTATGGCCATAAATTTCGAACGGAATAAGGTAGGGGGTTGACATTTGGCTCCTTTTTTACCATCCATGATCCGCACAATATAAGTAAAAATGGAAACGATCGGACCTTGGCGTCCATCTTTTTTTCTTCGTTTTGCGACAGCGTTTTGAACTTTGCTATGAAACATGATAATGCCCAAAATTTGAATCTATCGATTTGAAATTTTGCAAAGTATAGGGCATAGGCCCGTGACGGAACCTATTGAAATTGAGAAGGATCGGTGAATGGGAAGTATTTTTTAAAATTCCAAAACAATTTTTTTTCAAAAACCAAAAACTAGCTATTTCTCGAAAATCATTTATCAGATCGAAAAAATTCTTGAACGAGAAGACGGAAAATATTGACGCCCATTAACTTTTATTCTTGACAATTTGACAATTGAAAATATACAAGGTGTGTTGGTATTGCCAAAAATCTGAAAATTGCATTACCTTTGAAAGGAAAATTGGTACTCAGTCGGTGGAAAGAGCTAAAACTCTTGTATTTAAAGTGCTCGCATATTGTACAGGGTACAGGGCAGCAAGTGCCAGGAATTTGCAGCTATTGACTTCAAATTTATCACGTTGATAGAAGTCCACCTCCGCATGCAAAATATAAAAGCTAGGTGCAATCCAGCATCGCCAAATATTTTTAAAAAAATTCATATTCAAAATTCATATCTCGAAAATTATTAAACCAACCGGCAAAATTCTTGAACCGTAAAACGCGGAAGGTCGAGGACTACAACTTTTATTTCACGCATTTTTTCGATTATGTACAGGGTTTGTCAATTGTGGACAAAAATCTAAAAGACCATGAAAATTGTTTTTTCCATAATAAATTATTAACCGTAAATCAAAATTCGTGAAAAATATTATTAATCGGTTCAAACAGTGTCATAGGCCGCATCAAGAGCTACAATTTTTGTATTTGCGGTTTTCGTCTATCACACACGCTGCTCGAGATATTTCAAAAAATCCATATGAAAATCACTATTCCTCGGGTTCAGTCAAGACGCGAATTTTTCGATCAATTTCAATCGTCTATTCAATTAAAAATCAAAAAGTCTCTGAAAGTTGCCGTTGCCGTTGATTAAATTATTAGCTGTAAATGAAAAACTATTAAACATAAGATAATTTGGTTTAAGCAGTGTATTGTGTCGAGTGAGAGAGTGTCACTATCAATTGTACAAATTTTTACATTTATCATAGTTTGCCGTGGCTTTGAAGTTTAGCGATACGTGAAAGACTCTTTATACTGGGTGTATGCACAATATAATTACATCGATTTTGTGAAAGTTGCATTGTTTTCCGCAGGAGCACGATAGAAAAACAATGTGTCGCTCTACGACAAGAAATCGCGAAGCGTCTTCTTTAAAAAAAAAAAACTGCTTCGATCTACGCATTAAGCACTCGTCCCGCCCAGTGACGATTTTTCGAAAGCAATCTTGTTCTATTTGTTTTTGGTATAATTCCATAGCTTTTGTTTTATCCTCATTAATTTTAAGCTTTCTCTCATTTAATGAGTCTTCCAGATTTCTAGTTTTTTTTTAATACTCTTGCATTTCTTGCAAATATGGCCACATCATTTGCCAAACGCACTCCTCTATCCAGACAGCTTCCAAATCTTTGTACCTCACAAGAAGCCCAGATGTATTTATTTTTGTTCAACATCCTTGTTTACTAGGAAGCTCCTATTTAAGGACTAGTCTTCCTTCAATATGTCTCTCTAACAAACTTTCCTTCCCTCCAAGTTTATCAAAACCTTTCTCTATTCATAGACTTGTTGCTGTTTTGTATTTTTTCCATAATTTGCTTAATCATGAAGGTGTGATCATGAATACTTCTTCCTCTCCTTAATCTACTTTGAGATTTTCAGGTAGTTTGTAAATCAATATTGGATTAGTGTGAAAGTCCATCTCAGTTTTATTTTCCAAATCATCCCATGATTGTCGCTTGACTTTTAGAACCTGTAGTTTGGCTTTTATAAATCGGATAACTTACATTGTTCTTAGTTAATTTTTCAAAGAAACTTTCACAGGCTACCGTAATACTTTTTACAAAACTTCTGGATTCCTCCTGCGTCGGTTTTTGCTAAGGCCGAAAGCACTTGCCACTGTAGTGCATCCTTACATTCAAAACGTCACTGACCACATATCAGAAGTTCTAAAGAAATATGACGTCAAAACCAGATTTACCACTTGTCCAACAATCTTTCAACATCTTTGGTCCGTCAAAGATAAAATTTCATTTGAGATGCCAGGAGTTTACAGCATTCCATGCATACGCGGCAAAGAAAACAGAGACCGGACGTAAAGTATTAACTAGGCTCAAAGAACATGGAAGAGCCTTACTAAGATAAATAAACACATCAGCTGTTGCCGAACACAATCACGAAACCGGACATAAAATTTTATTCGATGAAACTAAAATTCTTGCGTGTAATCAATTCTTCTACCAAGGAAAAATCCGCCCAATACCGTATACTGAGCCGGATCGATCAGGGCCGTTCCGAAGACTCCAAATCTTGCCCATATTAAAGCAGGGCACTCGGTGAGCAGATGATCCCGGTGTGACCCGGGACCCAGACCAACATGACATTTCTCTCGGCTACTTCCCTGCTACCGTGGTTGAGAGGAAGCACCTCTCTGGCCGCCACCAATATAGCGAAACTCTCCACCTGAAACACGGTGCAGTACTGACCCAGAGGGACCGACAAGCTCGATCTCGTTGTTTCGCGGTACGCTCCAGCTCCGGCCAAATCTCCCATTCTGGACCCGTCGTTGTACCATCCCATGAGGCAACTCTGCCCTCTCTCCATTCCTCCCTTGATGGGAAGAGAAAGGTCCATTTGTCAAAGGTCATCTCAGGGATCAGGACGTCGCTCGGCATGTCCATGACACCGCGATCCCCGGGCCAGCCCTAATCTTAACCGCGACTCATCTTTATCTGTCACCAATATGGGAATCAGTCATCCAAGACGGTGTTTATGCTCCTCACTTAGCCCCGCCCCCCTCAAACAATATATAAACAGGTACAGAGTAAAATGCGAGTCAGTTTCAGTCAGTTCAAGCTCAGGATGATTGACGAAACGTCAGCAAGTGCGACTCAGCGAAAACCGACGCAGGAGGAATCTAGTAGTTTTGTAAAAAATTGTTCTTAGTTGCTAGATATTTTCCACTGTGCTGTGTTTTTTATATTCTTATTTATAAAAAGTTATATGCTTCTTTCAATATGACCATTTTTTTTCAGTTTATCGAACGGTGGCGAGTATATTACATCAAACCAACTTCAAAGAAAAATCTTGGCAATTGATCGAGGCGAGGGGTGTTCCAAGTCTACAGAAACTCGAGATTTGGAGGGTGATGCAAGTGAAGTAAATGGAGAACTAACCAATCACTTTGATGATATGAGTGATTCCGATGATGAAACTGACTGGTCACACAAGTCAGAGTTAAATAATGAAAAACTTACCGAAGATAACATAGTCTCGGCGGCGGTGACATTTGCCCATGGCAATTTACCAGTGGTTAACAACATTCTCTGCCTTGCAGAACCTAACCTTAGAGCTTTAGATAATATTCCGTTTGTCTATTGGTCAATATTGCATCCCCTCCTGTCTTTGAAGGTGTTGTATGTAAAATTGATCAAGTTTCTTGGCAACAAGTCTTTACCGTTGCCCTTAGCCAGAACCGACGCGCAATTGTTGTTCCTTTTTTTAGTTTATTCCGTTATTGGCAGCAAGGATATTACCCACTTTCTACCTAATGTCATATTTTACTGTTCCTTCATAATCATGGCGGTCACGACGTTTCAAATGCTTCAATCGCACAGAGAACTGCATGATTTTCGATTGTGGCGCGGCCTATTTATTTGCTACTCAAACGGAGATCTGAACGAGCACTCTTTCGAAACGCAGTTCATTTTAAACCACACTAAGCCTTACGGCTGGTATTTTTTTAGTTTACTGGTTCACTATTTTTGTTACTCTATTACACCTAACAAGTTAGAATCGGAATTTACCCTCGTCTCCTGTTGTTTCATGTTCATGACGCTGTTGGGGTTCATGCCGAAACGTCGCTCAAAGATTGTATTCGATCCGATAGTGCTTTTAAGTTTCGCCGTAAATATATTGGCACGTTATCCTTATGACACGGATCCGATAGTTTCCAAAGGATGGCGATATCTCGAATTAAAAGTACCGTCGTTTCCAAGTTACGTCGTCGGCAACGGCATAGAATTCTGCATTAGTTTCCAACTCGCGCTCTATACTCTGATTCCCGTGATTCTGATACGAATGGCGATGAAAAATAAATGGAGAGGCAGTTACCAAGTACTTCTTCCTCATTTGGTTACTTTGAGTTGGCTGCAATACTTCGCCCTTTGCTCACACAATGCAACAAGGTACGGGTTGTATAGGGCTACCTTAGCGTTAGTGGGGTCGGTACTGTTTCTACCATTGGTCGGGTTAATGAGCGTGATATTGCCCGTCGCTGCTTTAACCAAGTGGATAGTTACATCTAACCTTATTTTTACGGTTAGTATCTTCCTCTTCTTCTTTGTAATATGTCTGGCCGTGTGCTACGCATGCGCTCGTACAAAGTACGCCCAGTACACCGCCGTTCTCCAGATAATTCTAATGTTGGTTGCGTTCGTCGCTTTGCTCAAAAGTTCCCGTCAAAATCAAAATATGTCGCCCGATTACGGTTTAAAAGTCGAACCCAAACCATTGGAGTGGGAAAATTTCCAACGGTACTGCCATCAAAAAGTATGGGAACAAAAGGAAACCAGCGCAAACGCTCAGACGAGATGCGCGCAGTTGGAAAACGTAAATGTGCTCTGGGAAGGTACAGTGATCGATGTAAAACTACTCTCGATTACTAACGCTTATAAAAATCTGTTCGAAAATTTCCCGAAGTTAGTTGCCGATCAGCTACGTTGCATGTACGGAGAGCAAATTTGCGCTTTCACCGACTCTTTTGACTCGGACTGCGCCATATTGCACGAGTCCATCGCTGGCAAATGTTCTTTAGGAGATTACGATCTGTATACTTACGTGGCGAAAATTAGAATGTCCACCCTTTTTTGGGGCACCAACGCGGAGGTTAACTTGGTATTGAACAATGATTTTAAAAATTTTACGTTGCGGTTGGTACCCAACGATCAGATCTGGTTCAAAGGTGCGTTATTTAACAATGACAGCGTAGGTTCTGAGGGATTTTTGGGTTCGTTACATGTCAACGTTAAGGCTGATGAAATAGGGTGCATCTCGTGCTCAGATTATCATCTAAGTACGGCTAAATTGCACACAGATGGCGCAGTCGGTTTAAACCTTGTTTATAAGTTGATGGGTAGTCTGAAATTTGTCTTAAATGTGATGTTTAACCCAGTGTTGATATTTAAGTAGTTAAGACAGTATTTATATTGAAAAGTCATTAATTTAAATTGTATATCTTGTGCTTTGGTTAATGAATTAATTGTAACATTGAATTGTGATATCTTAGTAATATTAAAGAATCTGTTTGTTAAATAATAATTCAAAACTGTAATCTATTAAATTTATTAGTAGCACAGCCTTGTCCTAGTATATATTTATTTAATTAAAATAAATTGAATAAACATCGCTTGCTGACTTTTTATTGGCATAACCACACGTATTAATTGTAGAAATGTTTCTGAAAAAATTACAAAACAAATATTTGATTATTTTAAATACTATTTTTGCAAAGTAACTTGATTTCAGGTACGTTTAATTCAATTCAATTGCAGTATCTGTTGAGCATGATTGCTAAGCTCATTAGCCCATTTCCTTCGTCAGTTCCATCCGCTCCCACCAGCGAATCGTTCAACTTTATTTAAGTATTCTTTTTCTTTACTTCGAACGATCGACAATGTTCAGTTTAGTCAATTTCTGAACAAACGTTGGAAATGTGGACATGTCAAACACTAAAGCCGTATTTTTGTGATGGTACCTGGAAGACATGAAAAAGAGAGCAAATTATATTCACATCGTGGGCATTGTTTGAATTTAGTTTTGTTTTCATATTTAACGGCTAATTGTTTATTAAAATTTTCTTTGGTAATTCTGAATAATAAGAAATTACATTTTATTTTAAAGTAAAGTTAGATGCCAGGTTGCGAAAGTACAGCCTAGCCTTACCTTACCTTACCTTATGACTAATTTATTAACAATGTACGATATATGGAAGCGAGATCGGACAAACCACGCGCCATATGCAATGATTCCTAGGTAATATGTGATTAGTGACAGCTCCCATATGAATTTATCTGTGCCTATGGTATACTTAGCAACTAACCACAACAGCTGTCTCTTTTAGAGGTTAGAACAACAATTACATAAAACTTGAAAGTTTTTGGATATAAATAAAAATTATGAGCGCTGCTCCAAAAGGGGTCGGATTGTTCAAGAAATGGTGGCACGAGAAGCCCGAACTTTTGGCGAGCTGTGCGATAGGACTATTCGGTTTTGGATTCGGTGCTGTTACGGTGAATAATTATTATAAGAACGATGGGGACAATCGTAAATACAAGGAGCGATACACTGTATACCGTCACGATGATCCACGGGTGGCGAAAATTCGAACCGATTAGAGAAAAGCAAAGACTCGTAGCAACTGTCGTTAAATATTTTTATTAAATCTTAAGAAATAAATGTGTTTCGTTACGCTTTTGGTTTAAATTTTACCCATAGAAATTGTCAATGAAATATCGTTAAAAAACATTTGTTTATATGTCCTTTAAAAATGGCACAGAAGATTAAGATATACTTGAATTGCTTACCAGTGAGATTGCATTTTTCTTATACCACAAATCATACTTTCAAACTCGCTTGAGTCAAAAATGACTGTTGTAGAATATATAATTAGTACAAACTGATTTTTTTAAATTTCTATATTAAAAATTATTTTTTTTTTATAATCAAATTGACTCAGCATAATTTAAATCGAAATTTTAATCTCACAAAAAAATCTCAATCCTTTTCCGGAAACGATTGTTGATTGGTAAGACGCTGATTCAAGACCCAACACCATACACGAGTTTGCAATAATTACGCTGCATTTAACCGGTCCATAATACAATTTAAATGCAATAAAACCATAACAATTAGCTATGTAAAATAGACTGAAATAATAATTGCAAAAATCTCTGCGGGAAGGTCAAGGAGTAGATTTAATTCTGCATGCTGCTGGGTAAGTATTGAGCAAAACGTCAGCACGCGAAACAACTTTTCTCGGCTTAGTGTCCAAGTCTTCAGTTGTACCGCAGCCGTTTTGTTGAATCGCGTCAAACTATTCGATCCGTCGCGATCGTCAGAGGACGCGTTTTGCATTTTTTAATCAAGTTAGGCCTTTTGTTTCGCGCCACAATGAGCTTTTGTTTTTGATCCCCAATAATACGTATTTCTCTTTGCCACGGTCGTGTTAATATTACAAAGAGGTATGTAAAATGTATATGTTTTTGCTAAAGTCTAAATTTAAAATTGGGATGCACTTTAGCTACCTTAAAATGTCTGATTTCTGCTGTTTAAAATATTTTGTTTGATATTTAATTGTTTTTTTGTTTTCACTTGTTTAAATAGTTTCACTTCCGTTTAAAAAATTCATTTCATTCAAAATTTGAGTTAGAGACGATTTAAGATACCTAATTGAAATTTGAACCACAAATATACAATTTAATAAATTAATAAATATTTAATAAGGTACAATAAAACTTTTATTTACAAAACACCAAATGTCGTTAGAAATAAAAGTATTCGAAAGGCAAGTTAAAAAATATGGTGTCCTATTCAAATTAGCCAAGTTATAGCCACTTAGAGTTCTTATTGGATTAAAACACATTTTTGTCCTATAAGGCCGGATACCTTCTTTAATTATACTTCTTCATACCTTAGATACTTTTTATGTATTTGAAAATTTAAAATTAGGTGACATTTTGATAAAAAACTTTAAGGTTTAGGCTTGGATTTACGTATCCTAAACGTAATTGAAACATACACTTTTTTTGTAGAATTTAAAATACTACATCGAATTATGAGCAAATATGCCAAGCTCATTTTTTTTTAAATCCGCAAACAATCTACAAACAATTTTTTTAATCTCAATGTTCAGCTTAATCTTTTCTTTTTATACGTTTCCTTTAACTAGAAAATTACAATTTTTCAAAGAAACTTTCACAGGCTACTGTAATGCTATTTACAAATCTTGCGCAGAAAGATTTGTAAATAAAAATTATTATACAGAGATAATTAAGAAAGTTGAGAAAATCAAACACACACAAATGTTACCCACATATTTTTATAGTTTATCTCCAATAAGAATGCAACAACGTTGAACGCAAAAGCAGAGTAAATGTAACCGCCATCAAGGTTTTTCCCGTTTTTACATCGTTTTATAACAATTCCTTTCTATAATTTTTTTTTGGCGTGAGTAACTTGCATATGAGAATAAATCGATTGATAATATAACTAGATTCATGAGTAACGGCTTGAAGCTATAAAGACATTGGACATTAGCTGATTCAAACCATCTAGCTATTACGTAATATAGAAGGACTGTAAAATTTTCATAAAAAAGTGGATGATTTTCTACGCACGTGTCTAATTTTCACACACCAACCTGCACTTTGTTCCTTTTTGCCGCCAGTTCTTATTGGTCGGTCTTGGTTAGTGACATTTGAAATGTCATTTCCTTTTGGTTAAAAGCGAGTTCTAAAATAACTCGCGCTATATGAGTTAAAACATTACAGTACAAAAAAGACTTTTTCTACGCCCGCTTGTAAAATATCTAATTATACACCGATCTAGCGTGCGGGAAGCGTCACTTTACCATGTGAGTTTCTTGTCCCACGGATTCGAGCCACTTCGGACATTTCCGGGATATTACCGCACGAGTTTGGAAGCAATCGAATGTTTTCGGAGATTTTACCGCACGGCTTGAATTTTGAAGTTTGTCAATTCTGACGGTCATGTCAGTGAATGTATTCGTGTTGTTTTGCAAAAATGCAACACGATTTGGTTAGTTTGGTTTAGTTAGTTAGTCACTCGTTTATTAAACACTTGCTCCGCTCGTGCTAAACAAACTTGTGACTCAAATGCCGTTTACTGCACTTGTTGCATAATATGCTAGATCTAAACAGTTTTATGTTTTTAAAGAAACAATTTGAATCATCTATACAAGTTCTAATTTTTTATTCTTGGCATTTGTGACCTAAATGTTTATCCAAAACTAATTCCAACATGCATCTGAATTATTTCTGCTGTCTACTTATTAATAAAAACTTTTTATTTCTTTACTGCAGCTCATATAAGAAAAATATTCAATCATTTCCAGGCTACTGTGACAATCTTTGAATAAAAAATGTAGCGATAAAAGTTTTCCGTTACACAGGAAAGTACCCTTCATTTTTCATTGAATAATTTGTAGGACTTCCTGGCGGGAAAGCCGAGCATAGAAAAATCTACCTTTGAACACGACTCGCGTTGCGCCTCAAGATCAATCTCAAGGTTTCTCGATAATTAACTCACCTGTATCGGTGATTATTAACGCATTATCGCATCACATTTCGCGGTCCAGTGCGGTTTATTAAAAGAAACATACGTCCATAAAATACAGGAATAAAAAAAAATGCATAGAAAACTACTAGAAATCTATTTTAATTTCATGGTCTAAGATATTGCGACTCGGTGTTCGTTAAGTTTATTAATTAATTTATTTCCTTACTTAGACAATTTTTGAAATACGTAAAGTTGAAACAGTGTTGAAGATTACAAAGGTAGATAATACTAAAAAGGGTTTTGCAAAAAAATGAGTAGTCTTCAGAATATTGACACTTATGCGCCAGATAATCTTTGTTAACACTGGTTCTTGATTTTATCTGTGAATGATTTAAAGGCGGCGAATTTTATTGACGATTAAATCAGCGGAAGTTGAATATTATGCATGTACATACATACATAGCGATGCGTGAGTTGGTGAATGATGCTAAATTTTGTATCTTATTTTATGTACCATAGAAACAAAAGAGATTATCAGAATGTACCTCCACATTGTAAGTGTGCATTTTTTTACGAATTTCTCAATATAAGGCTCATATAACAGGTCGAACATATATGCCAAATTTTAAATAGTTAACTGAAAATGAAAATAAGTCACTAATTCGTGATAGCATAGTTTAAAAATAATAGATAAGGTTGTGTGATGAAGAAAACGAAGAACGAGAAAGTGATGAGACAGATCAATATGTAGAAAATACTGATGACGAACAAAATACCGAAGATATAGGAAGAAAGGAAAAGCTTTATGAAGACTATGACTTGAATTCTACGCTGTTAGCATACAGAAAGAGACAAGAGCAAATGCCTAAAACCAACTGAAGAAGAAAAAAAGAGTACGTGAAAAAGTAATAGATGGATATATTAACAAAAATAAAATTCAACATAAGGAAAAAGTTCTTAGTAAGAAATGGGTATTTAAAATAAAAAATGATAAACGTTTCAAGGCAAGGTTAGTAGTAAGAGGATGCGAGTAAACATGTGGTGTGAACTACGATGACATTTTTAGGCAACTGCACAGGAATTTGGTTTTACATATTTTGACATAAAAACAGTACTTTTACTTGGTAAATTGAAGGATGGATATGAAGATAAGAGAAACTTGATTTGCAAGCTACAAAAATTGCTTTATGGCTTGAAACAAGCTCCTAAAATTTGGAATGATACTTTTACAGATTTTATCAAACAAAATGGACTACATCAATTTAAAACTGAACAATGGATATTTATCAATAAAAGGATTTAATAATTGCCATTATATGTCGATGATGGATTTGTGATTGGCAGTAAAATAAGAAGAAAACTGAAAACCGAATTTGACGTAACTATAAGTGAAAATATAAACAACTTTATTGGAATATAATTCAACAGATTTTTAAAAATATATAATATCTAAGAGGTATTCGAAATACAAAGCACATATCTTAAAGTTTGGTTGTGTTTAATACTAATCGTTTTTTCCTAATATACTTTTGTTGTCAAGCAGTTATGATATTTTGTAATTTTTATTTTAATTTTTGCCTACTCTGTTTGGTAAGGCTCACATAATAGTTATTGTTGGACTTTGTGAAAGACTCGACAACAAGGCTAACAGTGCGAATCTAGCGCGAGTGCGGGGCGGCACGACGAGAGCCGAGAGAGCTTTGCAAGACGTCGACAGAGACGGTGGGAAGAAAGAAGCGAGACGGAGCGATGGCGAGAAGTCGGGAAGAGCAGAGCGAGCCGTCACAGAATTTGTTATTAAGTTTTCTTCGTTTAAGTGTTTCGTAAAAATAAAACAGTAATTACAATCCACTCGAATTGTAATTACTGTTTTTTGTGAAAACTCAATATTTTGATTGGTGTTTTCATAATAAATTTATAAAATTAAATATGTGTACTTTGTATTTGAACTTGCTTTTATGTGTTATATATTTTTGTAAATCTAGTGACAATCCGAATAAAAGTATTAATAAATAATAATAACTACGCCAATGGATCCTACGTAAAATAAGTAATAAGTAATAAATAAGTTTACGTATAACCGAGCTGAAAATGCAAAATCCAAGATAGCTACGACGTTTCTGTTTGTCACCTTTATTTCACAAAAGTTAGCTTTAGGTAATGAAAACCGTAACACGCTAACTTGATTAATAAGAAAGACATGTCGTAAAATCCTGTGAATCAATCAAAAATGGACACCTGAAAATTTTCAGGAAATGCACGGAAATTCGGCGGTCCATGTTCGCGACGTCGTGAAAAGTTATGGAGATAAGAAAATATTGGACAGTTTGTGCATGACCGTCGAAAGAGGATCCATGTGAGTAATAATTTTAACAATGGATAAAATGTTATGCGAACTGTTTTAACGTGAATTTTTAGATATGGACTTTTGGGGGCCAGCGGATGCGGAAAAACAACTCTGTTGAGCTGCATAGTGGGGCGGAAAAGTTTCCATTCGGGGGAGATATGGGTTTTGGGCGGTAAACCGGGCGAGAAAAACAGCGGCGTACCGGGCCCGAGAGTGGGATATATGCCGCAAGTAAGCAAAAATGTTGCCAATATTTTGAAACCTATTTTTTTTATTTGATCGTAAACGCGGCATTTAAATTTGACAGCCTTCTTTGCAAAAGTTAGGTGCTTTATTTCGATGGGTCTTGATTTTGTTACAAGGTTTACAATGTTTCCGAAAAATAACACACACTGATACCGATTTTTAATAAAATTTTACGATAAATAATTGCTCACCTGTATGCCACACAAGTATTTAGCATGTAATTACACATTTTTCAAATTAAATTTAATGCTCTGAGTGGAACAATATATCATATATCTAATTATAGAATGTAAGCATAGTTTTTTAAAAATGTAATTACATCACTAAATCAAACTTACATTATGTGTATTTACCATATATTTATTAGATAATGTAGTACGGTAAAAATTGATGCGCCGCAGGCGGCATTGATATTTTCGTGCATGCCTCTACATTCCACTCATTAACCTGCACCGTCCGCCATTTTCTTTCTAAGCAGTGATTAGTTCGTTTTGCCCGAACATTTAACGAAATCAAGGATACTTAGGGAACATATTGCCGTAAAAATGTCGCATTCAAACTTATTTACGTTGTTTTAGCGGCAATGTTGATTGTCAAATGCCGCAATGGGCCTTTTCAACATTTTTTCCTTCGCCAGTTTCCTTTATTATCGGTATTTGGAGGCGTCTCTATATCTCCAATAGCTGTAAGGTATTTACAATAACATGTGGCGTGCTTTTGGCTGATGTATATGCGTAGAATATGTTTTGCATATATGTATTTTTTCCTGTGTATTATTACAGTAACAATATTTTTCTTAATAGTTTACAGGAAAACAATTAAAATCTAAATTCTTTTTTTCTGATACTGTTGCTATAGCGCCAAAGCAAAATTAGTGGTACATTTCTTTGCGAGCTTTAAAAAACCGCTATTAAAAAGGTTTGTTTATAAAACATCTGATTCTATTCTACAGTTAAGAGCGCCAAGTTTTTTAAAAATATTTTTCAATATAATCGCCCTTAACTTCAATACACTTATTACATCTCTTTATTAACAACTCAATCCCTTAAAAAAAAATTCTTTTGGTTTGTCTAAAACAGTCTCTTTTAACTCAAGTGCGTCGTTAAACCGCCGTCCACGTAAGTCCTTTTTCAAATATCCAAACAAATAATAGTAGCTGGGGGCCATATCTGGACTATAGGGTGGATGATCTATCTGTTGGAACCCACACTGTAAAATGGCAGCTTGTGCAACACCAGCGGTATGGACATGTGCATTATTGTGCAAAAGACGCACTGCTCTGGTCAGTTTTCCTCGACGTTTTACACTTATGCAGTCTCGCAATTTATGTAATAATGTTCCGTAATATTTACCATTGACAGCGGTATTAGTTTCTGCAAATTTATCAAAAGAATTCCTTCACAATCCACTTTTTTTGTTGACTGGCAGACTCTGAATTTTCTTGGAGGTGCTTCACCGTTACGACGCCACTCCATTGATTATTTTTTCGATAAAGGGTCATAATAGAGAAACATAGTTTCATCTCCCGTCACAATCGTTTCTATCACAGGCTTCGGTTCCGACCCACAGAGTTCCAAAAAAGACCGCGCACACTCGACACGGCGTTGTTTTTGAATAGCCGAAAGCTTTTTAGGAACCCATCTTGTACGAACCTTACGCATACCTGCGGGACACATGCCCCATTCGAAAACGTTTTGCCCATTCTTTCACTACAGAATACGAAGGAGAACTTTGAGCGTACACACTATCCAGCCTTTCTTTGATAATTTTAGGTGCTAACCTTTCTTTTGTCAAAAACTTTATGACTGCTCTATATTATTTGCAACATTTTTTTGTACACGTCTTGTTTAAAATGCTGTCAATAAAAAAACTATTTGACGCAAGACTTCAATTTTTTTTCGCAGCAGGCAACCTTTTTTTTACGGTGCTCGCGATGTTGCCGTTGCTAGGCAGTTTTGAAGATTGACCATGGATCATAAAAAATATTTATCGAGATCAGCAATTCTTGCACTGTTGAACAGTGGTAAAAATATCCCACACAACTCCTAACAGAAACTATACTTGGTACCACTTTATTTCACTTGTAAATACACATCTAGCCGTGTAACATTCTATTAGCAACGAGTTTGTCTCTGCACAACCATAAGACCAAAACTAATTTTCAATTACAATTTGCCCGGAAAATAACATTGTCAACTTTACCAACTTTAATTGCATTCAGGATATAGCGCTTGTAGGGGAGTTTACGGTTAGGGACGCAGTGTTCTTCTTCGGGAGGGTGCTGAGTATGAAGGACAACCTGATTAAAGAAAGGTTCGAGCACCTTTCGAAGCTGTTGGAGTTGCCTCCGCACGACAGGTACCGGCATGCCGTCGCTGCGATCGATTTAATTAATTAAATCGATGTTTTTCGCAGGTTCTTGAAGGACTGCAGCGGAGGTCAACAGAGACGAGTATCATTCGCGGCCGCCATGGTGCACAAACCAGAATTGCTCATTTTAGACGAGCCCACGGTGGGAGTTGATCCTGTATTAAGAGAAAGGTATTCACACCGATTTTTGCATTTCTTATGATTTAGAATTACTTATCATAACGCCCAAAGCAGGAAAGTCCGAAAACAAGCATACATACGAATACGTCACTACTGGATATTTATTTTGCAATGCTTTATGTTTTTTGGTCAGGTATTTATTTCGTTTCGGAATAATCTAACACCTTCGCCAAATTCCGTCAGGTCCAGTTGAGCTTCTTATAATGAGTGTATGATAATGTTCATTTATTTCTATTTTTCTCATAAAATTTTAACGGTACCGTTAGCAATTTAATTGTGCCTTAGTTAAAGGCTAAAATAAACATTGAAGAAGTGTTCATTCTATGAATTGACATTAAATTCTTTTGTTTTTTTTTTGGAATTATAAAGATAATAAAAAGAATGTAGTCTGCAAAGGGATGTTCCCTTCCCATCTCGGTTATACTGGATGTTTCAAACAACGTTTTGATAATTTATAGAGTAATAGAATATGGAAAAATAATCCAGAATATACGGCTCTGTAAAAAAGGTCTTGAAAACCCTTTTTTTATAGTTATATTTTTAAAACGGCTCAAGGGACCTAAATGAAATTTATACCTTTGATTGTGTCGTAAAATCTACTGCTAATCAACATTATTAAGTTATTTTAAGTAATTTTCAAATTTTCATGTGCTAGAACGAACTTCTCAAATTGTTGTTTCGCAATAACAGTCTTGAAGTAAAAATATTGCATTTTGAAATTAAATTTTTTGAACAGTAACTTTTATAACCCAATTAAAGGTGATTGTGGTGTAAATTTAATTGAGGTATCATATTTTGATGTTTGTCAATTAGGACCTTTTTTTCTTATTTAACAATAAACTGAATTTCATTCTTGTTCATTGAAAAACATAACTTCAGTGAAGTTTAGTTAATAGAAATTAAGCTATTGCTCTTATGAATTCGTCAAACTGGTACATTTAAAACTGAAAAATATTTTCGACGACTAATTGCTGGATGCGCCATTTATCTAACATTTGTAGTCCGCGAAATAGTCACAAAATACAATATTTTACAGAATATGGAACTTTTTAGTCGAGACTGTGGCTAAAGAAAATACGGCTGTGATTATTACTACGCATTACATAGAGGAAGCTAAAGAAGCAAATAAAGTACGTAGATCTATGATCATTTCGATCGGTGACTTCGATTAACTTCGTTATTTGACGATTTTTTGATATTTATTTTGCAGATAGGATTAATGCGGGGAGGCAAACTCCTAGCTGAAGAATCTCCGAGTAGATTGTTGACTTTGTTTCAAACCGATACGTTGGAAGAGGCCTTTTTAATACTAAGCAGGAAGCAAGAAGAAGGACGACTAAACAATGTGATCGAGACGATCGCGAGGGAACAAAATGGCGATATAGCGTTGCAATCCGCCTCGTCTACTACGTCAGTCGTCACATTCGATGTCGCATACGGATCCAAAGATGTAAGAATTATATATATATATATATATATATATATATATATATATATATATATATATATATATATATATATATATATATATATATATACACAGGGTTTTTCACTTAAAACTCCGCTTGCCAATAACTCCAAAACGAAAAGGAATATTTAATTTATGTAAAAAGTAGTCAAAGTGTGGGGTCAAGTAGATATTTCCTAAAGTTTAAAAAATTCGACGCCTGCAAAGAGCTGGGCGTCGCGACGGGTCGAAAAATTATTCGATTGCAGAGACTTTGGAAATACGCGCATACAAAAGTACATATTATTTAAAAACTTTTTTGTTATTTACTCAAACTTATTTACTTTACCCGTTTCTAAGTTATACCGATTTAAAGTAAACATTTCTTGATTAATAAAAAATGTGATTAACGCTTATTTTTACAAGTATGCCATGAATGTTAGTTATTATGGCAACCATTGTTGTCGCAGTTGTTTTAAGTGCAATTACAAACAATAGATTTCAACTATTTTAGTATGATTTTATTTATTATTTTTTATCGATTTAGTTCTGATAACATGATAAATAAATAAAAAAACAGTAAAATACCTACAAGTTAATAACCAAAATTATTATTGCAATTAACTACATAATAAGACATTTCAAAAATTTTGTTCAAAATTATGTCCGTCTGCTCGAACACAATTATCAAAAACTTTTAACAGATGAGCTTGGTTGGGTCACTTGTAGGAGAGCCCTTCTTGTGATAGCGGCACACGCTGCACTAATTTTGTTAATGAGATCAGCCATATCTTCGATAGGTTCTTCATAGATAACGTTTTTTAGGTAGCCCCAAAGAAAGTAATCTGGTGGTGTAATGTGCGGGGACCTCGCCGGCCACCTTACCGGTCCATTAGTACCAAACCATCTATTGGGATATTCTCGGCTCAAATACCTCGTTACTATTTGGGCATTATGTGCAGGCGCTCCATCCTGCTGTAGCCACATATTCATTCTAATGTCAAGAGGCACTTCTTCTAATAGTTCCGGAAGTGTAGTTTGAAGAAATCTTAAATAGCGATCTGCATTTAAAGTTCCTTCGTAAAAGTAAGGTCCAATAAGGAATCCATTTAATATGCCACACCAAACATTGATACTAAAAATTCGTTGGTTACCTCTTTCTGTAATCCAACGAGGATGGTTTTCGGACCAAAAACGACAGTTGTGTCTATTAACGATTCCATTATTTTGAAATCGACTTTCGTCGCTCCATAAAATTTTCGAGAGAAAATTTGCATCTTGGCTATACAAATCGGACAATGTCGCTAAGAAATACATTCTTCTAGCATAATCGCCTGGTTCTAGTTTATGAACTAGTTTACTTTTGTACGGGTGAAAAGAGTTTCTATGTAGAATTCTCCACGAAGAACTTATAGTAACACCGGTATTTTCTTTTATCTCGGATAGGGATATCTTGGGGTTATTATCAACCTGCTGAATTACAGCAGCAGTATTTTCATCATTTGTAGCAGTCCTATTCCTATCTCTTTTAGGTTTTATGAAGCTGCCATATTCTCTTAAGTTTTTACATAAACTTGAAAAGGTTTTTGCATCGGGGACTCTTCTATGCGGATAACGCCGTGCGTAAACTCTTTTTGCTTCTCTACAATTGCATCTGCATTCTCCAAACACCAGTAACATGTCTACTTTTTCTTCATTGCTAAATTGCACCATTTTCACATAATAATTCTTAGTTTTTTTTAAACCGAACAAATTTGAATATTTCTTGTGACGAAATGTGACAATTTTTTGATACAGCAATAACAACTTACGTTTGTAATTGCACTTACAACTGCGATAACAATGATTGTCATAGTAACTAACATTCACGGCATACTTGTAAAAATAAGCGTTAATCACATTTTTTATTAATCAAGAAATGTTTACTTTAAATCGGTATAACTTAGAAACGGGTAAAGTAAATAAGTTTGAGTAAATAACAAAAAAGTTTTTAAATAATATGTAATTTTGTATGCGCGTATTTCCAAAGTCTCTGCAATCGAATAATTTTTCGACGCGTCGCGACGCCCAGCTCTTTGCAGGCGTCGAATTTTTTTAACTTTAGGAAATATCTACTTGACCCCACACTTTGACTACTTTTTACATAAATTAAATATTTCTTTTCGTTTTGGACTTATTGGCGTGCGGAGTTTTAAGTGAAAAACCCTGTATATATATATATATATATATATATATATATATATATATATATATATATATATATATATATATATATATATATATATATACAGGGTGTTATCACTTTCAAGAGCTAATTGAGATGATTTTTGTTTAATTAATTAAATAAATTTTAAAAAAGAATTTATTTTGGAATTATTTTATCGATAAAAATATTCATTTTCATGCTTTCCTTGACGCCAACTGGTGAAAGCAGAAGAATAAAATTTATCCAATATACAGTGCTTCTATGCATCTACCAAATTTCAATAATATATTAAAAAAATCGAACAATAGAAATGATGAACAACAGTTTTTTTTTTATTAAACTACACTCTTAAGGATCAGCACATTATTATGAAACATCCCCTATAAATATATAAAGTTTCATAATTTGTTAACACCTTATATATTTATATTAATTTTTGTTATGCTAGAAGAGAAAACAATTGTTTCCACATTAAAACTATGAAAAAAAACTAACACAGTAAAAACTAAGAAAAAAATACCGAATTTGATTTATTAAAATCGAAATACTTTAAAATAAGTGCCGAATAAGATACAAATTAGCACAAAATCTTGTCAGATTATTTTGAAACGATTGAATTAGTAAATAAAAAGAGTACTCGAATTCCAGGAACTTACTTCGGATAAAAAGAGACAAAAAATAAAGAAAGCATCGAAAACGAGTATAAACGGTGACCGAATGAGGGCGCTGATGGACAAAAATTGGAAACAGTTCTACAGGAACGTTACGTGAGTATTGATCTAACAGTACCATTTTGCATATTGCATCTTCTTTGGAACGTACTTGTAAATTGGAGTTAATTTCAATTTGAAAAAAAAGTCAATCAATAACACCAATTATTATTATTAGCATTATAAAAAAAGTAAATAATTATCAATAGATGATTTATTTTAATAACAAATTTCTTGGAAACATGTGTTTTAAATAATAATTAATATAAATGAAAAAAATGTCAATAAGTAATACCTATCTGGAATTCTTAAAAAATGTGCCTCTTTAAATTTATTATAGCATTAATTTATTAATGCCGAGCAGTAAGCAACCTTTAATCGGGTATCGGAGCAAATTTCTTAGAACCTCAATTAATCAGTTCATAAAAAACTATTGCATTTTTTCGGATATAATTATGTGCAGACATGCAGCAAAAAAGAATGCTTTAGTTTCAATTTAAGAATTTGGGGATTTTTATTACACAGTGAGAGACAAGACCATGTTTAATCATTACAATTAATAAAAAAATGAAATAGAAAAAATACAAAAAAAGAATGCTTCAGTTTCAATTTAAGTATTTAGGGATTTTTATTACACACTGGACCATGTTTAATCATTATAATTAATAATAAAAAAAAATAAAAAGAAAAAATACAACGGCACGCGGTGTTCCCAAGCGGTCACCCATCCAAGTACTAACCGCGCCCGACGCTGCTTAACTTCAGAGATCGGACGGGATCTGGTGTATCAGCGTGGTATGGCCGTTGCATGTAAAATTTAATTTCTTTAAAGAACGTAAACTAGAATTGGCAATAAAAATGATAAAAGAATACAACGGCACGCGGTGTTCCCAAGCGGTCACCCATCCAAGTACTAACCGCGCCCGACGCTGCTTAACTTCAGAGATCGGACGGGATCTGGTGTATCAGCGTAGTATGGCCGTTGCATGTTTAATTTTAATTTTTTCAAGATGAATATTCAAGCTTCATGTGAAAATTATTGGTATTAACAATTTTATGTAACTCTCCTATTTGATTGTCATTGCGTAAAACGAAAGCACTTTACTTAAGAAATGATTGCTACTACTACCGAAAGCAACTATTAGAAATGTTTGATTAACGTCCTCCTGGACGCTTACAGAGGCATCATGTTTCTCATCACGTTTCCAATCATACAAATCCTGTGTTTTCTCTACGGGGTTGGAGGTGACGTCAAGGGCCTCAAACTGGGAATCGTGAATCAAGAAAATTTGAACACAGCTTGTCAAAATTTCCCCTTTAACGGTACTGCGGAGCCCTACGGATTCAGCGATTGTCACTTTCGCAATATAAGTTGTAGATTTTTGACATACTTAGACCACCCCATGATTACTAAGGTAATTAAGAAGAAAAATACTATAATTTCGGGTTCAAAATAAAATATCGTTTAGGTTTATTTCGACACTCTGGACGAAGCTACAGAGGCAATAACGCACGGCGAGATTTTGGGCGCCCTCTACATGAGCAGTAATTTTTCTGAATCTTTCGAGGAAAGGGTAAGTCGGAAAATCAACTTTAATTAATAAATTAAATGAAATTAAATACTTTGTTTTTGCTTGTTACTTAAATTACAATCACAATATTTTAGCAGTAAGCCAAAAAGAAAAAAATTATTACTAACAAATAGTAATAAAAAAGTATAAATAACTGAATACGTAAAATACATATAAACTTTTCTTTAAATGTCAATAATATGTTTTCATTAATGCAGGATTAGTTGATAAATAAATAGATATTTTGAAAAAATATTTACATTAAGTTGATTATCTTTTTATCATCAAAATTACCGTAAAAAATACATAATAAAAGTGATTACTCAAAACGATAAATAGCAGGATATATACACAGAAGATTAGAAAGATTAAAAACAGAAAAAAAAACTTCTAAACAAAAAGCGAAATAATTGAAAACATTTTTTCAACAAAATCGTATACTAACGTACACAAGAATGCAAATCTTGATATATTATATTTTGTTCAAGATTAAGCAAGGCAAGGACGCAGATTCTTGGATTACAGATTTCGGCGAGATAAAGGTCTACATGGACATGTCTAACAGACAAACCGGCGCTACATTAAAATACAAACTGTATAATTTATTTTTCGATTTTCAAGAAGAACTGTTCAACGAGTGCAGATGGGCGAAGGGGCTGGGAAATTTACCCGTGCGGGAAGAGTTTGTCTATGGTCACGAGGATGAATCCTATACGATTTACATGACTCCCGGATCACTTATAACGTAAGACGTAACACGGCACTTAATTTTTCGAGTTGCTAGAACGTTTTTGTTCTGAAATAACTTTTATATGATGATAATATGATACTGTTAAATTGTCTTTGTGTCTTTTTTACTTCATCTCTTTCTATTTTCTGCAGGTTTCTTTAGTTTCTTCGCTATATTTGCAGGCTTGTTAATTGATACTTTGTTGTTTTCTGCTTAGAAGTTGGGCGTTAATATTAGAATGTAATTTATTTTTGTAGTATGGTATACTTCATGGGTTCGATGATGACGTCCCAGATCATGATAACGGACAGAAGGGAAGGCGTATGGGACCGTTCCATCGTAGCCGGGGTTACGTCTTTGGAAATCACGCTCTCCCATTTCATTCTCCAAGCGTGCATTATGGTGGTGCAAAGTTTCGAGGTGTTGGTGGTTGTCTTCGCTATTTTCCAGCAAGAATACTTGGGCAGCATGGCGTTGATAGCGTTCATCACGTACCTGGAGGGCATTTGTGGTATGGCCTACGGTAAGTGTGGACGGTTGAAGCTGAACGCCGCGTAAGTTTCTAATTGCGGGTCGTTTCGTAGGATTTTGGGTTTCAGTGATTTGCGAAGACCATTCTCAGGCTAATATCGTGGTGACCGGTGGATTTTTGCCGATGATGTTACTTTGCGGTGGGGTTTTATACGCGTAGAATATAACGAGTTAGGTTTTAATGGGCGCGTTTGCAGGATTAATATGGCCGACAGAAGCCATGGCATATCCTTTGCGCATCTTTGCCAAGTGTCTGCCCTTCACTTTGGCTATCGAATCGTTGAGGAATGTGGTCAAAAAGGGGTGGTCCTTCTGGGACCTGCAGGTGCTCCACGGTATAGGAGTCGGTTTCTTTTGGACGCTGTTCCTCGGAGTCGTTAGTATATGGATGATTAAGTTGAAGAGATAATACAATTGTCGCGTATGCTTTCATAATATAATATAACAAATTGAAATGTTGGTTTTGTTTTGATTTTTATCTCGTCGAGGCGTCTATCGTAATAAAAACAATCCACCTGGAATTTAATGGATCGGTTTCAAAATCCGACGATATTTTGAGGGTGTTAAATTTGGTGGAAAAAAATGTCGACGCTTTTGCATTTTAAACTGTTCATTTTTGAATTTATCAGTAAATCAACTACAAATTGGGTGTCTGTTACGTCTCTCTCTTTTTATTTAGCATACTGATTCACTGTAAACCTCCCTTTTATAAGTCTGAAGAAAGAGAACAATTCCGGTGCTACAGTTATAAATTGGCAGTAGAAATATTTTGATAAATGCGACTTTGCCAGATATGCCCGATGTAATGGCAACGCTGTTATTTTAAATGGATCATTCAATGTTTTATTACCAATTCGGATTCTATCGAACGTTCTAAGTAAAGCGATCTCCGCGGGTTTTTGAAAAACGGAGTAGCTAGTAGTGTTTTTCTTAGTATTGCGTTTTATTTATTTATGTACAAAAAATATCTATACAAAACTTCTCTAAACACCAGGGAGAACAAAATGTGCAAAATCTTTTGCTGGCATAAATGAATGTAAAATTATTACAATCTGTCAGAAATAAGTAAAAGAAAACAATAATAAAAAAAGGAAACGATTAAACTAGTATGAAATATAAAAATATCTGAATCACAGACTTTACAGAGTTGAATTAAATTGTGAAAGGGCTCAACTAGCTTACACTTTGTGACAAAAAAATTAAGCTAGAGAGCTCTCCTATGCTAATTAGCAGACAATTGTGGAGCTTCGGACCCAAGCTCGTGGTAATTCTGTAGTTCCTGACTTTGCTATTGAAGAAAAAACGATAAAAAATTTATTTTCTTTTAAAAACATATTTTTCTTCTTAGTGGATTTTATTTGCTAAATGAGAATGTTTGCTCTGATAATGTAGCCACATCCGAACAACTTTCATTTTGCATATTACATTTGACTGTTAAGACGGCAGATAGTATTTTCACTTCTCACTGCTCCAATAATGATTCTCCAGTGAAAATGCCCTTCAACAGCAGTATTAGTGCCTGGACAATATAACGAAATTTCTATTAACACTTTTAAATTTTCATGTGGGATATACTCTAAAATGCCGAAAGGTTTCTACCCATTTTTTGTCAAGTTCAATTTTCTCATCGTTCCATTTCCTCAATTTTTCTTCATTTTAATATACATTTATTCTTCGAATTTCTTTATAGAGAAAATTGTCATTAAAAACAATATTTTATCTCCATAATTACAAATTCGACTGCTGAAGAAACTTCTTTCCATTCGATTTTACTATTGAAACAATTTAATACTCTAAAGTTCACTATCCATTCTTCGATATATTCATAGAAAATTTTCTAAAAAAATTTGGATTGGAATTTTCCAAAACGGACAGTTTATTCTTTACAATTATTGGTAAAAATCTATAAATCTTGATTTACAGTGCAGTAGAAATTTTATCTCCTTCAATTTGGAGAGCAATTTTATGAAACAACTACGCTTGACATTTGTCAAGGCTTAAGAAATTGAACTTGATGCCTTTACAGGTGTGTCCTCCAAAATTAGTATTCTTATTTAAATTGTTGTTTGTTATAACACAAAAAGTGCAGTCCATGCTGCGAAAACTTTAATTATGGATTATTGTGTGAAAAGCATAACTGCCAATTTTTTTTCATTAGTTCCCTTTAAAAAATGTGTGCTGTGTCATGAGACTTTTTATATACTTTGTCTTTTGTCAATTTTTTGAAATTTAAAACCCATGTGTTGAATAGCTTTGCAGAACCTCAATTAATTGCTTTTTGGTATAATCTTCGTGAAAATAAATGTCGTTATTATACATGTAGTTTTGGATTGTTGATTGTGTCACATGAGGAAGGGGTTTTAGTCAACTGTCTATTAGGAGGAATGTTTGGAACTAGTTTGTTTTTAAACCAACTTTCAAATAAACCAGCGGTAATCCAGAGAAGAATCTTTAATATTTTTCGCAGACAGAGAAAGTCCATTTGGAATCCAACCATCTTTAGAGCCAACACGCAAAATAGTTTTTCTTTTAACTATTTTTGATGGCGCGTTTGTTTTACACTTATCAGTTGAGTCAACCCAACCCTTTTCCGGGGCATCATAAGTGTCGAACCAGGTTTCATCCAAGTAAATAATTGGCCTTTGTTGTTCTCTGTGAATCCTAATTTTCAATTTCTAGTTCTAAAAGATTCCATTAAAACTTGCCTTTTGACAATATTTTTAAATCTAAAACCCATGTGTTGAATACACTTCCATAAGGTAGTTCTGCCACATTAAGATATCTAATGTAGGCACGCTTTGTTCCTCGTATAACTGGTAAATTTTACACATTATATCTTGTTCACTTTTATCTACACTCGAGAAAATGTCAGCATCGCTTCTTTTTTTCTCGCTGAAATGGGATTATTCACAATTTTCCATACAGTTGATGTTGGAATGTTCGTCAATGTGGCCGTTTCTTCTAAAGATGCTTGCTTGCTGGCACCACGTTCAATGAGAGTCAAATAAACATTGTTTATAACTTCCTTAGGCTCAAGTGTTTTCTACATTTGGGCGGGAGCATTTCCTGAGATACACTAGACTCGCACATATTTTGCATAATTCGCACACGATTCAACAGACGCTGTATTACACACGAAACAAGAATGATTACTAATAAACTTAAACTAAGTAGTATACCAAACCAAAGAATATTAAGGTAGGTATAAAATTATTTTCTATTACGGGCACAATTTTATCTGAATTTCAATTCCGAAACTTTAGGTAATAATCTTCGTGCATTGTTGTTGTTAATGACCACCCTTGGATAATCCCATTCAAAAGCAATTGGTCACTTCCTTATATCTATGAACAGACCATACATAATACGGCCTCTCAATTGTGCCGGAAACGGCAGCCATATATGCGCGCGAAATTCAAACCAGTGTCAAAATAATTTTAAATATTTAATTAATGAAATTGAAATAAAATAATCTAAAAAAACGTTTGAGAAATACAAATGAGTACTTTCAGAGTACAGGATTTGAAAAAGCACGGTTTGCGAAAAACGACAACAAAACTCAGTAACTGAGTATAGTATATGTACGAGAAATTATAAAAAATATTAATTTCGAGTTTAAAGTTTCTAATTTTTTTGTTATCAGCCGACAACAGTGTGCGCTTTTCAAAGAAAATTAAACGCCCTATAAAAACGTCCCCAAATTAGAATCTTGGCGGGAAAAACTACTTCCACGAACGCCCGTGAATCACGACATAAGTGGTGCGAGAGAGGATTCCAAATTATTAAATTGGTGTTTACAAATACCACAATCGCTTGTGTTATATTAAGTGCGTTCAATTTAAAGGATGGATCTTGATCTTCAAGGGAGATAATAACGGATACTGCGTATTAACTGACAGTGGTGTACATGTATACCAATACGCAATGCGAGAAAAATAAAGATCCATGGAAGGCGCTTCCAAAAACAAACGCAAGAAACAACACCATAAGTTTCTTGGAAACCTGCCGTATTGGAAACTTGCTTTGCTTGACTCTTTTCATCTTATAAATAAAAAAGACCAACAAAACTGTTCAATTTCCGCAATCATTTGGGTTTTGTCAATCAACTCATTGTCAAAGTCTTGAAATCCAGCTTTGTATTTTTACACTAGCTCCTACGCCTATGCACGCTTTAATTCATCGGGCGGTGTAGTTTACTCAGTCTCAAAGACCTGTTGCCGAAATGAGGTTCGTCGTATGGAAAATCAGTGCGATTTTGATTATTTTCTTGATTGCGGCTATCGATGCCGACCCCAAAAGATCTTCCGGTGGTCGGAGTCGGGGTAAGAGCAGCGGTTCCGGAAGCTGGTGGTCATCGAGAAGAAAATCTTCGGGAAGCAGTACCCCCACCAAGACCGACGTCAAACCGGACAGCGCACCTGGCAATGTCAAACCCTCGGCCCCCAAAGTAAGTTTATTATTAATAAATCAAAACCTATTTAATTATTTCAATGAAAATTGGTAATTTGTTTCATCTAATTGTCACCGATATATTCCCGGTATTGGTATTCCTTTTGATCCTAATGCCTTTGGTCTTGAAGTCGCTGGCATTTTTTTACTTTGTTTTTTCTCTCCTCTGAGTGAGAACTATAAACTTTAAAGACAAAATAAAAGCTAAATAATTGAATATTGGTGATTCCGTTCTAACTCATAATTTTTTACTTAAAATTTTATAGAATTTTAAGAGAACTTACAAGAAACGGGAAAAGTTGACCAACATTAATTTTGTGTGAAATAACATGCAAAAAAATGATCTATGGCTGAAGAGCAGATTTATGCTTATCAACCTATATCATTTGTTTTGGTTTTTATGGCCACTCAAAAAACGAGTTAAACAAATTAAAAAGAAAAAAAGAAAGAATTTTAGTTAAACTTTTTAAACGATAAAAAATATAATGCAGTGAAATTTTTATTGAGAAGTTAATTCTTCCAAGTTCTACCCTTTTGAAATATCTATTAATAATCAAGCACGAAGTGTGTGTGCCTTATATTTTAAGCTACTATGTTTCGCAAAACACATAATAAAATCAGACGTAGAATAAAAGCATGTAAATGCAGGCCGAACCTGCGATCAAAAAAGAATCCTCAAAGACCCAACAAGCTAGTCCAGGCCAGCACAACCAACCTCAGCAGCCTATAGGCTGGAACGTCGGCCATAATACCAATACCAACCCCCAAACCGGAGGAGGATGGAGATCCGGGTACCAAAATCAAGCCGCACCCCCTGCATATTCCGCTTCTGCTCACCACCCCAGCTACGGAGCAGCGCCACCGGCTTACAATGGACAAGCAACTTGGGGCTCACCTCCAGGTTACTCAGCTCATGGTAGAAAGCTTAGAGAAATTATTGAGCCCATTTTGTAACGGTCTATCGCATGCAGGAACTCCCTACGGTGGACACTATGGTGGATTCGGTCAAAATAATTATCCTCACCAGACGGGCGGATATCATCCTCACCAATCGTTCTCGGGTTACCATCAAAGTCCTGTGATGGGAGGGATGGGTATAGGGCAGTCGTGGGGAGGCAGCGGCTTTGGTTACGGTAATAAAGGCAAGTAATTTTCTTATGGATGCTTACGTTAAGGTCGTAATCTGAAAAACGTTTTATTGCAGGTTATGGAGGGTACGGAGGTGGATTCGGTGGAATGGGCGGCTACGGAGGAATGGGTGGCTTCGGTGGACCCGGCTACTACCCCATGAAAAAATCTGGCGGCTTTTTTAGCGGAAGCACATTGCGAAACGTGTTGACGGGCATGATGGTCTGGCATTTGGCGTCCAGTTTATTCAAGAGACCTTACACTGTCCATAATTATTATAACCAGCCAGCCGACGCGAAGGTTCCCGAAATACAGTTGCCCGCGAACGTGCTGACATTGTGCGATGGTAATGTTACCAGTCTTTGTGCACCAGAGACAATTCCGGTAAGAACTAACATGATTCGATACCCAAAAAACATAGGAAGATGAACAACATCTATTAGATTTTATTTTGTGGGTATCCTGTGGTGAAGATTTTGGTCGTTTACATGAAATATCTATCTCACTTATCACAGATCGGTTTTCACATTCCTTCCCGGGCAGTCAGACAATCTCCAATATTCCACCTTCCAATCCTTTGGATAATGTTCTTGGTCAGAAGTCCACTCTTTAAAGCGATGGGCATTTTTAATTATACTTGTAGTGATATAGATATCAATGATCTAACACAGGCTGGGTTTACTTTGGCATTAAAAGATAGACTTTTACTTTTCAGATGATTATTGTAGATTCGGTTTTGTTTTTTGTGTTGTTCATACAGTATGTCCCGAAATTAGACGTTCATATTTTAACCACGTATTCTGCGACCCAAAATAAGGATGAAGGTTCATACAAACTATGGTCCAAAACGTCTTAATTTTTGATATACATAAATTCGAAGAGGTGATGGCGATTTTAGGCTCTGTTTAACGAACTAAAACTTAGTAATGGATTGTCTTCAGGGGTGGGTAACACAGGGGAGGCGTGGTAAAAATTTGCCCCAAATGTTTTGTTTGTTGAAATTTCGTAATTTTGACTGCAGAATTTTAAAATCTGAAGTTTTGTACGTAAATAACCCTTGTCGCACCTGGGTAGAACACATCGTTTTCGAGAAAAATGCTTTTGAAAATTTAATTACATTTTTTTTTATTTTAATGTTTACTATTGAGGGCCAGATAATCATCAGTAAGCCTTAGAAATTAATGACGCGTTTCATTTGTTTGTGTTGCTGGGTAAATAAAAATGAAATGTCGTTTATTCGAGAGATTACGTTCACATGATCCACGTTCAACTAAATGCCAATGTGTATTAATAAAAACTCGACAATCAAAATAATAAAAGGAATAACGAAATTACGAAAATTCGACAAACAAAAAATTTGGGGCTATTTTTTTCCACGCCGCCCCTGTGTTACCCACCCCTGAAGGCAATCCAATACTCAGTTTTAGTTTGTTAAATGGAGCCTAAAAAGTTTAGTAGTTACTAGTACAGTTATACCAAATTTTATTTGAAAATTTTTGGACCATAGTTTAAACGAACTTTTATCCTTATTTCGGGTCATAGAATACGTAGTTATAATATAGACGTCTAATTTCGGGAAACCCTGTATATAAAAAGTTCTTTATGCGGTTGCTTAGGGGTTGGGTTGGTCTTTACTATGTTGCTTATTACTGGTAACCATAATTAGCGAATTAATGGTCTTGTCATTGGATATTATCTCTGTTAGACAATAAAGCTTATTATTATTATATTATTTAATTTTAAATTGTTACCACCTCAGACATTTTAGACATCTTATGGACGCCTTGAAGGAAAGGTCAGTGTTGGAATTTTGATTAAAAGCTTAATATCATCGAGATACCCATTGCGGTCATTTTTTTTGCCCAGGTGTGCACGACGAACGGAACTGTCATATGCGCGGCGGCGGCCAATCAGCGCGCGCCGTGTCATCAAGACCCCGCCCTGTCGTGCGTCGACACGACGGTACCGTGCGCAGACGCCAACGACCCGCTGTGTCAAAACTCCACGAAGAAAGATCGTCTCGAAGCGGTCGTCAACATGCCTTGCCTGACCAACCTCACCTTGGACGTAAACCTGTTGGACAAAAGCAGTACCCAGCCGAACACCAACTACGTGTACTGTGTGACGACAATGGCGGTAGCAGGTCCGAAATACGACTCGTGCAAAGACCTCGGCAATTCGACCAACGACTACAGGACGGTTCTAAACGGGCACTACGAATGGTTCTTGGAGTCGGACGGGTTCCGGAGAAACTACTCCGTGTACAATTACGAGCGTCCCATGGAAGTAAGCGGAGAGATTCACATGCCGGTCAACGTGTTGGTCAACTGTAGCGAGAACGCTACGAAAATATGCGCACCGGCGACAGCGCACGTGTGCACTACGTTCAACGAAATCATGTGCGTAGCGTCTACGAGCGTGATCGAAGAATGTTCGTCGACGAACGGGAGTTGCGTCAAGAGTACCGTACCGTGTCTGGAGGGCAGCGAGGATAAGTTTTGTCAAAACGCGAACGAAACGACGAGAGAGGTCGAAATCGAGCTGCCATGTTTTGCGAACATCACCATCAACGCGCCGATCAGTAACTTCCAGCTGGAGGAGTACAACGGCACGTTGCCCGAACAGCTTCTCAATTCTAGTTACACCTATCACTACAGTTTTTGCGTCGTGACGTTAGCGCTGCCGGGATCTGACGCGGATTTGTGCGTAATATAGTCATAATATAGATAGTGATTAGATTGTGTTGTTTCAATAAAAATACGTTTTGAATTTTGTACGTTTTGATGTTTCGAGGGAGGTTAAATAGTATACGCCAAAGTACCTAAATCTAAATAGCTAAAATTTTATTATTTTACCCGAAGATGTTGTGCGTGTACAGAACTTGTCTGTGTTTGAACGTGGCTTTTACTTGACAGCATTAACTAAATACTGAATGACATTCTCTGCCTCGGTGGTTAGTTCACGCCGATATGGCGGCCGGATGGTTCGCGGTGGTAGCAGGGGAGGCCGTTTTTTGTTATCGGTCAAAGTCCTATACTGGAAGCTCAGAATAAATGTTGGTAATAGCTTTTTTGTTAACTGTTGGTCTGTGACCAAAAGAAATAATTCTTCGACGGACGTCGGTAATGCGCGAATGGCCATAGTAGCCTTGCCCAACTGCTTGAAAATAGCAAAGAGAAGAAGAGGAAGACATTCTCTGCCTCTGTCAATGTGCATAAAAGGTTATTTGAACATTATTCTTTCTAATAATAATAATAATAATAATAATAATAATTCCTAACGAAGATGCAGATACAGGGTGATCGAAGTTAAACGTTCTTAATTTTGACAGGTGATTAGGCGAGAAACATGACTGCGGCTTTAATACGAAAATTGCTTCCTAACAAAGATACACATATCTAAGGAAAAACTGGCTTTTTTATCAGCATTTCAATATTACTGTTGATTTTCAAATTAGGGTATAACAGCCAACGGCAATTTTTGATGCAAAATGTTTTGTAAAATTATTGCTAACGGTATGGGATTTCGACTGAATATTTTCGAAAGAAAAAGGATCTCTTTGGTTTTGTGCGTGCATATAAAAATTTTTCATAGAAAACGCCATATCGCATTGTATCCATTTATTTGTAATGTGTGATGATGATGATGATTTGTTTTATGAGATTCGGTAAATACCTTTTAAGCATCTTATATGATGGTGTAAAATATATTTATTGAAATTTTTGAAATAAAAGCAATAAATTATTTTCGAAATTCCATTTCAATTTTATGTTAATTTGATCACTCGAAACTTTTTCGTGTTTTTATTGTAATTGATTATTAATTTGTTCATTGTTCTAATAAAAAATTGAACGGGAATTGTCATAATACTGGACAAGTCAGTAGCGTACTTTTTTTCCTTTCGATAATTTTTAATCGAAATCCTTTTCAAATGCCACTGGTAAAATTTTTTTAAAAATATTTCGCAGTATCAAATGACCATTGCTTAAACGGTATACTAAACTTGATTCAAAATCTGAGGTCATATTAAAATTGTGGTAAAAAAAATCCTAAAATTTTAACGCCCTGCAACTTTGTTAGGAATTTTATTTTATAGTCCGATTTTGTTAGTAAAGTCTTTTTTATTTTTCTTGCTCTATCACCTGTCAAAATTACTGACGTTTAACTTAGACCAGCCGGGCCGGTCTCTAAGTTTTTTTCCGGTGCACAATACGCACGTCCACCGTCAAAATATCAAAACATGTCACCAAAATATCAAATGACAGTCAACTGAACGTTGTAGAAATATAAAAGAATGAATTTCAGGCATTAACACATTAAGTAAATATTATTAATATTGACAGCAAACTTTTTTTCTTTTTGTAAAAGATGGGAGTGTATCCGGATGTGTGTGTGTGGATAACATTAATGTCAGCTTCCCAAACGTAAAGGATTATTTCGATGGGTGCATGAAGGTTTCCAACCAACGTTATATATATATATATATATATATATATATATATATATATATATATATATATATATATATATATATAATATCCAGTAAGGCAATTCGAAGTAAGCGTAATAAAAAGGAAAAAATAAAACGGGCAAAAAAAATTTGCTCCAGTTTCCGTTTTTTTTTTCGTTTTGAGAAGGTACCACCGAATAAAAGCAAGGCTAAGTAGAAAGTACGATTCCAGAAATGATGTAATTCGAATAAGTAACGGCGCAGGGTCTTACTCAGCCCACAAAGCATACATTTAGTTCGTTAGAATGTAATGATACATTCTAAAGAATTAAATGTTTTAACCATATGTATAATAAAATAATAAAATTTCTCTAGGCCAAGCACACATTTCTATAATCTATGAAATATATAAAGAACCTCACATTTTCTATAATGTTCACGATAAGCCTTCATTATAAAGTCGGTCAAAAAAGTCTCCGTACACAAAGTATTTTTCCAGTTTTCTTTTAGTTTCTTCGTTCAATTGCATTTAATAAGAAACATATTTGAAGTAAATGTCGGTAATCCCATTGAGAATAATAAAAATAAAATAAAAATCATTTGGCACTATATTAAAATAAGGCAGTTTTAGAAGCAAGAAACTATGACAAATAGGTCTCCATACACTTTAATAAATCACTATTCAGAACTGCAGGTAGAACCGTTAATTATCAATATTTGATCAAGTCAGCTTGTATCAAATTTCGCTTAAACAAATGAGTTATTCTTATTTATTTTTGACGCCACTTTTAAATAAAGTTTTGAAGTAAAAGCCTCCTACGGTGACGCATGGTTTTATTGTGAGGGTGCATGTCAGCTAATGGGACCGGCAATTTAGCTTTTATTGGCAGAATCATGGACCAACATGGCCATTTGAACATCCTAAAGAATAATTTTATCCAAAGTGTTGAAAAAGGATAACGATCCTAAACACAATGTTACGCTTGTACGTCACTGGATGATACATAATGTCCACTAACAACTTCATATACAATATATATACAATTGTACAAAATATTAGACTTTGAAGAATCTTTACAATTTGCTAACATGGACGTCAATTATTAGATAAACAACTCAGAAATCCTGTATTTTCCAGTTGGTTAGTTTCAATGTTTCAATTCAATGTTCACAACTAAATTGTTACTTGTAATAAAAGAACCAGCAGAAAACCTCCACCAGAGGGTTAGCAAAATAAAATCCGGCGAATCCGGATCTGGTCTACTGCCGGTGATAGAGAAAGTAAAATCGGCGTAGACCATCGAATATTTAGAATGTTAATCGCGCCATTTCTTGTGTCCACTTTGCTTTGATTTCGGCGTCCGTAAGCGCGACTGGCTAATTGTAGCCACTTGACCGTGAAAAAAAAGCTCCAAGCCGCTAAGTGTTTTTTTGTGTGCCGGAGCGTGTCCGAAGAAGACGTTCTTCCGGAGCAGGCAAATAATATCCGCGTCGGTGCGGTTTAATTTGGTATTATTTGCTATTCGGCTGTGGACATTTGAGGTGGAGTTTATTGTGAGGGCCGGTAATGAGACGCTCTGGTGAGTTTTGCGTTATCTAATCACCGTTTCCGCGAATGGTTGGTTTGCACGTATCGCGACTTTAATGGTGGAATGTCGTACGAAATTCGAAACATAATACGAAACTATGTTATTTAGTCTTGCGACAGTTTTAATATACTGATGGTAATAGTGCATCTGATAGTGTTGCACAAAAAACCTTAACATTTCTTTTTAAGAAAGGTTATTATAGTCAATATGGATATTCGGAGTCAAATTTAATTTGGAACTAGACGGATAGTAGTGGGGTTTGTTTTCTTTGTTTTAGACGTTAATACATGGCAGATAATAAAAAAATAATAAAAATATAATAATAAAATGAAAAATTAAATTAAAAAAAGTCCAGAAATAAGCCCTGGTTTCCTATATAAACATATGTCCGGAAACCCTTGTCAAAATTTTGAGAAAAAACCATTTTTTACACCCTGGATATATGCCATTGATATTTTCTACACTACATTCAAGCAGCAAAAAGCATTTTTTAATGCTACATATTATTTGAAAAAATTACCAGCCACATCGGCACTTCACAAAAATAATTTGAAACTTTTTTAAATTTTTAATATTTAACATTTTTATCGTAACTTTGGCGATTTCGCCATGCATATAAATGTCTAAAAGCCAAGAGGCAACATATTTTTGTTTTAGGAAAAAGTAGCGCTGGTACGAACGGCATTTTTTTTTTTAAACATTTTCCATCAAAAATGCCTTTTTCTGTGTTACAAAAGTATACAAAATGTCAATAAAATATCTATTTGGTTTTTATTCACAACTAAAAACTAAATCAGTATGGTATTCTTTGATTATTGATTAAGGTGTCACAAAAATTTAAGAAATAAATTTAACATTTTTCATGGAATTAAAAATAATGGTTAAATGTAGATATTTGTGTAAATACATGTTCGTGTTAATTCAAATAAACAACGAAGATAACCCATCCTATTATTTATAACAGTAAGCAAAAGAAAGACAACAATCTCCATTATTAATTAGGTCTTTTTCTCTTGCAAAATTTGCCTTCTTTTCTATCATGCGTTTATCATTCTAGTTTGGATAAAGTTTTATAATTTCAACTCGTTTTTCTCCAAAAATTTAATGGCATCTGCTAAAAAATAAACGGCCTAACCGATATTCTCAGCATATACGAGGTGTGTTCAAAAAGTAAGGTGACTTGTAATTGGGCATTCGACGTACATTCGATTCGATATTTTATTTTGTTATGTAGATATGGTCTGTTCATAGATATAAGAAAGTGACCAATTGCTTTGAATGGGATTATCCAAGGGTGGTCATTAATATACAATGGAACAAGATTATTACCTAAAGTTTTGGAATTTAAATTCAGATAAAATTGTGGTCCGTAATAAGTAATGTTTAATATTCTTTGGCTTGGTATACTACTTATTTTAAGTTTCTTGGCAATCATTCTTATTTCGTGAGTAATACAACGTGTATTGAATCGTGTGCGAATTATGCAAAATATGTGCGAGTCTAGGGTATCTCAGGAGATGCTTCCGCTCAAATGTAGAAAACACTATTCTATTGAGACTAAGGAAGTTATAAGCAATGTTTATTTGACTCTCATTGAACGTGGTGCCAGCAAGCAAACATCTTTAGAAGAAACGGTCACATTGGGTTTAGATTTAAAAAAATTGACAAAATACAAGTTTTAATGGAATCTTTTAGAATTCGGAAATGGCCACTGGAATATCTAC